GAAATATTAAAAATTTTTACAAAAAAATCTGCAGAATGAAAAAAAATAAATACCTATCTAAATTAACGGCATTTTTATATTATTAAAAACATCGATACTTTTATCTCCTTTGAAATGTTCAGCGAAGCATGGAGCATGAAAATTGACAGATCTATGTGGAGAAAGGATAAGAGGTAAAAAGATATTGTTATTACTGTTTTATAAATAGAGAGTTAACAAACTATCACTAGTTCTGAGAATAGTTTTTAGAATTGCCAATTTATGTAGCATCCATTTGTCCAAGAATAGACAGGGTCGGTCGTAGGAGATAAGCGACCATTTTTGGTAGGTAAGAACAAGAATGAAAAAGTCGTGATCGTTGGAAATTTAAAGAAAGAAATACATTTGTTTCCTCACTATTATGACAAATATTAAATTTAAGCAAATACTGTTTCATCTTATAAACAAATTTTAATGGAAAAATTACAAGATATACAAAAAAAAAGTTGCTAATTTGAATAGTCCCAAAAAAAAATAGTTAATTATTGTAAGAGACGATAAACTAATATTTTATCGATTAATGTATTAATTTCAGTCAATAATATATTTTATCATCATTCTACATCAAATTTCAAAAGAAAAACATAAAATAAATTTCTAGAAACGTTAATTGTAGGATTAACGTTCATATTAATTCAAATGAAAATTAAAATTCAGTTGTAGGTATATGAATAAATAATAAAAAAATAAAGAACTTTATCTACCCTTACCGTTAAACTATTGCCTACTTTATCTACACTTACGGCTAAAATGCTACTAAATCTGTTGATTTAAATTATAGAAAGCACACTTTAACATTTGCTATGAAAAAAAGACTTTTATCTAGATATAATCCACCCATTAGTTACTCATGAATGAGGTGTGAATATTTTGATTTCAGAAAACCAGCCGATGTCGTGTCTGTTACGCAGACCTGTTCTATTTTGATCATTTAAATGAATACATCATTTCCACCAAGACTCAAACATAATCACGTACCTACGTGTTTTGCAGTAATGTGGCCTCTTCAGTTTCCTCTGATTGTAAATGTCGTACTGATACAACTGTTGTTTCGAACGTAAATCGCATTCTAAATGTGTCGAAAATAGGCAATGTACAGGATGTCGAGAAAACCAAACCGCAATAGTAAAAATAAATTTAAAATTACCACAGAACATGACATCATAACAAATTATTAGCACAATAGTTATGTTACTAACGAAGAAAATTTTTTATTTTCTAGTGAATTTATTGAGAATTAGATATATAACCTACCAAATGCCATCTTTTGCAATGCCTATGGACATTCTGATAAGAACTAACAAGTTCGAATTGATGAGGTGGTAAGCATCCCAGGAACCATCCAGCTACTTGTCTGTTAAGTAAAAATACGTTATAAGCATACACCATTATATACAATATTCCCTCTAATTTTTTCGCTGACTACGCGGTACAAAAGTATATGGGAGCAAAAATGTTCGAAAATTTTTTTTGACCTAAATTTTATTTTTATTATTTTAGTGAGAATATAAAATGAAATTTTAAGAAATGGTGAACAAACCCATTTTGCGCAGAATACGAAACCGGCTGCGCAACTTTCGAAAAATTAGTGTTAGAGGGAACTTTGATTATATGTATGTATTGTTATCATACCTTAAAATTTAGCCATCCTGAATATATATTTTTTAATTAACTTTTACTCAATAAATACAAGATCCTCTAAGAATGGCCCATCTTTCATTTAATTGAAAAACAGAGCACTGTTAATAAAAATAATTTGATTAGTTTGACGATATTTCGATCAAACAAATTTATTCAATGCTGGACGGGCCAAAGCAGCCTCCAGAATAATTTTCACCAGTATCATTCTTTGTCATGAAGTTGTATTTAATTAAGTAATGAGAAATATACAATTCCAATTTGTATCAGTATCTAGTATTTTTAGAGTCATTATTGTCACTTTAATTTTTAACAATTAAAATAAAATAATTATTTAATATAATAATATTTTGTGTCATTTTTACGAGACACCCAGTACAGTCAACATGCAGTTGTTAAATTATAACACTGTACGCAATACAATTAATTAACTCATTAAAATGTCATGCATAACATAACTTATTTGTACCCACCTGCCTTAGTATCACCACACCTACAAAGTTTAATAAAAGGAAATGAACTTTTTTAAGGTCATAACAACCATTACATTCAACATTGTACAATTAACTGTTCGTAAAATTCATACAGCTATATATAGGTAATATTTCTTTGAAAATTTTTTTCCAGTGTTTTCCTGTTATTAAAAATATTAATTTTAAGAAATAAAATCAGTGAATTAATTTATAACAGGCAGTAGCTGCATTTCCATCTCGTTCTAATCAAGTGCGCTCTCTTTTCAATTTGTGCATTTCAAGGTTCAAGGTTCAAGTGAAATTGGTCTAGTTACGTTAATTTTGAAAGACTGTTCTGTTTAAATTACGTACTTGCTAACTATGCAACCCACAATACATTTGCATATTCACCTACGATACAAATGAACTAAATGTTGCTTTTCGCGAAATTCTTGTAATAATAATTCTTGTAGTAATAAAAAATATAAATTGCTCATTTTTCTTATCAAAAAATATATTAGGAAAGAAATATTAATTAGTTTGTAATGTTTTAGGATTAATTCAGATTTTCATTTAAGTAGTATTGTAATAGAAATTACAATTAAAATATATCAAATTGAAGTAAATAGATAAACTTTTTAAAATATGTGCAACTAAAACTATGATAATTAGAAGGTAAATTAATTTTAAAATACTTGTGGTAAGGTTAAAATGAGATTATTTCAGTTTAAATTTGACATAAAATGGAAATAATGGAAACTGAATAATCTATAAATACGTTATTTATCTTAGAAACAATATGTACTTACGATACAAATGAACTAAATGTTACTTTTCGTGAAATTAGTACGACCCATTAATATAGTTATAAATTAGCAACTAGTCAAAAAGAAAAAAAAATGCCAAAGAAAAACAAAATTAAACGTTAATAATAAGTGTAGTAACCCGTTGCAAAAATTTAAGAAATCCCGCGCAATTTACTTATTCGAATAAGAAGAAGAAGAAGAGATCGAGAGTAAAGTGTTCAGTAGATCTTACTTCTTATCTTAGGCTTATGGTTAGTTAAGAAGAGGTTTAGAGATTATGTATTATGTTACGTGCGAAACAGAAGCGTTGTTTAAGATTTATGCCTTTATGGAAAAATAAAGTTTTAAAGAAAAATACAGTGTGCCTTCCTGGAATAGTCACCCAGATAAAGCTCCCTACATAATTATCTTTACTTTTGTATTTAACCTGGATTTGTAATCAATATCCGAATTTAAGATAAAAAATATTTCAAAACTGATAAAGCTATGCAACCCATGTGTACATTTATTATTATTTCGAAAAGAATATGTACCTACGATACAAATGAACTAAATGGTACTTTTTAGTTCAATATGTAAATATAGTAAAAGCTCCGGGGAATACGTTCCGAAAATGTACCGCGAATACAGTTTGGCATTTTGTATGGAAATATAGGGGATACATTCCAAAATAGCAAAATAATAATAAAATGCCTTATTAATTATTATCCAGTTTAGGCAATGGTTTTAATTACTTAGTGATTTTATTCTTGTTTTGCAGCTAATAAGACATTTTAATTCTTCGAATTGATATTCAGCTGTGGCAGTATCAATTTACCTTTAAAAAATAGACTTCTTTCCATGAATGGATCAATTTTTACAAAGAAATCACAAAGCTTATTTGCCATCCGTAAACCTATACTCCGGCTTTTAAAATTTAGTATCACACTTTCAGCGCTCGTTTAAGGTTCCTCTTCAACGAAATGGGGATTTAACATTTCCTTCAAGTCAGTTTATGCCAAATCTTTATCGTGCAATTCAAGTGACTCCTAAAAGTCACTTGATTCTATCAGTTCAAAACCATCTCGTCTTATTCCATTTGCAACTTGCACAATGTTTGCAATTAACATTTGAATTCGCACATGGGTTTTTTTCCTTGTAGGAACTAATTTTCTTTTTAAATTACAATTGACATTATAAATTCTGAACAAAGCTGAAGAGATATTATTCCATCAAAGTTATTGAGACAAATGCAAAATTGAAATAATTGTGAAAAAAAAGATTCAGTATAGTCTTTCCGAAGTCAGTTGAACATGTAAAAAAACGCCTGGCAATAAACTTTAATGAGTTTCATAGGCGTCCCTAAAAAAGTTTTCTGATAAAGGTAAAATGCCATGTTGTGACAATATTAGTAAACAAAATGTTCCTCTTATTTCTCCCTTTCGGAATTGTAATATGAATGATTAATAGAAGGTGTTTATAATAAATTAAAATTACCTGAATCATACCAAATTCCACATTGCTGCACTGCACTGCTGGGCAATTTGTCGACCACTTGTCAACTGCTGAGATTTATTGCCCGGTGGCCCAATACAACTGTATTTGCATTTTGTTTGGCCGTGCTCGCATTCTTCAACTGGGCGTAAACATTTCTACCACCACGTTTAATTCGACCAGACCTGTTTATGGCTATGGCTAAATAAATATGCGAACAAACTTTTCAAATATTTCAGAGCCGAGTTGCTGCGTTAGCGATCGAACCTGGTACATACCGTCATCCTCTCGGTTCTTCAATTGATATCGGAAAGATTATACCAATTATGGGAACCACCAATAAGGACCTTTGACTGTACTGATTACAGATTTTGATATACGAATTTATGTCACAATATTACTTTAAATGTGAAAAAAATCTATTTCTGCACCAATAAGAAAAATTTCATAGTTGCAAATACATAAATCTTGGAAAATGTATGGTACACAATGATTTAAAAATGTTCCATTATAAAGATTCTTATTATAATTTAATTTTGTGGAATTAGGTATTAAATGAAACACAAACCGATAGGAATTTCTATATTTCCACAATTTTATAAATCATATTTTAAAAACAGAATTCCAAATCAAGTAAAAAATGCCGAGGCACATTAATATTTAACAGTATAATAAATCAATAATATTAACAGTTAATAAATAAGTTAGTTAACACATAACATTTTTTTTATATCGTTAACCCTGGACTTTATCTCAGGCTGGTTATCGTTAGCGATATCGGGTAAAACTTCCTTGAACATATTACACAAGTTGTCCAGTTCTCGAGTACGGTTCCTTTCCCTTAATTTGGTTCCCAAACAGAATACCACATTCAGAGCTTCCTTCCTCAACCTGGTATGCTTAGATATTCCTAAAAAAATAGTTATTTATGTAACAAGTCCGTCAAAGCATTGTGTGTACGTTAAATAAAAAAATTTTCAGCACAATCCGCTAGAACGCTAAAAACCTCAAATTTCGACAAAAAATTCAGGCAGAGTGAAGAAATGCAATTGGAAATAATATGTGGCGAGGCATATGTTGCTAATTGCATGTAAAAGTAATTTATGTTTTAATGTAATTATTTGTGCTATTTTATTGAATAAATAATTAAAAATAAATAAAAATACTCACTAATCTAATAAATTTCAAATAATTTTTAAAATCGTTTTAACTTTTAATAAAAAGGTGACGGTGCTACAATTTTTTTAAGAGCACTGTGTTTAGTTTGTTAATCTCAGTGTCAATGACCTCTAGCATTGACCTAGTTTAGGTGAACTATATCGTGTTAATCCACCTTATGTGATATGACAACAACACTAGACATGCAAAAAATAAACGGCAAAGGTTAATTCTATGAAACGAGAATGACACTATTGCGTCTGCTTCATTTTTTATTTAGAAATGAGAAGATTTTGAAAAATCAATTCAATAATTTTTTTTTAAAAAGATTTATATTAATAACAACTGGTTTTATCAGAGTAAATACAGGAACCAGCTCAAGTCTTCAAGTATTCAGTGACTTTCGTACTCATCTCTCATTTGATTTGATACAAGTTGATTTAATGATAATGTCCGTCTAACTGATAGTCGAATTGACATTCGTTTAGCAGAGGACTTTGATTTACCATTTCTGTATAAAATATCTTACTTAAAGACACCTTGTTTAGTAAAATTTTAACAATATCTAATGATACATTTTAGAAACACACTTGAATACTTAATAATTAATCCATTGTTAAACCAGTGTTAAATGTTTGTCAGTGTTCTTGAAATCGACATTTTGCTGAAATCGAAATAGAATTTTTATAATGCAGTGTTGTATTATTAAGTTTAATTTTATAAAGTTATTTATATCAGTGTTTATCAAATTTCTATTGAAGAAACAAGTATAACGAATATATTTTTTTCGTGTCTCTTGTGACAATATGTTAGTTTATCATGTTTTAAGAGCCCTCTCAAAAAATCTGCTCAAAAAAAAATTTTTAGAGGTCACTCAAGATTTTTAAAAATTTCCAAAATTTTCAAAAATTGAATTTTTTTACCCGTTATTTTATCATTTTCTAGGTTGAAATAAATCTCGATTCTGAAAATTTCAAATCGATATTTTAATTTCTAAAGGTCACTCATAATTATTTTAACTTAGTAGTAGTGTACCTTAAATGTTTTTGAGCGACCTCTAAAAATAAATATCAACGAACTAATAATTTTTTTTATTGAATTTGATGAACAAATGAATAGAAATAAATCATGAGACACTTAAATTTAAAAAAATTGAAAAATTATAAATATTTGATACTCACAGTGAGGTAGTAAATTTTGCCTCGAGAAATTTTTTAAGTGTCTCGTGATTTATTTCTATTCTTTTGTTCATCATTCAATAAAAAAAATTATTAGTTCATTGAAATTATAAATATTTGATACTCAGTGCGGTAGTAAATTTTGCCTCGAGAAATTTTTTAAGTGTCTCGTGATTTATTTCTATTCTTTTGTTCATACCATTCAATAAAAAAAATTATTAGTTCGTTGATATTTATTTTTAGAGGTCGCTTGAAAACATTTTAGGTACACTACTTTTAAAGTTAAAATAATTATGAGTAACCTTTAGAAATCAAAATATCGATTTGAAATTTGCAGAATCGAGATTTTTTTCAACCTAGGAAATGATAAAATAACGAGAAAAAATTAAAAAAAAAATCAAGTTTTGACGATTTTAGAAATTCTTAAAAATCTTGCGCGACTTCTAAAAAAATTTTTTTTGAGCTGGGGCTCTTAAAACAGGATAAACTAACATATTTTCACAAGAGCCACGAAAAAAAAAATTAGTTTTTTTGGGCCACCCTAATGAATCAAAAACGATGAGTTTTGACAAATAATGCATACCGTAGCTCCCAATTGCGTATGCTGTTTGAGATTACACTACTCTGTCCAGAGGCGATGTATGACACTTGCAAAAAAAAGTTAGAAACAAAATTGAGTTTTCACAAATGAAATTGAAAAACCAAATTTATGATAAATGTTTCTAAAAAAATGTCTGCTACACTTGTCGATACTGGGTCCAAATTGATAACATTAAAACGACCTGGTAGATGGCATTTGTCATCTGCCGCTTGAGGTTATATGGGGGAACCATTTAAAAAAAGCAAGTATCAAATTAATTTTAGGAGAGAATACTGCAGATTTATCAACGTCCCCCAAAGCCTAAGGATTATCGACTGAAATGGTTTCAAATCAAAATTCTGTTGGAGAAATCTTTCCAGTAATAAGATTTTCCTTTACTGGCGAATGTGGAGTAAAATATTTTCAACATTGTTTTGCTGGCCTAGCCCAGAAAAGTGGCCTTTTGCAGACTACTTTTAGTTCTCAAAACATTCATTTCGAGGAGCTTATAAAGGAAATTAGTTTAATGAATTCTATTTAAATTATATACAAATTTTCTCACCTAAAGAGTACTGCACAGCCTTAATGACGTTTTGCATAATTTTCTCCAAACTCTGCTGCTCCGCTTCCACCAAACTCGTTTCTTTAAGCAACAACAATTTATCCACATAGTTATACAGAGCCAACATGACGCTAATTTGAACAGATCTAGTAACAGTCGGCAAGCACTCCACCGTGTGTTCTACAAACATCTCTCTGTATTTTTCCTGAGTAGTTTTACTGTTCTCGGGCCAAGCTTTTCCTAATGTCTCGTAGGCAGTCTCTTTGAGTTTTATATTGTGTTCCCTGTTTTTCGACACTTCCTCCGACGATATGTCTTCATCCTCGTCTTTGTTCGACTTCTCGTTACTCAAAACGCCCTGTATAATGTTGTAAACTTCCTCAAACTTGTCTACTTCTAAGGAGGACAGCACTTCGCCTAAACACTGAAGGGCGCTGTTCTTATAGACGATTTCGTCTTTGCGGCTTTCTTTTACAACCGCATCGACGATTGCGTTGATGTCTATGTCTTTGTCGGCTTGAATGACATCCCTAAAAATGCCCAATTTATTACGCTACCTCTTACAAAACAATACGAGCGTTATAACAACAAACTTTTACACTCCCTGCCTACACTTGTAATGCAAAACAGGGTCTTTTCACAATAAGCGACTTACTTGCAGTTGCTGCATATGCTGGAAAGTGCTTTTAGAAGTTTATCCTTCCCATTCCATGTCCTACCCGAAAGACCGCTCAATAAAATGGTTATTAAAGTATTTCTATGTGTTGAATCCATGGTGCTACCTAATTTTTGGGCAATAGTTGAGACTGCGTTAGCTGCCTGTGAAAATTAAATTTTAAGTAATACTACATCTGTTAGGGTTAGCACTAAAACATGAAAATCATGGTCAAGATTCATACAAAGGTCTGTTTTATAACAATTAATTATAATATAATTTTTACTATTTTTTAAACGGATAAAATAATTTTGTGTTTTCTCTGCACGGAAATTGTAATGTGCTTGTTATTTCGCGTAGTATTCCAATAATATTTCGGCTTGCACGTAAAACACCTATTTCTATTGCTTTTAACTTCTTTAAATCTCATCATGTTTCACTCTTCGCAGATGTGTGTCAGTGCTTGTCATAAGTGTACAATTAGGAAAGATTTATTACTATTTTCACATTTTAGTTCATCCAATAAATGTTAAAAATGGAATTGTGTGTGCAGGTATTAGGGAACGTATCCATGCTACGTGACCCGTTCAGGGGGGGGTCTTCAAAAAAATTGTAAAAAACGGGTCACGTAGTATGGGTACGTTCCCTTAGTTGTCAATCTGATAACATAGGCACACAAAAATAATTTTTTCATACTTTTTAACAGAGTGACACCCCTGTATTTTGACCCACTGAAGACGATGGAGCCATCAGAAATGCTCCATCAAGTCAGGATTTTTCCTAACAACGAAGCATTTTAGAGAAAAAAGTGCAAGAAAGATGCCTGTGCACTTTAATTTTAAAATATCGGCATTCCCGAATTTCCGTTTGCTATGTTTTTTTCCCTTTCACTAGGTTTAGGGCTCATGATATATTCCTTTTCATTAGTTTACGGTTTGCATTAATTGGATCAAAATAAAAACTTGCTGGGATTAGAACAGACCCTAATACATACAGGTTTGGAAAGTCCCCATGGTACATCGGCCATTACGTGAGAGCGATAAAGTAAGTCATAGAAATCCGTGCGATAGACAAGGATGATTACATTGAAGATGTTTCATAATCTGAATAGTCAGTCCCACTTCTAACCCGAAACGGGCGGTGACTATTCAAATTATGAAACGTCTTCACTATAGCCACCCTTGTCTATTGCACAGATTTCTTTACTTTACTTTGTCGCTCTCATGTAAAGGCAGATGGACCATGTAGATTTTCCAACCCTGTATAATAATAATAGAATAATTATATAAAAGTGATTTACTTGCGCTTTCATGGTCCAAGATGGCGATTCCAGAGCCATCTTCAGCATATTGCAAATGTTCTCCAGATTCTGACGGATACCGGTCTCAGTACCAGGGCTCTGTTCCGACCATATCTCCGTCCAAACCTCCAAAGTTTTCTCCGTTTCGGGGGTTTTCTCTGCATGCATTGCAAAGAAAACTAGAGGTAGTACTACATCGGCATGTGACTTCAAAATTTCCTGGTTGTGAATTCCTATCGACTGGATCGTATAGGCACAAGCCGATCTTATAGAATCATCTGTAAATCGGAAGATTTAAATGTCATAAATATATTATCTATTAAATTGTTTTATAGTTACAGGGCAAAAATTTAGAAAAAAATCTTTTCTCAAAATCTCTGTATTTAACAGTGATACACCCTGTATAACAGTTGTGTGTGATACGTGTCTACTGTAACAGTTTGCCTAATTTTGTTAATTTAAATAAGATTATAAATCTGAGGTTAGGTGAAGAAGCTAATCTAAAGTTAATGGTGTAGTGCTGGGCTGGTGCATTTCGATAATCATTGTTTGATAAAAGAAGCAGTGTGCTTTCGATCTGCTGTTTACTGTGTACTATGTCACGGAAGTAGTGAAAATTGATTTAAAGTGCATGTCTTTGGTGTCACCTAGAAACAAAGGTTTGTGCATTACGGTGCTTGGCAATTCCTCGTGCTGACATTATTCTACAAAAAAACTTCGTCATTTCCTTCAGTTAAATTTTCTTCTACGAGTAAAAGTAAAAGTATATTATTTTTGCAATAAATATTTAAAAATTACAATTACAAGTCGCATAGAATATTGAGGTGGAAAAATACTCTTTTCTCACTGTTGTATACGTCCGGGAATAACGAAAAATTATGTTTGACCGCAGTTTAATGTTTCCTAAACTATCTACCAAGTATGATAGAGAAATATTAAACAGTAACAAAATAATTGAAGATGAAGCACCCGATCATCTTTATGACTAGAAAGTAACTAGATTGAGAATCTTGCTTGTAGATAGTGAAGAATCGAGTTTAAAATACTTAAAATTATATATTTCCATTCCTCAATTATTATTTTTTACCCAATAAATGCCAAAAGTTGCAACAGAAACTTGGCAACAGCGCACGAGTATGCTGAGTTTATTATTTGTAAGTCGACAGTCCTTGTCATGTATACGAGGTCTGTTAGAAAAGTATCCGACCTTATTTTGTTTTGTGAAATCCTGATGGATTTGAATCAAGCCCGCTTGCATGAGCTTACCTTAAACCTTTGTGCGCATACGTGAATTTTTTCCCGTCTGTCTATAGCGACAGTCACTAGCAAGCAGTGTTTGAGTGAGGTACTGCGTAGTGTTCTCGTCGGTTTCTTTATCACAAGGAAAATGACGGAACAACTGGAGCGGCGCTACTACATAAAATTTTGCCAGAAACTGGGCGACAGTCAAGTGGAAATCATTCGGAAGATGCAGACGGCTTTCGGTGATGATGCTATGGGCATCACACAGATTAAGGAGTGGTACAACCGCTTTAAAGACGGCCGCACATCGGTGGATAGTGAGCCACACTCCGGTCGGCCATCAACATTCCCAAAATGAATGCTGTGGAGATGGGCATCAGCACTTTTTGGACAAATTCCAGTATAACCCAAGATTTGGCCATGAAGAGAGTTGCAGAAAAATTTGTGTGAAGCTGTTCACATCGGAGCAAAAGCAACTTCGTGTTGAAGTCTCACAGGACATGCTGGATTTCACAAACAGTGACCTCGACTTCATGAACACCATCATCACCGGTGACGAGTCTTGGGTGTACGGGTAAGACCCGGAAACCAAATTCCAGTCGTCATAGTGGAAGCATTCCACGTCACCAAGAGCAAAGAAGGCCCGCCAAGTGCGTAGCAACGTCAAAGTGATGCTGACTGCTTTCTTTGACTCCAACGGTGTGGTACACCACGAGTACGCACCTCAGTGTCAAACAATCACCAAAGAGTACTACAAGAATGTCTTCAGACGTCTACGTCATGCTGTGCGGCACAAGAGACCGGATTTGTGGTCAACAAGAAATTGGCGCATTCATCACGACAATGCTCCAGTATATACCTCGCACTTGATTGAGACTTTTTTGGCGAAAAACCAGACGCCTGCATTCGACAGTCTCCTGATATGGCCCTCTGCGACATCTGGCTGTCCCCCAAACTCAAGAGGCCATTAAAAGGAAAGCGATTTTAGACAAGAGAGGACATTATGGCTGCAACGACAGCCGAGCTAAACTCTATTTCGAAAGAGGCCTTCTCGGAATGCTTCCAACAATGGCAGCATCGCTGGGAGAACTGTGTGAAGTCCCAAGGAGACTACTTTGAGGGTGATTAGGTTTCCAACGCTCCAGGCATTCCAATTTTTTTTTCTTCGGCCAAAAGTCAGATACTTTTCTAACAGACCTCGTATAGGTATATATTATGCTATATGATCGCGCTCACAGCTGATGCTTTAACCTATAAAATGTCGGATGAAGAACAGTCGGAAGAAAGGAAAATTTATGACCAACAGAATGTATGAGTGCTTGAGAACTAGAACAGAAAATAGCAAAAGCAGGAAAAAAGCTGTTGAAGAGAAGATTGTGGAGCCAGAACCTCCGCACACCACTCGAGAGCATCAACTAATCGACAGACACAAAGCATACACTGCTTGTTTTGCAAAGAACTTTTACATATTTTAGATTATGTGCACACTGTGATCACGTGGAAAAGTTTAAATATGATTTAGTTACATGCATAAGTAGCATAATACTATGATTATAAGACAAGAGTTTAAAGCGATTGCATTTATGAAAGTACATATAATACAATTTGACATAATGTAGTATTATACTGTGATCCGTTGTTATTGCAACCAAAAGTATTCTAAAAAATATACTGAAATTATTGAAATGTTAATTTTAAAATGAAAAATTATATTAAAAATGCCATAATTTATCAAAATGCATTGTTTGAAAATTTGAAAATTTCTCATTTTATTTTATTATTCCAAAATGAATTACACAAATAAACACAAGTTGAATGTAATTCATTTCTAATGACTAATTTCTGTATCGTAACGTTTATTTAAATTTCCCGCCACCTATCCTCATTCATACTCTATTGCGTTGTTGCCCTTAGTCATTCCCGTTTATTACTTGGTGGACGACAAGTCAGAATTTTTATGTTTGATAATTTATTTCTCTGTGAAATGTGCGGTAACCCATTTTTTCTTTCTTGTGTGTCTTTATTGTTAAATTTATGGGCGATATTATGCAAAAACATATATAAAAATGAAGATGAGAAAAAGGTTAAAAAATATTCATGACGGAACTGAGAAAACAAATCTATGATATATTTCTAAAAGTCTAAAGTAATCTCTTGGTATAAATACGTCTCCCGTTCAACGTTACACCCTGTACGGTGTTTTCTTTATGGCGCATATCAAATAAACATCAATTTACCTTCTCTCTCAAAGTACCAATGTTGCAACTTAGCAAACAATTTCTCTAGACTAGACTCCTTGGCAGTGGAAACCAAATGCCCGATGGCGGTAGCGTAATGTTTCCTAATTGCGGCATTCCTATCAGTGAGGCCGTTCACTAACGCAGCCAAAAACTTTCCTATAACGACAAAGCCTCGTTTAGCAAAAAAACCTCAACTAACCCCCGGTGCTTCCTAACCTGTGTAAGGCTGAACGTCTTGCCCCAACTGAACCACCAGCAATGTGATAAAATGGGCGCATGCAATTCTAGTACCTAGTCCTACAGATCCCCTCATCAGATCTACTATCTTCGGCACTAACTCCTCTAATATGGAAGCGTCTGCGTATTGCAGGCTCTACAAAACTATTCGGTCAACAGAACTCCGACGACTACTATAAGCAGGACTTACCTTCGAAACGGTTTCCGTGGTGAAATGTGACTTGGCGAACGAAGCGCGGGCACTGTCGATCGCTTCTTGGGCTTGCGACTGAGCTCCTAACATGGTACTGAGGTACGATAACTTTGTCGACTCCAGTTCGCCTGTCGCTTGCAAAAGAGCCGGGATGAGCTTTGGCAAGAACGGTTTTAGTTGTTTACCGGCAGATGTCACCAGTTCCGATATGGTTTGCAAGCTGTATACAAAATGTGTTAGTTCAGTTCAGTTCGATTTTACTACAAGCAAAAAATTTAACCCTTTCACTGCTCCAGACGTATATATTTGCTTAAAATTTATAGGGCTCAAACTGCTCCAGACGTATTAATTCGCATGAATAGTTAAATTGGATCAGGCTGCTCAAACCGTATATATTCGCAAACATGCGCATTGGTGACTGGGTTATTGCAATTGGTAAGTCGAATTTTTGCGGGCGAGCTTATACCGATTGTGACAAATATTTTTATGGAAAGAGGTACTGGTAATAATACCAAGATTGTTCATGTTTCTTTCAGTTTCTATTTAGTACATATACTGTATTTTATTCAAAATAAAATCGTAAAATTTATCGTAAATCGTAATTTAACACAACATAATGTAAAACTATAAGTGGTCTAACTGCTCCAGACGTATAAATTCGCACGTGATAAACTTTCGCGCACGGCGCGGTAGCTACGTTCAGACGTATTGCGCAGCGAAAGGGTTAAGAAACGCTTTTACTCACAAAAATAATAGTACAGTACCAGCCAGCATTGAATTAATTAATTAACATTTTCTTTACAAATTTTTCCCCTGTATTATCTTTTAATGTAAATGTTTTTGTAGGAATTGCGTGAAAAAAAGTCTTTCATCGGCACTAAAAAGATATTTTGAAGCTTAGTCCTTCAATAATGACTGCAACTTAGCTTTCCAGTCGTCAATATTTTGAAAGTTTATGTAATACAACTGGTTTTACAGAAAATTTTATGCATCTAACAAAATTTTTCCAACCAACCATTGGAAGCTTTGAAGTCAGTTAGCTGCAAGCTTTGAGCAGCATCCAAAGCCTTTACTTTGAGTAGAGGTCCAGATAAGGGAATATTCTTGTCTCGCAATTTACAAATCCAACTAAAAACTGTTTTATCAACAAGCAGTTTTTGGAAATATTCTTTTTTGCCTCAGATTTCTATTGTTTGAAAAAATTTTTAAATTTCGTTTTTATTTTTCAATACTGAAATATCTCAAGCGGTTTCAAAAATATTAATTAATTTCCTTCTTTTTCCTAAAATTTTATCACCCCGTATTTTCGCAACGGAACATTTTTGGACCACAGTTTATAAAGCAAATTTCTTCTTGAAGTCCGGAAGTACCAACCCAACAGATTTCCAGCCTCAGATCAGTAATGAGGTTATGTTATTGGAATATGTAAATAATTGTGTGGCATCGTGCTAGTTTTGCATTGTTTTTACTGATTTGCAACTTACAAAAACTAATATTTATATAATATGTGTCAGAACGGTACCGCTGTTATATCACTACAATTATGAGTGGCAAGGTGACATTTTTGAAATTTATTTGCTTCTTTGAACCATTGGTAGAACTGATTTATGCGTCAAAAAACTTGATAAAGTCTGTAGCAGTGTAAAACCACACTGTTTACCAATAAATTCGTGAATTAATTCATGAAGAACTTCGTCAATTTATTCATCAATAAATTATCAATGTAAAACAGCTATTAGTTAACTATTTGCGATACAACCGACCCTAATAGCTGCTTTACATTGACAATTTATTGATCAATTAATTCATGAAGTCGCTTCTTCAAGAAATTGGACAAGTGTAATGCACCAAATCTGCTGTCAAATAACTTCATGAATTTATTCATCAAGTTCTTGATGAATTAGAGCATGTTCTAATTTTCGTCAATTTCTTCATGAAGTTCGGAAGTACCAACCCAACAGATTTCCACCCTCAGATCAGTAAAGAGGTTATGTTATTGGAATATGTAAATAATTGTGTGGCGTTGTACTTTTTTACTGATTTGTTATTTACAAACCCTAATATTTATATAATATGTGTCAGAACGGTACCGCTGTTATATCACTACAATTATGAGTGGCAAGGTAACACTTTTGAAATTTATTCGCTTCTTTGATTCATTGGTAGAACTGATTCATACGTCAAAAAACTTGACAAAGTCTGTAGCAGTGTAAAACCACACTGTTTACCAATAAATTTGTGAATTAATTCATGAAGAACATCGTCAATTTATTCATCAATAGATTGTCAATGTAAAACAGCTATAAGAGATAGTAATATTAAGAAAACCCCATTGTAAAATCCCGTGAAAGAAGAATTGTCAGTTATTTAGAAATATCCGCTATCCAAGTGTCCGTAAATAGATGTTTTTACTGTACTTTCATTAGTTATTTAAAAAGAAGTCTTTTAATTCAAAATAGATGTCAAAAAATTAATTAAAAAGAAAATAACATTCAAGATTACATAACTCCATTAATATTGAATTTCAAAAGTGCCATAGAAACTTGTAGACCGGCGGACAAAAAAAAGTCTCCATTCCCTTTAAATATTTTAGATCTTTTTATAAATTTTTGTCCACAGCTGTACCATTGTTTTTATCAGTACAATCATCTCGTAAATTCGTTTATTATAAAATCCGAACACCTTATATGAACATATGTAATAGGTAACTTACCATATTAAACGTATTTCCGACACGGAATTTGTAATCCCGACATTCAACAGCGGCGGCAAAATAGCTTCCACCATTTTAACACCCGCCTTGCCCTGACTTACGTCACAGCCTCTGATGCAAAGCTAAAAAAACAAGTCACAACCTGAGTTCGCAGACTTCCATGGTAGTTGTCAGTAGTTACATAATCACTGGGCCGGTTACCACATCATCGGTTTAGATTGTTGATATTCTGTGAGATGCAACGCTCTCTTCAGAAATTGGAAATAAACTGGAGATTGTCTTAGTCTTCAAATTAACATAATTTCAATCAAGATGGGAAAGAATTACCTCGAATTTGGGAATGACAACTATTAAGATGGAAGAGCGGAATGTCACAGACCACAGAATTCAAACTGTGCACGGAACGTCATGGATTAGCCCATACAGCAAATAAATACCAGCCAGCGTGTTTAATTTACAATTTCAAAGAGTCTTCTGAAGAAAAGCATAAAGAATAGAAGAATGTTTCTCGGAATGTTGAGAAATCTAAAACGACAACGTGGCAACCCACTCAAAAAAAATTCAACCAAAACAAATCATAAATCAAAGGTTTATCTCTTACCTTGCTCAAAATTTTTGCCGTTCTGGTAGCGGTGAGCCTGGTCTGCTCGTGGTGATCATCCATAACCCTAAAGAGTTTCGTCCACAGGTCGTTCATAGAATTAACAGCATCGTGAATAGTTCTATTACCAGAACCCTTCAAAAAGTCTTGCAAAGCCAAGCAGCACGATTGCCTAACTCTGTATTGAGAGGAGTTGATGTTCTCTAACAGATCGGCCAAGATTTCATTGTAGAATTCATCCATCTAAGAAAAAATTATACTCTAAGACCGAAAAAAAGAAAACGGTAATACACCTTACGATTTTTTGAGGCTCCGATACTAAAACCCTCCAAATATTCTGCATGGAGGCTTGTATGCTGGGTGTGGGATCGTATTGATACCTATAAAGCTTCGGTATTATTTGAGATAAGTGAGCCTTGAGCGCTTCCCCACACTTTTCCGCTATGCTCGAAAAACCGAACGCTGCCCCCTTCTTAGAGTTCCAGATCGCGTTGTGATTGGCAAGGTGCATGAACTGGTAAATCAGATCCGGTTTATTCAAGTCGGACGCCAGCGAACACAACTCTTTATATGTCGTTAAGTTACCACTAAAAATAGAATTATTTATCAAAATCTTTTTTAATTGATGATATTGCGGATAACTACTCTGGGAGCTAATGCCTCGACAAGCTTTGAATTATAATCGCAATATCTAGAAAGCAGTTAGGACCATTCGTCAGTCAAACCACCACTCATATACTGGTTTTGGACTTATCAAGATGCCAATGGTGATACAACTGCTTTTGATATCTTAGCTACAGATATGAAGTGAGTATACATGTGACACAGCAGAGCGTTGCATAAATAAAGGCTTAGGCCTTTAATATGGCCACACTGGCAGAGAGCATCCTGCAATTTCGTCGGTAGATATTATGAAAACATAACCTATCACTAACTACCATTGTGGGAAACAAAAACAAAAACTAGAGATAGGCTAGAATCGAAGAACTTCTAACTTACCCAGTAGGCGCCGAACCAAGCTGACCTTCTTCAAATAACTTCGTATCGCTGGTCACCTGAGCCACCTGCCTTGTCCCAGAAGTCAGCTGCTTCACCAACGTCTGAAGCAGTTCCTCGGATTTGTATATATCGTATAAAACACACACAGCTTTCGATGCAGCGTCTTGCACAATGTCTAAAACAAAGCATTTTAACCTAAAAAGTTATCGGGTTGATATCGCTTACCGTTGCTTTCACACAACAGATCCATGAAAACGTTCTGCAATGCCTGCACCCGTTCCGTGATAGGTTCCCTCTCACCGCATCCCTTAACGATACTCAACAACCAAATACAGGAAGCCTGCCTAGAATTCGGATGAGTTTGTTTGGTTAAGGAGAGAAGCTCGTCGAGCAGCCACTCCAGGTTGTCGTTCGGGAGGGGTTTGTCGGTCAGTGGGGTGTAGTCTGAGGGTGAGATAGTCCACGGATTTCTGGCTTCTGGAGACCAAATGATTTGGCAGCACATCACTAGCGACTCGCCGATTGTAAAGTGAACCTCGACATCTTTTGTCTTTAAAAAAGGAGACAAAGTTATTTAATGTACAATGGTTTTTCGGATTGTTATGCCATGGGCTGTGTACCTGGTCGCAGCCAGTTACATTGCACTTCCACCCTCACAGAGGCTAGCCCAAGAACAACAAGGATAGGTCAAAGACTACTAACTAAGGCTATCAAATGTAAGACTGTAGCATAACAGTCTGAAAAACTATGTGATAAAATGGAGCACACAGGAATAGATTTAGGATAGTTTTTATTTAAATAAACACTCTTCAATTAAGCTGGAAGAATTGGAATACCAAAAAATAACACTAAATTGCTGCCGGAGACTTTGTCTGTTTAAAAACATAATAGCCTTGTTTGTACAGGGTGTGGCATTTATAATAAGTAAAATTGTAAACCCTTATTGCTGATTATAATTGAAACAAAACCACATAATTTTTATGGCATTGTTGTAAGATGTATACTACAACATTTTAAAAGGCGACAAAGAATAAATGTCAGTCCTGTACCAATAAATCTAGAAACAATCCGCACACATAGGGAGCATCAGCTTCTCGCACCTATAGAATTATTGTTATCATCAGCGCTTGTGACATATGTGACTTTTTTTGTAAAAATATTACCTGTCCTTGTAGATTACGAGGATTATTATTACCTACTATTGAGCTCGTGTTTTTACAAAAAGTAATAAATAAATTTTGTTATTTTTAATACAGCTTTTTGTTTAGTTTAATTTTTTTACAATGGCATGTCATAATTAGAATTATTTTAAGTATTTTGTGGTATTCACATTACATTTTAAAATCGTAAAAATAATAATAGATAACATTGTGGTTGAATAGTATTTAAATAACAAAGATAAAAATAAAATTATAATTAAATACAATATAGACTCTTTAATCCGAAATAATTAAAACACGGGCTTAAAGAGATAGGTTCGAATTACCGATATTTTCGGATTACTGGATTGTAAATATGTACATATGTAAATATGTTTATGTACATACATATAATATGAATTAGATTTTATGTGTTACTGAGAAGGCAAAAAATAACAATAAAACCAAACATTATCGTAAAATATGTCGTATAAATATCGACAAGTTTGCACGGCAATTATATTTCAACTAAAAAGATCTAATCGAGAAAGGTTCCGACGCGCATAAAAGAATTTTGTTCGAATTAAAGAGTTTTGTTCGGACCATTGAAACGGGCATTCGTCGGCTCGTCGGGCCAGATTAGTGGATATTAAGGTGAGTTCGAATTAGTGTCTATACTGTACTCGATTTTTGTTAAAGGGTTACACTACTGTAAAGTTTTCATAAAATCCTTTGTTTTTTTTTTGCTTAAAAGGTAATTTGAACCTTCTAGAATATGAGGCAAAAGGTTTTATACATGAAAACTTTTTTTTTAATTTTGCGCTTTTCCTAAAACGTGTCGGGCATCTCTCATACGGCTACCTGCGCTATGGACATACTTGCTCGGAAGGTATCGCACACTTTCTTACCTATTGATTTATAACTTCTCTAATGCACTCATAGATATCGTTAGGGAGTATGCGTGTACAATTCAAGCAAAATTTAAAACAGTCAAATTTTTTATTTTTTCATGTCTAAAACTCATTTTTAAGACTTTAAACGCGTTTTTCTCGAAACACTCTTTTTTAAAAAGGCACGCACCCAACTCCAACAATTTTCAATATTTTCTTTTGAAATCTTAACCACATATTTAAAACAACATTTAGAAACACGTATGGATTTTTCGATAAGTTAATTTAAACAATTGTTATAAACATATAACTGCCCTTCTTTTCTTCAAAAATTTAACGTTTTACTTCAAACACTTGCTAATTTTACAAAAAACAATATTTCTACAATCCCGTACGTGTTTCTCTAGCTATACTTAAGTAGATTAAGAGCAATTTTTTTTTGTTCCACCTTGAAATTTGCACTAGTTCTAGTGCGTGCCGTGGAACGCCTCGACGGCAACATGCTTCAAGAAAATAGCTCCAGTGCCGCCATTTTGAAAAAAAAAAAATTCTGTACACTTAATACACGGCTAATAACAAACTTAAACAGTTTCTTTCTTATTACCTTTCGTTCTGTTAAAAGAAATTGTCAAAAACATGCTTTTTTTAGGCCGTTACAGTGGTGTAACCCCTTGAAAAAATTCATTACATCCGTTATTATACAGACCTGGCAAAGATTGGGTTTCAGATAGGCGGACAAATGAGTACAATAAAAACGAATAGCAAAATAGGCATGATAAACAAAGGTAGCCATAGTTTCGTTGGGAACGGTCTTCTCGGTAATGTTGCCACAAGCAGTCTCAACTCTCATAATTTCTTAAACGGCTTGACTCGTGATGTTTCGTTCAGTATTGTTTTGTCAGCGGTGGAGTGTACGTCAAATGTACTAATATTGGAAATAAATCATACTTATTTGGTGCTTTCTAACATTATTTTCATTCATATCAAATAATAATGAAATGTGTGGAAATAATTTAAGATGATAAGATGATAATAGTTTGGATTAGTAAATTTACTGGTAAATCTCAGCAACACCGCCGAGAAGATTGTTCCCAATGAAACTACGGCTATCTTTGTTTATCATGCGTATTTTCCTGTTCGTTTCCGTCCTACTCATTTGTTCGCCCTATCTGAAACCCAATCTTTACCAGGCATTCCAAGCATTCTGTTAGGGCCTAATGTTAAATTTGCAGAAATTATTACCTGGACAAAAAAAATATGACCGTATAGGAAATTAAATTTCAAATTGAGTTTCTTGTTTTTTAAACTCGATCCAAAATGGCGAACATGGCCAAAAAAATTCACAAAGTTGCAAAAAACGGTTTTTCTTAAATAACTAAAAAACTATAGCACCAATCGAAAAATTTTAAATGAGAAAGTTGCAGATTTTAAAAAAATATATCGACTGCCTTTTTATACATATCGATTGTTTTGTTACTTTTCGAGATATATTGAAGAAACCTTTAAAAATCTTCTTTTTTTTTTTCTATAACTCATTTACATTTACGTTCCCATATTTATTTACTGTAAATATAGCCCACGACAAGCCAAAAATGCACATTTTTGAAAAATTTAAAAATATTGATTATTTTTCGATATATGTATTGATTTTTTAAAAAAAAGGCCCTCGCAGAAATTGGCTAAATCTTATCCAGTGTGTGACACGACAGTACCGATTTTTAGTTTATTTTCTTCGTAAAGAGTTGTGTTACCATGCTATTAAAAAATTTTAACGAGATTTTATTAATTTTAAGGATCAAAAAAATAACTGAAAAAATTGCCTGCTTTTTGGGTATATTTTTTTCAAATAACTTTCAATTTTTACTTTATAGCGACTTTTATAGAAAGAAATTGCTGATATTTTTTCATGAAATTAAATAAAAAATGTTTTCTATGACCTTCTGGAGCCGAGCTAACTTTTTTATTTAAAAAAAAATCTAGAGAAAAATCCTTTTGTACTTAATCAGGGGTAGCTTGACGAGATAGACACGAATATTATAATCATTTTGGTCTTAGAAGCAAAATAGTCCCGGAAATATTGATTTTTGTTAAATTTATATATTTTTTTACTTTTATGGTCATTTTAATAATTATTTATTATTATAACAGCATTTTTCGTGTAATACCTTCATTTTTTGCAAATTACTAATTACTACAATTTAATACTAAAAATCAGTGAAACATATTCTATTATTTTTGTTTCTTGGAAATATAAGTATTCAACCTCTATCTAGCGCATTGCTGTAAAATGTTAATTGTATATTCTAGATTTTTTAGATAAAAAAGTTACCTCAGCTCCAGAAGGTCATAGAAATTTTTTTTTTTAATTCCGTGAAAAAATGTCAGCAATTTCTTTCTATAAACGTCGTCATAAAGTAAAACTTGAATTTGAAGAAAATGTACCCAAAAACGTACGATTTTTTCAAAATCATTTTTTGATCCTTAAAATTAATAAAATCGTCAAAAATTTTTAACAGCATAGTAATATAACTCTTTACAAAGGAAATAAACCGAAAATCGTTACTTTAGGATTATCCGCTGAGAAGACCTAGTCAATTTTCGAGAACCAAAAAATTGGTATATCTCGAAAAATAATTAATATTTTTAAATTTTTCAAAAATCTACTTTTTTGACTTGCTGTGGACTATGCTTACAGTAAATGGCAAGTATTGGAATGTAAATGTAAACGAGTTATAGAAGAAGAGAAAAGAGGAGATTTTTAAAGTTTTTTTCGATATATCTCCAAAAGTAACAAAGCAATTGATACTTACAAAAAATCAGTAGATAGATCTTTTTAAAACCTACAACTTTCTCATTTAAAATTTTTCGATGGGAGCTACAGTTTTTTAGTTATTTTAGAAAAAACGTTTTTTGCAACTTTGCGAATTTTTTTGCCCATGATCGCCATTTTGGATCGAGTTTCAAGAACAAGAAACTCAATTTAAAATTTAATTTTCTATACGGTCATATTTTTTTTTGTCCAGGTAATAATTGCTTTAAGTACTTCTCTATAATGCTTGTACCAGTATATTGATACTGATTTCTGTATTATGCGAAACATTATGCAGAAAGTGGTATAAATACATATATGATATTCTGAAAAAGTCGTTACAACTGAAAAAAAAAGATAAAATATACAAAATTTATAAATGTCAATGGCAATCAATCAAAATGCAAAATGCGAAATCATTGTGGCCTCTGCAATTTATATTATGGACAATGGTTACAGGGATTTTTTTGTACATGGCGCCATCTAGTAGACGGATGATCGGAATCTCTATATTATCCAGATTTCCCCATTTTTGAGAACATTGTTATGGAATAGGTAAATGATGATTGCTTGTTTATGGACGTAAGTAATAACAAAAATATTAATTTAAGTAAGTTGCAATACCGCACGTTTTCACGTCTCTTGTCAAATCTGATAATTTACACATACTCCTCGATTCTCCAAATTACAAATAAAATATAACTGAACAAGGATAAATCTCAAGCACATATTTCATTTATTAATTTTATTGATATTAAAACAAATTATTTTCTTACCTCTTTCGCAGTATTCAACAGACCTCGAATGACTTCCTGGGTGTGCGGAAATTCTTCCCCGACACATAACAAGCCCAAAGACTTTGCGGCCTTCTCCCTGATCTTAGCGGACAATTTGACGTTATTCATAATGTCCAGCAACTGATTCACGATATCTATTTTAGTTATATTATCGCTGGCCGGTCTTTTAGCGTCTGGACTTCCATTCTTCAAGGGTTTACCGTCCTCCAAAGGCAGACTAGACACTCTCCCAATTAAGCCAATGCTACTACACGCCGCTCCGGCAAGTAAAGGATTCTGATGCTTCAGAAAAGGGACTGAAAAAATATAAGTTACGTACATAGAAGCCACAAATGCATTATCACCTACCTAGCGCTTGGATGCTAGTTTTTATAATGCTCCAGTGTTTCATATCATTATTTTCACTCTTCTTGTTCATAATCTTCAACTCCAGGCAGGTCCCCAGGGCAAGTAATGCCCCATGTTGCGTCTCTAGACTCTTACTGTTACTAGTTTGAGATATCAGATAATTGATTGCGGTCTCGAATTCGCCGTCATTCGTCGAGTGAGTAAGTACAACAGCATAGAGAATGGTGCTCAACTCTCTAACTTCTTCTTTGGTAGAGTTTAATTGGTCACGGATCCACTGAAGGTCTTTTAGTAGGTGATTATGGAGAGCCGGGACACAACCGGTGAGTTCTATGGTGCAGCTGAAAGGTTCGGGAGCTAAAATTGAAGCAAGAATTTATTAACAAAGAAAACACAGAGTTGATAAACAAAGAAATATCTTAGTATCATGCAACAGTGTAACTATATTTTAAAGTTTTGTTCTGCTGTTCTTTTTACAAATACAAAAAATTCGAAATCATGACGTGTTGTTTATTAAAATGATAAAATGTAATAGAAGTACACTTATATCAATAAAACTTCAATTATTGGATTTTTTGTCTGTTACACAGTCATTTATAAAAGATTTGAATTTATAGATAAAAGAAATAAAAAATTGTGAACATTGTCGTAATTTTAAACGTTTTAATATAAAATATATAATATATAAAAAAAGAGGTATTAAATAATTTAAAATTGTTTTTTGAAAATCTATACGTACAGGATGTTCCTAAATAAGTGTCGCAATGGAAAACTGTAAATTCCTCTTGAAAAAAGAAACATTTTTTTCTTCTTCCATTTTTCTCTCCGGGCTTTCGTTTTCAACGTGTCAACATTTTTTTTTTTTAGTTTTTTGCCAATATCTTAGGAACCGTTTGAACTACAGGACTGAGCTCTTGTACACACATTACCACTATTAATAGCTACCATTGTTAAATTTCATTAAAATTGTTAATTATTGCTACTTATTTTTTGAATTACAAAAGATTTTCGAAACGTTAGAAAAATGTTTTTGTTCATAAAGTCATTTTTCTTGAAAACGGTTGACTTTAGAGCAATGAACCAAGAAAACTCTTTTTGTGTAAAATTCATTAGCACTTCAGAATTTGATGTCAAATGTCAATTTTTCCAGTGGCGTAAAAGTTAGGGGGGGAACCCTTACGATACTGTAAAATCTCCACCACTGGCAGTTCTAATGTATTCAAGAATGGTGCAAAAAAATAGCTATTAATAGTGGTAATGTGTGTACAGAAGCTCAGTTCAAACAGTTCCAAGATATTGGCAAAAAAATTAAAATTATATAGTTTTGACACCGTGTATCTCGATAACGAAAGCCCGGATAGAAAAATGGAAGAGGAAAAGAACGTTTCTTTTTTCAAGAGGAATTTTCAGTTTTCCGTTGCAACACTTATTTAGGAACACCCTGAATATAGATTGTCAACCGTCTAATGCTTTAACTAGCTATTATCTCTTGTTAAATGTAATATTGCAATAACCCGTTACAAAAATTTAAAAATCCCGCGCGATTTACTTATTCCCATAAGAAGAAGAGGAGGAGACCTGGAATAAGGTGTTAGGCCGGTGTCCCATACATCCGAATTCCGATGTACGATATCCAAAAATATTTTAATTCATACGTACGATAATATTATAATTCACATGCATCCGAAATTAATCTCATAGAAATCAAGTATAGAACCATGGAATTTATTACAAGATGAACGTGAAACATTTTCAAATGACAACCATAGGTATATATCGTAGAAAATATACATACGTAGTATTATATTTTCTGCATTCGAAATTATAATATAACATTTATTTGACTGTAAATATACCAAACAACAATCATAAGAAATAAAGAACAACAATCATAAGAAATAAAAAAGTGAGGTTAAAAAACGTACGATTTCGGATAAAAGTTAAAATTATTTCTACTTTTTCCGACGTTGTATGAATTTAAAAAATTTCGGATGAAAATGAGCGGTAAAAATTTGAATGTATATTAACCAATAGGAACACTTTCGAACCTTCGTATCGTCGGAATTCGGATGCATGGGACACCGGCCTTAGGCTTATGGTTAGACAGGGAAAGGAAAGAGGTTATGTATTATGTTATGTGTGCGATTTAAGAGTTTAACGTTTATGCTTTTATGGAAATATAAAGTTTTAAAGAAAAATATAGTGTGCCTTCCTGAAACAGCCACCGAGATAAAGCTCCCTACAATATGTATGTTAAATAGCTTATGCTAAATACGAAGGTTATCTTTTACATTTCAGGAATGGACGATCCTAGTGCTGCCATCTGACAACCGATGCTCCTATCGTATAGGTCAACTCTTTGTCAGTATATTTACTCAAAACGTTTTGACGTACAGGCGCTATTTGTGTTTTTTAAAATGATTTGAAAAATTAATCTCGGCCAAAAAACTTACTCGTCTATTGAAGCATTATCAAAAACCGCTGTATATCGGTGGTATACGGAATATAATCTTGGTCGTGGTTCGCTCACTGACGAATTTTGTTAAGGTCGTAATCGGTTGTTATTCCAGAAAACATTGATGCTGTGCGTGAATTGACATTGCAAGATCATTTGACTTATTGTGGGATTGGGGCATCCTTGGATATTAGTGGGACCAGCAAACATTTAATATTGCATGAACATTTGGCAGCCAAAAAAATTATTTTGCCACATAATTTGACAAACGCTCAAAAAAAGGTTGGTGTCGATTAATCGAAAGAAATACTTAAAAAATATAATACTCAAAATACGTCCACAACAGGTGAACAGGTGACAAATCATAGATCTATGTGTGTATGAATGTGAGTCTTTCAAGATGAGCCAAATCCAATAAAAGTTGTTCACACATGAAGCAAATAGTCACCAATTTTTTTCGGAAAAACCAGACGTAACTGTACCATTTATTTGCCAGAAGTTTTTGGAAAAATATGGGAAACCAAGTGCTAAAGACACATTATTCTCCATTAGGATAATGCGAGCTCTCACACATCAACACAAACAAGAGACATAAGAAACGAAAAAGTCGAATTGATGAGTCATCCGCCGTACAGGCCTGATTTGGCACCCAATGACTTTTTTTTATTCCCGCACATAAAAAATAAATTATGAGGAACGTTTTTCGACACCTGAAGAAGCAACGCATTCAAAAGGCATGTTTTGGACATACCTCAATCAGATGGAAAAAATACTTTGAAAATTGGTTCGAGCTCAAGCAAAAGTGTATTGATGTTCCGGAAAATATTTTGAAAAACAATAAAGCCATATACGATGATTAATTTCTTTTTTTGTTCTCTATTCCCGAGATCCAAAAGGTAACCATTACTACTACTGAAAATAATTAATTAATTACTCACAAAAGCAAAATATACACACCTGGATTGGCTATTAACAGTTCCCTGACCAAAGTTATGTACTGAATTAAGGAGTTTTTATGCTTTTTCTCATCTCCGCTCATACTTCCAAGCAACTCCCTTATCTTAGGAGTGAATTCGCATGGATGCTTCAAAATGTCCCTCGTCAAGGGTACTTCTAGATCTTTGATCAAACACAGCCTTAAATAAATTAATATCTGGAAAACTGTAAATTAATAACAATAATACAAATGTTGTAATCGTTACCTCAACGTAAGTATTTATTTTAAACGGCAAGACATGATTCCCAACCGTAAAACACTTAGAAGTGTCCTTCATGTTTAGTTCAGCTTCGCTGTATACATAGTTGGTAATTTCTTCAAACGGCGGCATTACGATTTTCTCTTTAGATTTTTCCTTAGATAAATCGACGTCGTTTTTCCTCGTGCCATACAATGCCTTGTAAGCTTCTGCGGACACATCATCCTTCCTAAAAAAAAACCTATATGTAGGATTTTAAAAATAAATTAAAGGAAACGTACACATCTCCTGTGGCGACAAGCAATAAAAACTTCGACGGGACATGATCGGAAGGAAAAATGGTGGCCAAAGTCCGTACACCGCTAAACCTTACCATAGGTTCCTCGGAACTCATCTTGCACCTAACCAAAACATAAATTAAATTCAATCTGCCATCCTTATCCGCTTCTTCGGGTAGAATGTCGTATTTATAGGCCAGGATCAAGTTAAGGAGGCCCTCTCTGATCTGTAAACGTAGATCGGGGTTGGCATTCTCCATGTTTGTAAAGTACATCTCTAATAGTCCGACATCGTGGTATACTATCTTCGGAAAACGTTGAGCTAACATGCCAATTAAGACATAAGTCTGACCCTGGTGTACTTCGTCACACTCTTTTATCAGTTTCTGTAAGCCAGAAAGCAGAACAGGGGCCACCCTACCCAGAGACTCCTCTTTCGCGCTAAAAAAAATTGTAACTAAGCGGGGCCAGTATTTTAGGGGGTTCTCCAGAATACTATCCAGAAATTAATTTTAAATTCTTTCAATTAACTATTTTAATAAATTTGAATAATTTAGTGAATTAGAAAAACTCGTTTATAAACGTCATTTAAATGCTAACTCTATAATATAATAAATGATACCTACTATCTTATTATATTCCCAGAAAAATTCAGTGCCAAAGTTTTTAGTCTGGTGTTGGAATGGCTGCCATATAAAGAATCAAAAACGATCTGTATGCACTGAGGAAAGATGAAACCTGTTCCAGTAACTCTGCACAAATGGGTCAAGAGCTTAAGCCTTATCCTCGTATTGGCTGGAGACTTTTTGTTTTCCGGCTTAACGTTTTTCGCTTGTGTACCCAAAAACAGGGAATACAAAGGAAGAGAAATGTGAGGTGAACTCCAATCTGCAGATCTAAAATGTATTATTTTTATAAGAGTCCGCTTTAGTGCGCTTCGAAACATACCCTACTACTTTTTTCAACTCCATATCAGCTAAATTTGCAACACCGAACCTAGTATCTGCAGCAGCTACCACTAAATGAATCAAAATATCGTCATTGTTAAAAACGCCGTGTCCCAAAAATTTTACTATTCCCAGTTTAATCTAAAATTATATATAAATAATGTGGGTACCTATAAACCTAAAAGAGAATAATAATATACCTCTTCTAATTCCTCAGGTTTCATGGGGTTATTAGTAGTCAATCTTTTATACGAACTATCACTCATGCAAGGTGGCACAGGTAAAGAAACACTACCGGACTGTTGATCACTATCAGACGTCTGTGGCGACAGTGCACTAAAAATTACAAAACTAAGTCTTACCCTCCCATAAGACATTTGATTGTCTTACCTATATGGTAACAATATCATGTCCAACAACATATCCAATAAATGCTTTGCAATTTGTGGTTTCTCATTTAGTCCAAACAGATTCGTCACTTTTTCAGGCTCAGTGGGTACTTTCACTTTACCCAATAATGGTATGATTAACAAAAGTAAACTGTCTAAATGAGACACAGGTTTATTTTCCAAAGCATTTAAAACAGACGGTACAAGTTCAGCTTGTTTCTCTATAGGTAATCTTGGGAAGCCAGATTTTAAGTAGATAATAGTGAAATTCTAAAAAGGATTAAAAAATTTAATTTAAGTACTATTGAATGATTACAGACTTCTTTACCGTTACAAATGATGTAGCTGCAGGATCCTGATACTGAGTTAGTAGAGCCTCTACAGGAAGTTGAACCATAGGTCGCATTTTTATTCTTCTGTTAACATGAATCAACAATTCCATCACCTTAAACATTATAATGTTTATAAATAAGCCTCATGACTTGACAACGTACTACCTTTTTTCGTACACCTTCCTGTTGAGATGACAGTTTAAGTAAAACTGGTGGAAGAAACTTGCATAAAACATTTTGCAATTGTTCATCAGTTTCTGCAGATCCCAGTCTGAGGAATACTCTCTCCAAGAGCACTAAAAGTATTGAATAATTTTAATATTTAATAAATTAATTAATATAAGTAAATAGATGACATTTCAAAATTTGAGCATTACCTATTCAACTAACAGAAATGAAGTTGAAGAACATATGAAATGTATGTTTAATTATCAAATACATAACATAATATATAGTACTGTTAATATTCTATTTAAAAAGCATTAATTGAAATAAATAAATAAATAAACTTACTTAATTCATCTGCTTGTGCAGCCATAATTTATTTTTCTGTCAAACCGCTGTCAAATGTTAATCTGACATCTGACTAACATTACAAGGCTTTTTTTCGCGTGAATACTGGTATCGGTGCATATCGGACATACGTGTATGCTCCAAGATTCCAATAAGCTCATAGACCTAGTAAACTACAGTGTTGGAAAGTACCGATGGTCTATCAGAAGTTACGTGAGAGCGATAAAGTAAGCCATAGAAATACATGTGATAGACAAGGATAACTATAATAAAGGCGTCTAATTAGTCAACGCCCATTTCGCCCTTCCACAAATAAGATCCACTTCTTATTTGTGGAAGGGCGAAATGAGCGTTGACTAATTAGACGCCTTCATTATAGCCATCCTTGTCTATCACATGGATTTCTATGGCTTACTTTATCGCTCTCACGTAACTCTATCGCATGGATTTCTATGGCTTACTTTATCGCTCTCACGTAATTTCTGATAGACCATCGGTACTTTCCTACACTGTAATCACTGTATAAGGTCTATGAATAAGCTGAATGTTCTTGCATATTTTCCCCTGTCCTCTCACGCATTTCCATTTCCGAACAGTTTTTTACTAACACATAACTAAGTAACTCTAAAACTATTCCCACAATGTGAGATTGGAATTTCTGAATATGTTTTATAAAGATTATTTTTTCTCTGTCGGAACCAAAACACATCAGCTACTGAACAGTAATCGCTAACCTGTTCTTCAGAATCTGTTCCGTTCTTTTCATTGACAGCAGACAGACTGACTGACAGATAAATCTTATTTTTGACAGAAAAATAAAATAATTTTAAGTTCAATATTTTTGTTTAAATTAATTTATAAATATGTCGATGAGACCAGACGACCATCGTAGAAAATGGGACAGAGATGAATACGAGAAATTAGCAGAAGAGCGTCTGAAAGAGGAAAAGTCTCAGAAAGAAGATAGTGAAAGCAAAAAGAAGGGCCCCCCTGTTAAAAGGGAACTATTAAAAACTCGTGAATACAAAGTTGATTTAGATTCTAAATTAGGAAAAAGTATTGTTATTAATAAAAATACACCAACATCTCAGTCCGGTGGTTATTATTGCAATGTTTGCGACTGCGTTGTTAAAGACTCAATTAATTTCTTGGATCATATCAATGGAAAGAAACATCAGCGTAACTTGGGTATGTCCATGAAAATTGAAAGAAGTTCATTAGATTCTGTAAAAAAACGATTTGAATTGAATAAGAAGAAAATGGAAGAGAAAAAGAAAGATTATGATATGGCTGCACGAATGCAGGAGATTGCCGAGGAGGAAGAGAAATTAAGAGAATACAGACGAGAAAAAAGAAAGGAAAAACGCAAGGCCGAGGAAATGTCAGAAGAACAAGAGCCTCAGAATGAGATAGCAAGTATAATGGGTTTTTCGGGTTTCGGATCTTCTAAAAAGAAATAATATAATGTAGCTTGTGCTTGATTAATTAAATTTAAGACATTTCTAATGATTATTCTTTATTATTGTTTGAGTGACAAGTTAATTTTATGTTTTATTTTAAAGTCATCTAGTCCTCTTTATCAAATCAGGTAGAGTCTTAAAAAAGTGAAGAATGTTATAGTCTCCATGGAACTTTGTACAATTTCAGCCTAAATAAAGATATGTACAGTGTAAAGAAAAACAAAAATGTATCAACTACCTTTCCATTTATATACTTTGCTGGCATTGGATCTTTTACATCAGGATCTTCGCAGACATTACTACATTTTACATCAACAATGCTATCCATGACATCTACTGCTAATTCTTTGAGAGTTTTTGCAGCGTCGATACCACAAACTTTGGCTATTTTGATGTAATAACAATCGATAATGTGTTTATAATTTCTAAAATCAAAATTTTAGTTCTTGTGTCTTTCCTTTTATGTAACCTACTACTTGCAAACCTCTGTCTCATCCTTATCCTGATACCAATCTGCCGAACCATCGCAACCATCTAGATCTTTTCGAAGTTCTTGTATGCAAGGATAGTACAAACCAAATCCTAAAAAAGAAAAAATAAGAATCCAAATTTACTAGTCGTTAGTAGTCTTTACGTCTTGAAAATTCAGGACTGTTGCATAATTTAGTATGTAACATTCTGGCTCCTCTCAATAATAATGAGTATAAATCTTGTTGATCTGTTACTTTACATGTTTGGAAATATATGTGAAATTTCTCTAATTGTTCTTTAACTCTCCTTCAAAAGAATATTTAGTACATAATTTAAATCATGGCAATATTAGTAACTAATTAAATTAAATGATGAACATCAAACCTGCAGTAATTATCTAAATTTGTCACAGTCTGTTCTATAAGGTTCTCTGGAGATGTCACCTCAATTTCTGCTAAATAATTCATCATTACCTTTTCGTCACACTCTGTTGATATGTCTCCTTTCACAGTAGTAGTTGATTGACAATCTAAAAGTTTATTCTATACTATGAAAAACGTTGTAACTTAACTTACTTATTGCTTTATAAAGAGCACAAATAAGTAATAAAATTATTTGCCGCATTTATTTGAAACTAGTTGACTGACATTTAAATATATCAGGCTAAAGAGGGAGCCACTAATTGTTTACAAATTTTGACAGCAAGATTTAGGTGTTTTCTAAAATTTATAAAAAGGAAAATATGCGGTTTTTACTAACAATTTTCATATTTAAAACAGTTACTTCGTCTTCTTTGTTTGTGAGCGACCAATGCAAATATATATGTAAGAATGCAAATTTACCATCATTGGAACTGGTAATTAATTTATTCTTGAGAAAAAAATTATAATCAATACACATTTTAATTTAATAATTATTTTAGGAAAACTATGAACAAGTCGTTTGCCAAAGGGGCTGCGGATTTTTCAATGCCATTAGATTTCAAGGTGACATTAATTTAAATGTTACAAAAAAGGAATGCCACATTTGTAAGTATTACCCTTTTTCTCGGTTTGCACAAGAAGTACGTATTAATAATTTGTAGCATGTGAGGAATCATACATTGTTAAAGAGGAAAGTGAAATATGTAAGACAGGCTGTGATCTTATAGCAAATCAAGAGGTAACTATTCAAATGATAACCAATCCACAAAATTAATCTTTATTTAATTTAGGTTTTTGTAACTGATTTTGTAATTGAGTCCGAAGAAAACATAGTATTAGCAAGCCCAGATCGTGAAATTGAGTTTGATCTTCTATCGGATCCAAGTATAAAAAGTCAACTTGAAACAGGAGTAGATTACAAAATACCCGAAACGCATATTAGGACAATGCCTATAGAAATAACTGAGGAAGAAATAACTGTTAAGGAATCTAGAGACTGGTTAGATTGCGCCTCTTACAACTCAGGTATACCCCGGTGGATTCTGTTATCAGCTATTCTATCAGCAGTTTTAATTGCGCTGTGGCTTAGTTTTTCAACAGAAAAACGCAACAACCAAGAACCAACAGTTATGTTGGACATTAACGACGATAAAATGATCCTGATTAGCGATGCCGGTGAGAAAGATCCAAAACTCTTGGAAACAAACCCAGGTATCTATAATAGTCAAGAGGTAAATTTTTCTGTACCCCCAAAATATTCAGTTGAGTGTGAGAAGGTTTAAGTGTGTTTATAAATCGATTTGTACTGTTTTAGGGTCATACTTTTTGCGTCACATTGATGTTTGGTATTTTCTAATAGTAATTTTCATATATCCAACTTTTTCTGGTTTGTGTGTGAGTGTATGTTGTTATCTAAGTAATAAGGTTTTTATATAAGGTAAATTGTAGAGTATTTGCAATTGCAAGTGGTGAGCGGTGAATGTGCAGGGTTTTTTATTATTAAAATGGTACTTTCTCGTTTGATTTCAAAAGATATTCGATAGGAATTGTAGCAGCGATTCATCAAAATATGATGGAAAATGTAACAAATAGGAGTAGAAAGGTCAAATATCTTTTATGGGTCAAATGTCCCTCACTCTCTATGAGTCATATCTAGCATCGAGATAGTAGTTAATTGAATGGAATGCTAATTGCACTATGTCTGATAAAAGTTATAGTTTTAAATTTTTATTTTTTGCCAAATCTGAAAAAGCTTGTGTAATGGAACTATTTATTATTTTTGACGTCACCTAAAATAGAACTGTTTCAATTACAACATACATCCTGCATATTCACCTATAAATTAAAAAAATATTCCATATTTTAGTGATTTTAAAATATGAAATGATGTCCCAGCTAAAATTTTTTATCCCAATATGTAGAAGGCAGTAAAACTAATGCTATATATCTATTAATATAGGAGATTGTTGTTAGAGGTCATTAAAACCTTAATGACCCTTAGGGTTTAAAGCTTTTCAAGTTATATAGTATCGGAAGTTAAAAAAAATTAAATTGCACAAGTTTTAAAATTGAGTACAACTGTTCTGTTCACATATGGCTATTTATTGCAATTTTATTGTTGCGCCATCAAAATGTTGCACATTAAAAATTTTTTGGCCTAAAATGATTCAAGGAAGTTACGACATGGACTTAGAAGACACACTGAATATGCACAACTTATAATAAGAGTAGGATTAAAGAATCCATATTAGTTAAGTGTGGAAAAATTCATCTAGAAATCGTTTAGTCCACTGTTTTCATATTTTAATATCACTTGAACGGTCAGCTACTGTTGCTTACCCTGTATAGTCTATGCTTGTGGCATTATTCTTAACATCTACATCACAATTATTAATAAACAGAACGTCCAAATTTTGCTTCTAAAATAAATGTTGGATTGAGAGTAACAGATTTTGTAATTTTTTAACATACTTATATCAGATTGCTTAAACAAGAAGTTGTGTAATGGATTGTGCAACATCAGTAAAAATACATAAAAATGACTATTATGTAACGCACATATGTATAATTTTAGGACTACTCGTTTTACCAAAAGATATATCTACTGCATATAAATCTACATACTTGTAATACTGTTTCATGGTACTTAAACGCACAATTATTTTGTTTTAATTTTTTTCTTAACGTGTAGCAGTTTAGATATTTCCTAGTCATATAATTAATAAAATCTAACTTCATTGCTGGACTGTGCTATGAGACTTTATTAGTTTTATTATTTTTGTATTCATTGAATTATTTTCGTATCAGATTTACTTTGGTCGCTTGGTAAAGTAAATAAAGTCGCATTAATTGACGAGTACATTTATCGTTCGGAGTTAAATTTTCATAACACCTTGACTGCCATTTCGAGAGTTCATAAGCAGAAAAGCTATTATGGCCTTTAGGAGACAACGAAAATCTTTGTAGAAGTATCTATAAACAATATTACATTGAATTGACCAAATGTAGAAAGGTTTTCACATATGTTTAAACGGCAAATATGAAATGATGAGAATACGGTGGTAGTCAATGTGTTGAAATGTACATATAGGGGGAAATATAATATTTTCTTAAAAATAGTGTGGTATACTCAATATTCGTTATTGTAAAATTTAAGAATAAATGTACTTCTGCTGTAATTACATGTAAAATTTTAATAAACATAATTGAAAGCATTTTATGTTGCAGTTTTTATTGTTGCCATAAATTCATTCTGTTTTATTAAGGAGACCCAACGTTGTTCTCCTTTGAGCAGGATTATTATTGCTGTTTTATGAAAGTTTCTGAATATAAAATTGTAAAACCAATCATCGTTTTGAAGTAAAGTGACACTGTTAGCAACATCTCCAACCCCAAATTGCACTAATTCAAATAAATAAATTCACAATGGTTGCTAAAGAAATGGCGGAAGGAAATGATCTTCAAAATGTCTTAAAAATTGATTTAGTGGAGTAAAGGTAGCTTAAAATATACATTATTTCGAAATAATTAACAGAGCCTTGGATTTTCATAAAACCTTTTACAATCACCTTGAAATGGCTTATAGAAAAAAGTTATAAACTTGTACTCTAATTATTTAATTGTTTAAACAATAAAAAAAATGGTTTTTCAAAGATTATTTTAAATAAATCAAAAAATTTCAAGCCAATTTTAATCAAATTGATACTATAGGGGTTTTCGAGGTCACTTAATGTTAAAAAATAAAAATTCAAAATGGCCGACTTTTTTTAAATAATTTATTAAAAAATGACAATTTTCAATGGAATTTTAATCAAATTGATATAGGGGTTTTCGAAGTCGCTGAACAAGAATATTACATCAGAAAATGAAAATTCAAAATGGCTGATCCAATATGGCCGACTTTTTAAAAAAATTTATTTAAAAATTACAAATTTCAAAGTAAATTTAGTTAAATTGACATTATAGGGGTTTTTGAGGTCTCTGAACAAGAATATTACTTATATCAGAAAATGAAAATTCAAAATGGCTAATCCAATATGGCCGACTTTTTTTAAACAATTTATTTAAAAATTATATTTTCAAAGCAAGTTTACTCATATTGATATTTTTAGGATTTTTCAGATCATTGAACAAATATAAAATGAAATAAACTCGTTAAATTTTAAAGAAATTTGAGTATGATGTTTAGGGTTCTGCAAAAAGTCAGTATATGAAATTCTTAATTCACAAATTTATTTAATATGAAAACGTATTTGCATATTAAAAATAGAAATATTAAAAAATAACAATATTCAATTTTCATTCTCTTGAATCATTCTCGTTCTTCTTTGACAAATGCTTGGCAATCACGACAATGAATTACGTTACCAAATAAATTCTACTACATAATTTCATCATAATAAAATATAGGTAAAACTGATTCTCGCGACAATTTATTGAAAAACCGTATTTTTTCGTATATTATATATTACAGAAACAAAAAAAAAAATTTTTTCATTGATTATAATTTGAAAATATATTGGTTAAACAACCGAAAAACATTTTTTTTTAATTTTATGTTTATTTAACAAAAATTTCATCGCTTTAGAACAAAAATTTTTTTTTGTGTTTAAATTTATTCATTCAACGTTTTAAATAAAACAAAATGGATCATCTTAAAGTACAGTTTTCAAGCTTCAATGCTCCTGTAAAGTTGTAATATCATATTTTGAACTAGTTATTGGACTTTGAAACGTGACCTAAAAAATCAAATGTGCCTTTTTTTTAAATTATTGAATATTTCGAGCGTTGTATTTTTCGAATTTAAAATTAAAATTTTTTTTTATCACACCTTTAAATGCTATTTCAAGAGTAATCTCTGAAAGTTTTAGATTTTTATGTTAAAAATTAAAAAATAGCAGATCTTTAATTAATTTTGTAGAAAATTCTACTGTTACGTAACTTTATTTACATACTGTTCCTGTAAATATTTTTTCGATTTTAAAATCATGATAACTTGTTAGCAACAAGATTCCTCTTTCATTTAAATTTGTGTGGAATTAATTTGATCAAACAGATCAAGTTATAATAAATTTAGTGGATAACGCGCGAGGACGCCCGCTACTCGTGTCCTACGCGCAAGTGCCTACACTACATTTTCTTACGATTTAAAAAAAAATTCTACAACCTAGTTTTCATTTTAGAAAATAACTTTATATACATTTTTCATGTAAAATTTCCCCTTTCTTTCGATTGGCACAATTAGTTTAAAAAAAAATTAATTTGTAAAGATATACAATAAACAATGGAATTTTGCAACTAATTTGTTAAATAAATAATCAAGCGTACACTCTACGGTTGGTAACTTTTTATATGTTGTTCCTAACACCCTCACAAGTGTATTCTCAAAAATTACCTGATCTGCTAATTTTTCCGAAGTCAAAATCTTATTTTACTCCACTAATTAGAATTTAATAATGTTGTGTCATAACCAATTTATTTTATTAAATTGCCACCTTTGTAGAGTCCTGAAACTTAGTTTAAACAAGTAGAAGCGCAATTCAGAGACTTGAATTGAACAGTGAATATTTTTTTAACTACATGTTTAGGATTCGTTCTGAAATTGTTTTATATTCATAATTGAAAATAAAAAACAAACCACTTGTTTTAAGAAAATAACGAGCGTTCAAATAAAAACGTGGTCAAGTTGGTTCTGAAAATTTGGACGTAGAGCGTAGCGTATAGCAAATGAACTTAAACGTCATCTGTCAAAGCGCTATATCGCCACTATCAATTTGAATATTTTCGTTTTAAAAAGCGTTTAAAATGGTGTTTTCTCAAGAACAAAAAGTGTTTATCATAGAGTCCTACTTTAGAAATGGACGCAAGATTGATGGAATATGGAAGTATTCTATTGAGGAATGTTTCATAGAATTTCAAAATCAATTTCCCGGCGTTGTTGAGTACAAAATTTTTCAAAGTGCAGTTCAGCGTTGTGTTAATGTTTTTCGTGAAACGGGCAGTGTAACAAGAAAAGAAGGAAGCGGGCGACCTAAAAAGCGGACTGAAGAATTAAAAGAAAATGTCCAACAAATAATGGAAAATGCGCCAAGAACTTCTGTACGTGTTTTATCACAAATGGTGGGAGTATCAGTCGGTACCTGCCACACAGTGTTAAAAAAAGCTCCTTTAATTGTTTGTTATTGTTATCACGATTATTCTTTAAAATAAAGTTATATAGTCATTAACGTTATTGAAACTGACAGCTGCTATACAGCTCGTTGAGAAATGAGGTTAAGTTGGTCGCTATAAGCTACTCCCTACGTTCGACCACGTTTTTATTTGAACGCTCGTTATAAAGAAACTACTACTATATAAAATTACTAAATTTATGTAATCAAATAATAAAGTATTTATATAAATAATACATATTTACAACAAATCGATATTAGTAATCAGCCGCTGTATTCGCCAAGTAATCTCTTCTCCCGATATTAGAGGCCTGTTTGTTTTGAAGAGCCTCCAGTTTGGGACAGTCCGTAATCCTATGACCAAGACCACCGCAATAACTGCACCCATGTTCACCTAAAAAATAAAAACATGGCTGAATAACAGGAGTAGTGAATAATAATATATCGCCCCTTCCCCCCACATTTCTCACTTCTGGGCTAATTTTTTTAATTAAAATAAAGCAGAAAATATTATTATTCGTATTACCCTGAAAATTTTTTAGAACCTTACCTCCCAGTTCCAGATATTTCTCATTTTCTGAGCAGAGCTCGGCAAGAAACGGTGGCACCTTCTGCTTAGCTTCTATCAGCAAGTGTTTCAAGTCCAACAGAACCGATTCATCATTGGATTTATTTATAAACGTAGTTGCTAAGCCCTTGTTCCCCGAACGACCTGTCCTACCAATTCTATGAACTGCAAAAGCAGAAAACAAATATTGTATCGTAATGCATATACAGTAAAGTCTCAATTTATAGACACTTCCGAATAGCGGACACTTCTAAATAACGAATTATTTTGCTTTTATGTGATTTACAATGTGGTTTTCTTTTATTACAATCCCTTAATAATGAATGCAAATATTATTTTTCACCAAGATACAAAAATACATGGTGTAACTTTAAGTGGGGTCAGTTTCTTAGGGGTAATAGTACGTAATCCCCTGAATACACATCTGAAACTCTTTTTTTTTTAATCAAATAAGGAGTCGAGTTATAATTAGTTTTTTAAAATGAACTTTCATACTTGTGTACGCTCCACTTTAATATTCACATATTACAAATACATGGATTGTAGGCAACCTACAGTGCATGTGAAGGGAGATAGTGCAGGTCAACGGTGACGAAGCGACTAAAGCGTGCTGTTATTTGAGGTTACACTAGTTTCTCCAGCGGCGGGGTACAAGCCTCCTCCTCCTGAACCTCCGAAATTTTTCGATTAAGTCGTATCAAGATGGGGTTTTTTGTATTCAGTTTCTAAAATTATGTGAAAAAAATATAGCAACTTTGTATTATGTTTTTCGGCCAAATTGCATTTCTGCAGTGCAAAATGCATCCGGAAAAATGCATTTTTTAAAGTCACCTAGAAAAAATTCATAAATCAATTAATAATGCCTGAAATGGACTCAAATCAGGGTCCTGGTGGTTTTCGAGGTCGCTGATCTCGAATATGACCTTTAAATTGGTCCATCGCCGACCTGGAGCTTAGGATTGATGATGAACGTCATCTCCGAGGCTTCTCCTGAATTTCACTCTTAAATGCAACGAGACTTGACACCCGGGGTTTTTCGGGTCGCTGATTCCTAATCGGCCGTCGGCGAGTACTCCCCGGACACCTGGTGCATCGGAACCTGGACATAGACGTCATCTCCGGGAGTTTTCCTGTAAAATTCGCGTAAACGAGCCGAAAATCGCATCAAGGTGTTTTTCGGGGCGCTCTTCTCAAATCTGGACCTAGATATTGACGTCATCGCCAGAAAAATCAATAAACAGTGAATTTTCAATATATTTGAAACTGCGTTAATACTGCAATAACTTGTTTGGAATTGTTGATCTCATTTAAAGAATGCAAGATGAAAATAGAGGGAATAAATTGAATGAATGTCACAATGTATGCAAGATGTTTCAAAAACAAATCAAAATCATTTATTTCCAAATCAATTGCCATTTCTACCTATTCTTAACTTCAATTTAATTTAACTCAAATATAATCTAACTCCATTTTATCCTATTCTAATCAACTATTAACTTTAATTTGAAAATATTCTACTACATATCATTTTCATCATTAACTGACATATAGGGCCCGGATAATTTTTCGAGGGCCCCGGTCTGGGGGCCCACAGACGTGCATGCGTCATATTATAAGATGATTTCGAGAAGAACACCCTGAAAAACCCCCTGATGCGATTTTCGGCTTGTTTACGCGAATTTTACAGGAAAACTCTTGGAGATGACCTCCATGCCGAGATTCCGGTGCACCAGGTGTCCGGGGTGTGCTCGCCGACGCCAGATTAGGAATCAGCGACCCGAAAAACCCCCGGGTGTTAAGTCTTGTTGCATTTAAGAGTGAAATTCAGCACCAATTTGAAGGTCATATTCGGGATCAACAACCCTCGAAAACCCCCAAGACCCTGATTTTAGTCCTTTCCAGGCATTATTAACCTAGTTATGAATTTTTTCTAAGTAACTTTAAAAAATGCATTTTTCCGAATGTATTTTGCACTGTACAAATGCAATTTGGCCGAAAAACATAATAATAAGTTGCTACATTTTTCCACATTTTAGAAAGCTAATGCAAAAAATCCCATCCTGATACGACTTGATCGAAAAATTTCGGAGTTTTCAGCTCTTTTTGTATTTTCTCAATTAAATCACTTTCTAAAGTTTTGTTGTTGAATTTTAATATTAATTATACATAAAAAAAAATTACCATTGATAATTAAGATTAAGAAGATAGATATATAGAACGTTGTACGCTAATGAATACGAACAAATATGTATTTTCATATATTACAAGCCACATGACCGACAAGCTTAGGCAACCAACATTGCACGAGTGGTACTGTCAACTAAAAATCCCTAAATCTTAGTGTCACCACAGATTAATAATTTGTTTACAATGAACGATGACAAACCATTAGGTCTACATCATATAATGCTGATTGATTAAAATGTATTTCTAATGTCTTTGTTTTAATAATGTTTAATTTTACTGAAATTTAATTGCCAAGGTTAAGGCTATATATTTGTAAGGATATTATTGTCAAAGCTTAGTACTACCAATTTTTTTTTTTTTTCATGTTTCATATACACTGCTGGCAACGGTACATGCTGCCTTTACATGAGAGCGACAAAGTAAAGTAAAGAAATCCGAGCAATAGACAAGGATGGCTATAGTGAAGACGTTTCATAAGTCATAGTCACTCCCACTTTTAACCGAGCACATCCAAAAACGGGCGGTGACTAGATTATGAAACGTCTTTAAAATAGCCATCCTTGTCTATCGTACAAATTTCTATGACTTACTTTGTCACTCTCACGTAAAGGCTGATGGACTATGTGGATTTTCCAGCCGTGTATTTAGTTTCATACATAAATATGGTATTTTTTTTGTATGCATTTTCATAATTATATAATATGTTTTTTTTTTCAATATTAATATACTAAATACACGAGGAAACCTATTTTTTTTTTCACCAGTCAACCACACCTGTAAATAACGTATAACTGACATTTTACGATTTCCCATGGGTGTCCGCTATTAGGGGGTACTGCTGTACTAACCGTAATTTTCTACATCATCTGGCATGTCGTAATTTATAACATGTTGAATATCGGCAAAATCTAAACCTTTAGAAGCCACGTCTGTAGCTACGAGTACGTCCTTTTCTAGTTTCCTAAAAGCTTCTACTGATCTAGACCTTTCCTCTTGATCTACAACAAACAACTGTTGAGAAAATGTCAATTTTAATGGAATCGTGAAGATGCCTTACCTTTCCCTCCATGTATGGCAACTGCTTCGACGCCTTTTAGCAACAGATACTCGTGAATAGCATCAACGTCCTGTTTCTTTTCGGCAAAAATAAGAACCGGAGGGGGCGTTTTTTGTAAACATTCCAACAAATATACTATCTTCGCTTCCTGTTTGACGTACTCGACTTCCTGAAAAGTACGTTTGGCTCAATTCTGTATGATAAAATTCAGAATGGCATCAATTATACCTGTACAACGTTCATGGAAGCTGCTCCTGCCCTGCCGACGTTAATAGTGACAGGTTTCACCAATGCCGACCTAGCAAAGTTCTGAATCTTCTTCGGCATCGTAGCAGAGAAAAGTAATGTCTGTCTTTGCCCCTGAAAAGTGCTGTTTGTAACAAGAAATGTAGATATAAACGTTAAATCTTACATTGAAGTATGAAAATATCGTTCTAACATCTTCCTCAAAGCCTAAATCTATCATTCGATCAGCTTCATCCATACATAGATACCTACAGACTGATAGTTTCACTATTTTCTTCTCCAACATATCCATTAGTCTACCCGGTGTGGCTACCATGATATGTACACCCCTAAAAATGTTTCAATTAAAATAAAACGACAATTAATCCTTAGCAGTTTACTTTTGAATTACTTCTATAGCTTCAGTGACTGGCACACCTCCAATCGCCAAAGAACACCGAATCTCAGGCATGCCAAACTTTCGTAAGCTGTTGCAAAAGTGCAAGATAATATCATAAGTTTGTTTCGCCAGTTCTCTCGAAGGACAAATAACGAGTCCGTACGGCCCTTCATTTTTTATGAAAGGTAGTTTTACTTCTTGCTCCAAACAGAACATTATTAAAGGGAGTACGAACACTAATGTTTTTCCAGAACCCGTAAAAGCAATTCCGATCATGTCTCTCCCTGACAATCTGAAATAAATATCAGCATAAAATGTATGTTCAAAGTAATGTGCTTATTAGTGTGTGTCAGTGGCAATGACATTTACGATATAGCATACATTTTAGAGACTATATCTCACCCGAACTTGAAATATGTCGATAGATAGCTATCCAAATAGTTAATTGTTCGCTAGGCGTCTCACCTATATCATACTGATGAAAACTAAGAAGTTTTAGACTGGTTTATGTGTGTTTTTCTTCTGTCAAATTGTTTTAGCTATTTACTAGATATTGAGAGTGTAATTTAACGTTAGGCAAAGCATGTAGCTCACAATGTATCCGTTTTCCACAATATCATCAGTTAAGAATTTACTTACACTGTTGGAATTCCCTGGATTTGAATAGGTGTAGGTTTTTTTATATGTTTTTCTTTCAATCCCGCAATAATGCCTTCATGGAGCTTCATTTCTCTGAACGTTTTTAAAGGAGGCGGTATTTCTTCACCCTCAACTAATATACGTAATTCACTTCTCAATTTGTTGTGTCTGCTTTCTGGCATTTGTAAAATGTATCTTGGTGGCTTCCAGCTAAAAAAAAAATACAATTTTTTAACTTGTTACATATAATATGCATAAATTTACTATAATTACCTTGTTTTTATTGGATCGCTATATTGTATTCCTTTTGCTAATTCTGATACACCCATAAGAGCCTTCTTTTCTGCTACTATTTCTAAGATTTCCTCTTCTTTTTTCAACTGTCTCTCCACGGCACTCACTTTTTTCGCTATAGAATCATACATACAATATAAACTTCATCAAAAAAGAAACTATATATTAAATTACCTTCAGCTAGCTTCCTAAGTTCGGTATGTTGGTCCAAAAGTGGAATATTGTTTTTTCTACCCCATATTTCATCCTCCTCTTCATCTTCATTCGTTTCATTCTCGCTTGATGATTTAGGTTTACTTTGTTCCGCTTCCTTTAACTAAAAACCTCAATATTAATACAGATAATAATACAGTATATTTATAACAACCTGTCCAATTCTGCCCAATTTAAGCAACTGTTGCTTCTTTCTTTCTTTCACTGGAACATAAGGGACATAGTTATCATCGTCACTTTCAGAACTGCTTCTATCTTTCTCCTCACGACGGTACCTCTGAAATTTAAACAAATAAGGAACATGTATAACTAAAACAGAATTAAAATAAACTCACTTTAACGGGTGGTTCTTGTTCCTCTGTGTTGCTCATTTTTACGTTTTTGTTTACAAAACAAACGTTTTCAATTTAACCTCATTTTTAGTTGTCATTGGTTGTCATTTAAGTTATTCTTTGACAGTTATGGGTGTGTTCAGTTATTCAACCGAAAAGTAGTGTTCGAAAATTTATAAAAAAAAATTCCGCCGGTAACTTTACAACAGTAAATAATTCGTTTTTCAAGATGTCTCACCAGTATAGCCAATGCCAATATACTTTAAGAAAATATTCCCTAATGCAAACATCAAAAATTACGTCAACAAACATTGACAAATGACAGCTGTAGTTGACATTTGTTTAATGTGAGCGTATCGCTTAACAAACCTTTTTTTAATTCCAGTAAAGAAAAATTATTATTTAAGGTAAATCCAATCACAATGATATCGTTTTGCATTGACCTAACAATTTAACACATATTTTAGCTATGGACGCCATTGATTTACTGGAAAAACGAATTGAAGCTTTGGAATTGCAGGTCCTCGCAAAAGATACTAGTTCTGTTGCAAATCAAACCCAAGCAATAACCGATTTACTAATGCAAACTCACACTATGATAACTTCTGCTTTAAGTTGCCGTGAAGCCATAACATCAATACTTCAACATATGACGACTATTAACGAATATCTAGACCCAAGTTATGGAGAGAACGTGTTAGAAGTTGAAGCCAAACGTCATTACCTTCTCGAATTGTACCCCGAGTTAAAAGATACCGTTAAGTTGATTGGTACCTTTGAAAATTTAATACCTTATGCAGATTCTGCAAATATAATAAAAGTTACGGAACTATCGGAAAAATTGGATCGTTTGGCCGTGAACAACTTAAGTATTTATGAAGAAAGTGTTGAAGTTACACAGAACGTATTGGCGTCTTTACAGAAGTACAATGATATTACAGGATCTATTAAAGTGTTATTCGCCCAACTCGATCGAGCTGTAACCGATTTAGAAAATGCATTGCAACCCAGATTTACTACCGAAGAATAAAATTTTACTGCATTTGTCTTATTTATTATATTCCTTTAACATTTGTTACTTAGCTTTTAATAAAACAATCTATTAGTAAGAAATGGGAGCATTCTTATCTTGATACTGAGTAAATTATAAATTTTTAAAAGTGGAAATATTAAGAAAAATTTTATTAATCCACTTTTCTTAATATTATTTTAATAAGGTTGCAAAGTAAATACATTAAATGCATATTATTGCACAAACGTGAAATACGAATTTATTGATTGACTAACGGCAACGACAAAGAATAAAATGAGATATACGTCAGAGGGATATGTTATATGTGGTAGGCTCGATGCTCGGTAGGCTAAATGATCATTCTGTTTCATGACTTGTAGGTGTGATTAATGTAACCATTCGAATACGATCCAAATTATTTGATCCTGATCATATGTATTTCACTTGTTTCATGCTTTGGCTCACTTATTTTTTATCTACCACTTCAGAATAAACTAAGGTTAAGGTTTTGGAATTTTTTAAATTAAAGAAATATTCTTTTATTTTATTAAGCAAAAATAAATTAAAAAACACATTTTTACAAAATATGCCTCTGTGTTCAGCAAGATGTGGAAATAATGCAATTTTAAAGGTATGTACTCATTACGATGCAATGTTTCTATTTCTGAACACATTTGTTTTAGAGGCCTAAAACGGGAGATACTTTATGTAAGGAATGTTTTTTCGAAGCCTTTGAAAATGAAATTCACTTTACCGTTACAAAGGCAAAATTATTTAAACCAAACAGGACGGTGGCCATTGCAGCATCTGGTGGTAAAGATTCGACTGTGTTAGCCTACATTATTAAACTGCTCAATGAGAAATATAATTACGGGCTTAAACTGGTTCTCTTATCAATAGACGAAGGTATTACTGGCTACCGAGATGATAGTTTGGACACAGTAAAACAAAATAGAGACGATTACGAAATGCCCCTAAAAGTTTTGAGTTATAAAGACTTGTATGGCTGGACAATGGATGAGATTGTGGCAGAAGTAAGGTTAAAAATCCTAATAAAGTAGGAAAGTAATGTTCATTTTTAGATAGGAAGGAAAAACAATTGTACATTTTGTGGAGTATTCCGCAGACAAGCATTAGATAGAGGGGCAAATTTATTAAAAGTGGATTACTTAGCTACTGGTCACAATGCTGATGACATTGCAGAGACTGTGTTAATGAATATATTACGAGGTGACTTGGCACGATTAAATAGGTGTACTTCCATTATTACTGTAAGTAATAGAATAAAATAAAACGGGAAAAATTACGTAATCCATTTAGTGCGATACAAAATCACTGTTACTGAAGATGCAGTAAGCACTAATATTTAATTTTTTTAGGATAGTGGAGATGGCATTCCTAGAGTGAAACCTTTGAAATATGCTTACGAAAAAGAGATTGTAATGTATGCATATTTTAGGAAATTGGTATATTTTTCTACAGAATGTGTTTTTGCTCCCAATGCCTATAGAGGACATGCACGAGTTTTGTTAAAAGACTTGGAAAAAATAGATCCGTCGATTATAATGAACATTATACAGTCGGGTAAGCCCTTGTATTGTTTATTTAAGCCTTGTTTTATCATGTAATTTTTAGGTGAATCGATAAAAGTGAACGAAACCGCCACAATGCCTACATTGACAAACTGTACGCGCTGCGGTTATGTGTCTTCTCAAGAAATTTGTAAAGCTTGCGTTCTTTTAGAAGGTCTTAACAAGGGATTACCAAGATTAGGTATTGGGAAGTCGAGTAAAGTGAAAAGGATATTGCAGGAAAATGAGAAAAAGAACGGCCGATGTTGTAGTACAGATAAAAGAAAGACATGCGGAACAGTAAGTAATGAAATTAGTATAGAAGATATAGGAGACAAGAAATGCTCGTGCAATGGATCCGAGAGAATTCGACCTAAAGGTGACGAGCTTGTGATAGACAAATTAACTATATAAATATAATTTTATTTGTAATTTATATACATTGTTTAAAAAAGAAGTGAAATATATATTATAAAACATATGCAACTGCCTTTTTTTCTATTGCTTGTCGACATACTGGGCAATTCTCTGTTATGTCCACCGAACAATCTTCACATAAGCAGACATGGCCACAGGGCAATAAAATTATCTGTAAAAAATTCAACAAAGTTGTGAAAAATAAAAGCATGATAAAATCTTAAGTTTTCAGTTGGATTTTAAATAGATAAACTTACTGGACAACTAAGTGAACCAATTGATTAAAATATTTACTTTTTAAATAAACCAACAAATCGTCTTTGATCGTGAAAAACCTCCTATATATAAATTACAGGAGGGAGAAAAAACATTTTCTTATTGTTTTCTTTTAAAACTAAAGAACTGGCAAAGAACTAAAATAATACAAAAAGCTCTTGGTGAAACAAAATTATGTTACTGCAACTAATCCTTAACCTTTATTCACAACCAGCCAATTACAATTAGTACTTAGAATTAATATTATACCTAGGGCGAAAACTAATTTACAATGAAGGTCAAGTATTTCCCAATACCCAAGTAAACCCAATGTTTTTTGCCGGAACTGCGCTTATCCCCTGGCAACATTGTTTATTGTACGATAATAATTTAAACAAACATTCACATTTGAGGTTAGGTGATTTGTCATTTACTCATTTCTAGTGATGGGACTACTCGAATGAAAATTATCGATTATGAAAATCTCTCGAGGTATCACATAGATTCATTTGATTATTCGGAGACGAATGGCAGTGGCCATAGCGTTACTAACGCCAATCGTCACTCGTCACCGAATAATGCAAATGCGCTGCTCGAGCGAGAGCGCAGGTGTTTTGATTGTTCCAACGCCCTAACGAGCTACAAAACCTCGAGATAAGACGGCCAAGAGGATGGATGAGACAATCGAATATCACCGCATAAAAAAAGATATGCAGTAATTTTATGAGTGGCATCGCGCGGTTTTGAGGGGCGGTTTAGAAGGAGGCTTTATTTAGCAAGGATAGAAATTCATATGAATGAAAATAATACAAAAATTATGTTTTCTATATAATAATTTTTTTTCAAAAACCCAAACAATGGATCTCTTTAGGCGGCAACTACTCATTATAAACACATGCTGCTGAACCACTCAACTGACAACGAAGAAATGCCGCAGTCCGCGAAAGTCATTCATTTACCTAGCGTCAACATGTTTCGCATATAATTTGGGATAGGTCGGAAATTTTCAAAATAGACTTTCGATTATATATCATTCGAATGATCATTCGATTATAAAATTAATTCAAACGGTAACCTCTCGATTATTTAGTTCATTCGATTATTCCCATCACTAATAATATTTAAAAAGAGGCTAGGCTACCTTTGATCTTTAAAAACACACACACAGATAGATAGTTCAGGGTAATCTCAAACAAATGCTCTCGCTAGCTGGGAGTGTAAGCTCTCAAGAAAAAACTAATTTTTCTTGATTCGTATACAAACTCTCATAATATCACAGAAATTTTGCAATACGAATACTTCATGCTGAAAGTCTTGAACACACACTACACGCAGCACTACAACCAACTCATAGACCGAAAAATTGAAATCTAAAATAAATGTAATGGAAAGAAGCGATGGCATATCGGCTGTTCTCATTTAATAATTGAATTAACATTGACAATTTGTTTCTTGCCCATTTGGCACCCTGTTATTATATAGACGCGTATAGACTTGCGAGCTGAGCGGCTCATGAGCCCGTCATAAGACGCTGGTAGAAAAAATGAATGCCCGAGCCTCCCATGAGCATTAAATGAGCCGGCATTGTTCGCGAGCAAATCCACCTCACCGTTCAGTTTGTGTATTCATTTGAAAGATGTCTGAACAAGAAACTCTGTTTGCCATAATGGTTGCAAGTGGAGCAAATATAAAAGTACGTCTCCATCCGGCTAGGTCGCCATGGTTTAATTTAAAAAGCTTGTTCACTCTTACGAGCCTGTAGTTTTGCCGTCCAAACTGACACTGAGCATACCTTTGTGCTGGCCAGAAAAACCGACTCCAGTCGGCTCGAACTACACTCAAAACCTGGCAATACTAGTTATGTGAGTGGCTCATAAGCCGCTCAACTCGCAAGTCTATATGCGGCTTATCATCCACATACTAATATTAGTTATTTTAATAAGTCATACAAAAAGTATTAATTTTTAAAATTCCTTTGAATATTTTTATAACTGGTGTTTCGTTCGCGACAAAAAAAATATGGTAACTTAAAAATGAATGTCGCCAGATATACAAAAGCAATATTTTTTACAAAAAGATAATAACAGGCTACACTTGCAAGAGCACACATACAAGCAACTTTGGGAACTGCCCAGTGGCGGAACAGGACAAGAGTTTAGTGCAGTTTAAAAAATTCATTTCAGAGCCTTCATATATGATTACAAGCCACGCGATCAGTCATTTTGTTTGGAACAATAATTTTATTTACTTCACGTTGGCAATTAATTTTCAGAAAAATTAAAAATTATTAAAACAATAAGATCAAGATTACATTCTTATTCAACCAATCAACGATTGCATTATCCCGAGCGTAGGCATAACCGTTTGTCATTGTTCATTGTAAACGAATTATTAATATTGGTGACACCAAGATTTACGGCTTTTTCGTTACCAGTACCAGTTGTGCAAGGTTGGGTTGCCTATGATCGGCCGTCACGTGGCTTGTAAACATTTATGAATAATAAATAACTGAACCATTTATTTTATTAAAAAATAGTATTTTACCCCTAAAAAACTGACCTCACTTAAAGTTGTACCACGTATACTCCCCAAAACAGAAGCTTCTTACCTCTATTGGATTTGTTTTACATACAACGCATTGCTGATTCTCAGGTAAATCTTCATCTCTTATTCTCCTGCGCCTTTCTCTTCTGGACTCCTCGATTTGCAATTTTCTTTTGGCCTCTTCTTCCAATTCTATCCTGTACCTCCAATACTTCCTCACAATCAAACCACCCAGAATAATTCCAATCGATCCGAATATTATGCAGAGCAACCTATAGTTCTTCTTTGAATCATTCAGTTTCTTTACGAGAGACGTAATCTGCATGTTTGTCAGATAAAAAGGTGCACTGTTAGAAGGAGGTTGTAGCTTCAGCGTACCATCTTTGGCGTACACTAGTTCTCCTATTCCAGTTATCATTGTTCCTTTCCGAAGCATTTTTTCAGTTGACTGGACACCTCTTTGACGAATTCCAGCAAAAAAGCCCCATATGTGGTCCATTACACTTGGCACGGTAGGGTGGAAAGTATCAGATATCACATCCATATCTATGATATAACAATGATTATAAAGCCACAACTAAAAATTTAAACTTATACACTCACCTAAAACATCTGCGGCTAGTGGATCACAGATTTCTATTTGCATGCCTTTAGTTTCAAGAGCAAACGGCATTACATTATGAACTTCTTGTATTGTGCGTTCGGAATCAGCCCAAAATCCCGTAGTACTCCTCTGAACCACATGTTCTTTGATACGTAGTAGTTGGACAACTCCAGAGACGTTTGGATTATTGATACTTATAATAGGATTTCCTAAAGGTTTAACAGTTCCTCGAACTGACACATAGGATAATTTTTTTTCTGGGTGAGTTTCAACTATTTCTTTCAAATTTTTATCAATTTCCAAATAGGGAGCTCCCTAAAAGTACGAAGCATAATAATAAATTTAAGCTTAAAAGTTATTTATTATAAAAACCTGTATCATCATCATTGCATTTTTATTCTTGTAATATTGTTTAATGCATGCTGCTAGGATTAAGGAATCCACACCTAGAGCGATAGTTTCGGCTAAATATTCCATTTTTTTTATATTCACAACCAATTTTGCTCAAATCATTTCCTACTTCTTGGCACCAGAGCAGCTTGTTTGCTGGTAGTAATCTATTTGTGTAAAATAAATTAATTAATTAATCTCTGGCAATTTTTTTTGCTACCTAATTTGTAAACTTTTAATTTTCATTTTTATGTCAAATTACATCATAAAAACTGAATAAATATTTATATTATTGGCCACACTGATTTCGATGTTCGGAATATTTGAACTACTTATTCAATTAACAATATTTCTTGTTATCAACATTTACTACCTAACGAAATTTAGTAATAAATATCATCGTTTCCTTTAATATATTGGAAAATTATTACTTAAATAACAAAGTAAGTCAAATAAATTGAATTTTGTTTTTTTTAAAATTACATAGAATTATTTTTTTAATGTTTCCGTACCTGAAAAACAAATTAAAAAACGTCAAAAATGACAGGTGCATATTAAAAAATGGCGTAAGTTTTATCTGTTGCATTGTTTATTTTACATATTTTTAATGAATTTGAACAACTTATTGACTGAATTGATTAGTGAACAATCGTAAAAATGTCTCGCGCGAAGTCTCGTCAGAATCTTGAAGTTTGTGGTGATTGTGGGGCACTGGGTGAGTCATATTTTAATTTAAACAAGTTATGGACTAATTAGCGTTTTTAATTATAGATGCTACATGGGCGTCAGTTAATAAAGGTATATTATTGTGCACACAATGCTGTAGCATTCATCGTAGTTTGGGAAGACATATATCACAAGTTAAATCGTTATTGAAGAGTACATGGCATCCGAATCAATTGAATGTAAGTAACAATTAAGATTATAAAACAGAAAACAAGTTAATATGTTTCAGATGGTTTGTTCATTAAATAATAATGGAGCAAACAATATATGGGAACATGCTTTACTTGAAAATGGATCGAAATTAATGAAAAAGAAACCGAATGCAAAAGATCCCTTAAGGTAACCGTTATCACTCCTGGTGTAAACATTATGTAAATATTCATTTTCAGTGTTAAACAAGAGTATATAAAGGCAAAACATCTGCATTGTGCATTTGCTTTTCGAGAAAACTATGGCGATGGGTTGTTAAGCGTTGAAAATGAGTTGGGAAAACAACTGCACGCTAGTGTACGAACTCCTAACCTCGAAACCTCATTCCGACTTCTAGCTTTAGGAGCAGATCCTAACTATTTTCATGATGTAACTAATTCCATATATATATTTTTTAATGTTTTATTAATATTATTTTAGGAAAAAGGTTCTACACCTCTACATGTAGCGATTAAATCTGAGCAGAAATTACAGATGGAACTCCTTTTAGTATACGGCGCAGATCCAACTTGCCCCGATAACAAAGGCAAGACTGCTATAGATTACGCAAGGTGAGTTTAAATATTTATTTTTTACATGTTCGAGTATGTATGTTCCATTTCAGATCACAACCGAACAAGGATTTGGCTAATCGTTTAATAGAAAGTCAGTACGAGGTTACAGACACTTTCAGTTATTATTTATCTCTCAGGAAACCAGACCACACCAGTGTAGTCCATTTCCATATACCTCAGTCAGGTTTTAAGTCTAACGCAACATCTTTGTCAAAATTGCAAAAGGTATATTTACATCTATCGTCCGTATACAACATTTATCAAATCTTTTTTAGTTGAACAATCACATATTTGAGGAGCTGGCAATGGATGTATTTGATGAAGTAGATAGAAGAGAAACGGAAGCAAGTAAGTGTTTAATTTTGGAATGATAAAAAACTTATCACAAAGATAGTGCTCATCAATTCATGTTTATCTTTATTTATGATTTTTGTGCAGGATGACGTTAAACATGTAAACGTACATCACAAAAATTTATGGTTATTTTTGTATATTTTTTTGCATTGACCTTACTTAGAAAATATATAAGGAATTTTAAACAGTAGTAAAATTGTCTATATGTTTTGCTGCAAGGAATTGAGTAAGTACTTCAGCTTTGTTAAAAACTAGTTAATTAGGTTTTTAATGTTTTTCTTATACCTGCTAACAAAAAATTATTACGTTATGTTTGATATAACTTCTAGTTATTATTTGTTGCATAGTTTTAGTTTTTCCTCTGTTTATTGAGTATTTTCCCACCTGTGAAAGAATTAAAAAGTTGAATAGATTTATGCATCAAAAATGATCAATCGAGGGTTATTTTTATTAAACTATTTTGGTCATCTGACTGAAAAAAAGCAAAGAAATAAAAAATACATACTCCGATTATAGTTAACGTTTAAAAAAATTTCCCTTTTTTCATTATCAAATCTTATGACACTTTTTTTTCAATGGGTTGACAATTTAAATTTATTTTTGTCTGCTTTCATAGCTAACGACGATATTTATTCTATTATTACCTCTTCTTTCAATATTTGTGGCCTAGAAGGCCTAGAAGAAAACTTTTGGCGTAATTTGACACACATCTTTCACCATTTAATAAAATAATCATGATCTATTTTAATTTTCTTTTAATAATTAATTTTCCTTGAACCCCTTTGAATTCTGTGACTATTCTCCTAAGCCTGTTGGCAAATCTTTTAATTCACAAATTTTGACTTATATAATTTTTGTATTTGTCTAATATTAAACTGTTTTAATGTCATTTTTTTTCCTTAACAGTAAGAGAATGAAAAAAACATTAGGTAATTGAACTATAGACGCAAAAAAAGGAACAAATACTGGCCTTACTTACCAGAGAGTGCAAACATTTTGACAACTGCTGAGGGAATGACACATATTCCCTGATGATAAGTTTAATAATGAAAAAATGATCAATTTTTCGAAACGTTAACTATGTATAATTGAGGTGTGAATTATATTTGCATTTTTGTCTGTTTTTTTTTTCAGTGAGATTTTGTGTTGGGCAAAAACAATTTAATAGAATCAACCCTTGTCTGACCCTTTTTGGCACAGAGGTTTATTTAATTAACTTTAATTTTGTCAAAAGGCAACATATAATGTTTGGTATAAATTAAAGATTAACAGAAACATATTTTTCAAGTTTGGCTTAGTTGTGCCGATACTACTGACCTAAACGATGTACCGTTCCTACCAGTCGACAATACACTGTCAACCACGAGAAACCAAGGCAGACAGAAGTTAGCTAGGTTTTCCACCCCTGAACTGAAAAGCTTGGTTTATGATGTACTCATCGACACACAACGAAGGCAGATGATTGCCGAGAAAGGTATGTCTAATTCTATGTCACCGGCCTAGAAATGTTAACCTTTTCTTTTTGTAGGAAGTATGTTACAGCTGAGAGAAACGTCGGTTGTGGACGACGATCCCTTGTACGATTCGGTAGCCTCTGATGAGGATTACGCCATGGTTCCTGAAGAAGAGGTAGTAAAGCAATACATCGTTTGTAACAGTTGAATAATATTAGTTTTTTTTTTTTACAGAAATCCGATCTAGCCGTCTCTGAAAAACATCTGACTAGCAGTAGTAGTATATCACTGGATAACGTCAGCAAGACAAATCAGATACTTGAACAACTCACAAAACAGCTGAAGAACTCGGACAGCACCATAACAGACTTGAGGGCAGAGGTGATGAAACTCAGACAGTGCGTTAAGACTTTGCAGAACGAAAATTTCGAACTGAAGAGTAAATTGTCCCAGACGAAACTGTATTCGAAATTGAACGGGGACAGCGGATTCGATTCTTTGGAGCATATATCCGAGGTGAAATAATTTTTTGCTTACTAATCAGATTTGATATTTTTAAATTCATTTAAAATCCTTAGTAAAGTGTTTGTTGCTATTTTTTTAAAGCCCTGTGTTTAGTTTCTGAATGTCAGTGTCATTGACATCTGTCATTATACTGATAAGGTGAACTACATAATAGTACATCTGATGTAATATTATCTATGATCCGGAAGTGGTTGATTCTGATGTGTATGGCCCCACATTGGGCGCCATATTTACATTTCCGGTTTTTATTTTCGTTTCGACTGGGTCCGCTATGGCGAGCCGGGTCTGTTATTTGGGCTTTTTGATTTCTAGTCACATACGGATCTACAGTTGTCGCATTCCGATATAGATAAATTTTTTATTTTTGATGGGAGGATCCTCTATTCCTTGAATATGAATTTATAATTTGAGTCTAAACAATGAAAATTTGTAAAAATCTAAATGAGAATTTGGAAATTAATTTGACGATTTCCCTGTACCATTGGAACGCTTGAGTTCGCACTTTTAACAATTTTTTGGCTGCTTGGAGTCTTTACTAAGGAACTTTTCCGCAATATTTGAGTTACCAAGGACCTAACTGAGGAACTTTAGGGGAAAATGGCCCTTAAAGATCAGATTGCTTGGTTTTTACAGTGACCGAAACATTTTTTTTATTAAATTTTATTAAATATCGAAATCATCTTTGCAAATGTTAAGCCGTATTGTTCGTCTTTTGAGGTCTGGATGAAAATTTAACAAAACTACGACGTTTCAAAAATCTCTATGAGAAATATCATTGGAAATTTTAATTTAAGAATTGCATATGGAAAATAGTATGTGATAGGACTATGGCTTTTTAGAAAAAATCCCATTTTTTGTGTGTCCTGTCTGTGACTAATTCAGCCAAATTGGAACATATATTTGAAGGTAATATAGCTAGTGCAAATAAAACTATGCTTCAATTAATATTTTAGAATCAAAACAGCGAGTACGAATCACTACCAAACGGCAAAGTAGCCGACGAAGTGGATCTGCATCTGAATCGCAGAAATCAGAGGCCTTCGAGCATGTACGAAACTAGAGAAGGTATTGGCAAAGTGCCATACTGGCACGCCATGAAAAATCAGGTAATATGTTGCAGAGGTGGTAGGTATTTTTTCTGAAACGCNTCTGTGACTAATTCAGCCAAATTGGAACATTCTGTACAGAAAATATATTCGAAGGTAATATAGCTAGTGCAAATAAAACTATGCTTCAATTAATATTTTAGAATCAAAACAGCGAGTACGAATCACTACCAAACGGCAAAGTAGCCGACGAAGTGGATCTGCGTCTGAATCGCAGAAATCAGAGGCCTTCGAGCATGTACGAAACTAGAGAAGGTATCGGCAAAGTGCCATACTGGCACGCCATGAAAAATCAGGTAATATGTTGCAGAGGTGGTAGGTATTTTTTCTGAAACGCTTTATTTCAGCTTAAGCAAAACGAACAAACACGGAACACCACACAGAGCCTCTATTCCTCACCCCAAGACCGGCAGACTGTCTTACAGTGTACAGAACAGATCACTAGAACCATTCAGCAGCTGTGCAAGAGCATTCAAGAACCGGAAAAGGAGGATTGTGTGCCTAGTGCGGAGAAAGTTAAATATTCCATTGCGAAATTGGCGTCCCATTTACCCAAGGTGAGGCTTTGCTGATATTTATTTATTTATGAATGTTTACCATCTGTCAGCAGTAGGAAGGTAATTTGAAGTAAAATTATATGATGCAAATGAAAACATTTTGACATTTGTCAACTGCTGAGGTCGAGAGTAAATGACACATGTTCTCACTTGATATGTGACAATAAATATTCAATATTGTGACCTTTGTTGATATGTAAGCGATCTCATTGAATGAAAGAATCACACACATTTACAATCCTGCCTTATCTAATCAATCTGAAGTATGAGATGTTTGGGATATATAATTTGTTTGTTTTTAACTATCGAAGTTTGTTGTTTTCTTCTAGTGATGACACTTACTCAAAATGACCAGTCAGTAGCCATAAGAGACTGGTCGCATTTGAAAGTAGTTCAGAATTTATTTTACTTTTAATATTCTTAAAATCTAAACATTAATGGAGACGTAATGTTGATAATTAGTAGAGATGGGCATTTTTTGCACACTCAAAAGTATGTTAAAGACATGTCGATGATATGTCCGGACATGTCGATGAAATGTCCGGACATGTCGATGAAATGTCCGGACATGTCGGTGAAATATCTGGACATGTCGGGAAAAGTACTTTTGACCTTGAATCTAATAATGCACCTATGAGTGACGTCATGTTCTCACAGGTCACTGCTTAAGGGTACACAAAGCAAAATATTACTTTTATTTTAATGAATATGTGTTTTATTAAATGTTATTTATTGTTTATTATATATTTGATTAATTTTTCATTAGAATGCCTCATTTTTGTCCAATATAAAACATAAAATCAGATGAGGAAGTGGGTCCCTTATTAAGAATTATGTTATTTTGATTCAAATCGGGTACTTCAGAACTTGCTGTAAATAAGGAAAAGTAGAATATCAAAAACAAAGAACAAAATACATAATTATATGAAAAATGAAAATAGTTTTTCACAAGTCAAATGTTTCAACAACTTACTCGATATATTTTACTTATTACTTACCTTTACACTTTTTTATAAACTGGTTTCTAATTTTCTCCGGACAGGCAATACATTTATTTAAATGTTTTTCCATCCTATTGGAATTCTTGCATGCATGATCGCATGCGCATACAACTTTTCAATATTGAAAAGTGTTCTCAGGACATGTCCACTTTTCACGACATGTCCGATCTCTAATAATTAGTAGGATTTACAATAGACCACTGGAAATTAATAATGCCTTTGCAGGGTCATCTTGGAATAAAATTGTCGCAGGGATGTCTTTTAGACATGCAAGGATGACAGTTAAGAAACAACAAATTTTAACACGTGAAGTTCATGAAACAAATAACAGCTAACCAAACATTCAAACTAATAATTAATCGGTGTTTTTCTTTCACCTCCATTGTTTATACTTTCTACATCAAAACATTTTTCAATATACAGGGTGTCGCGCTTAAATGTTATACAAGCCTGTAACTTCTTTATTTTTTGACCGATTTCAAATTTTTTTTTTTAACAGGTAGGCTAAAAAAAATTATCTAACTGCGATACTGCTGCTTATATTAATGCAATACACGGCCAACTAGGACGCGTTTTTTGACATCAATTAGCAAAATATTTGTTTCTACCATTTCTAGGTAATTTTACCAAGGTAAATTTTTAGCAGTCAGCTTAATTTGAAAATCCATTATTAATCTCCAGTTTCCTAAACATCCTGTATTTTACTGTTTTTCTAGGACACAGAAGCGGCACGAGTAAAGTTGATGCAAGAGGTAGCCTCGCAGCTCCAACCGGAGTGTTCCGCTTTACAGCTGTCAGAAAAGAAAGGGGACGCGAAGGCCGTCGAGTGTCATTTCAGCAACATAAGGGACTTAGCTTTCCATCTTGCCAAGTTTACCAAGGACATCGTTACGATGTATTCCTCGAATCAGTGACACCTCGGCTTGCGTCGTTCCGCCTTTCGATACATTCTGAATCTATCTCACTAATGTTCCCACAGTAATTTATTTCGTAGGTAAGGAATCACTTTCGGAAAATGTAATTCGTAAGAATTTTTTGATGTCCTATTAATAAATGAAACTGCGTCATTATTTTTAAACAAATAAACGAAACTTGATCAAATTACACTTCTGTTGCGGTTTATGTTCATATTGTGATTAGATTTGCTCATTTAGCGATGAGTGTGAGGCTTGAATGGAAATGAAAGTATTTTATATCTTTACGTTCTGAGATATTCCTATTTATCTAGATATATTTTTTTTAATCCTGGCAGCTGCAAAAGAAACTATAATTATTTTATCACCACTTTTATTTGATTTTAATTCAAATTTTACAAAGAATTTTATCGTCCATTTCCTTTTTTTTTATTATTTCTTTTAACTAATTTTTATCTTCTTTCTTCTGGTGTGTGCAATTGTCGAGTAGTCTTGTTAAAAAAATTTTGCTCCCTAGTAGACACTTGTTGAGTATTAATAGTAATTGTTAATGATTGTTAAATTACATTGTAAGTTTAAATCACATAAGAAATAGTATTTCTAAGATACGTTTCCTCATCCTGTTTGTTAAACGTCCATCATGTTAAAAGAAAAACATCGTTATGCCTATTTTATTATTATTATTTAAAAAAATTCAATAAAAAAATATCACATATATATATTTTACTTACGTAACATTAGATTCGTTATTAAATATTAATATAAATAAATATGTATTGTAAACTGACTGATTACTGTACAATAAGAACATTTTACATTAACTAATAATTTAAAGAGCTTTATATATAATATTTAAAATGTTTCTCTATTATCATAAAAATAAAATACATTGTTATTCATTGAGCTGAGTTTTATTATTTAGAAAAAAATAAACGCAATTAAATTTTTTAAAGCAAATACAACTTGAATAACAAAAAATATCTCAAATGTCTTAGCAATTCGCAAATAACGAATACAATAAAGCTAACACTTCCACACGCATATAGCTAAATTACCTCCAAAAAACATGTACAACAAAGTTGTGCATTCGTAAGAAATTTCGAAACCAAACCCCTCACCTACGACCACATGAAAAGGTGGCCCGAATTTTTTGTCCATCTCTTCTTTTATCATTTTTGATGCTGCCTGAAATTAAATGTTAGTAACTTCAAAAAATGCTTTTCTTTAGTACCTCGTTACTATTCGAGAACTTTTCACAAGCTGTAGCAACTAATTCCATGGCTTCAGTTCTCATTTCCTCGGGCATATCTGAATGCTAAAATATATTTTTAAATTTTCTGCTTAATCAATTTTTTAGGCTATACATCAAAATTTTAGATTCTTCTGTACTTTTAAAGTAATCAATAAATAGTGACTCACCCTTACAAGAGGGTAGGTGTGGACAATCTTTTTGGTTTCCTCGGCTTTACCCTCTTTTCCTTCTTCTGCCATTCAATCACCAATTTTTAAATTTCTTCAGCTAAAAGTAAAGGGTTATAAATTATTGATAAAACTTGACAAACCGTAAAACGCGCCTTTGAAGTTTAATTTGATTGGTAACAAAACAAAGGATTGCAACGTATAAATATGTAATTGTGTACTGTACACACGATTCTATTGGCAACACTGTCTCAAAAAGTATTTTTTTTTTAATTATTACATTTATTTTTGTTTAATTATTACATTTGCTCAAGAATCCACTTATTTCAGATAAATAGAACAAATATTTTAATGCGTTTAAATTTGGTAAAATAGAAATTTATGATTTTCAGATAAAATAGAAATAACGTTTTCATAGCTACCAATATAAAAATTTGATCGATTAAATTTCCCTAAGTGGATTATGATATGAATACCAATACAAATACCAAAAGTCACCCTAAATATTTAATAATGTGAGGTTAATTTTAGACTTTAATTTTTGAAATTTTAATTATTGTTCAGATATGTCTAGATTTAGTGGAGTATTGCAGTTAACCGACTTGGACGATTTTATAACACCTTCTCAGGTAAGGTATGATTTTCGTGATTAAGTAATTTTTTCAACTTTTTTTTAATAGGAATGTATTAAACCTGTTAAAATAGAGAAAATAAGTTCCACAGGGGCAAAGATAAAAATACAAGAAGATGGATCGTACTTTCAAATTGAAGAAGTGAGTTGGTTTTGATTTTATTATTTAAAATACTTTAATTCTACGTCTTTAGGATGGCAGCACACAAAAATTACAAAAAGTTGAGATAACTCTTTCCGACTGTTTGGCTTGTTCTGGGTGTATCACATCAGCAGAAAGTGTTTTAGTTACTCAACAAAGTCAGGAAGAATTGCTAAGAGTCTTTCAAGAAAACAAAAATTTAAAACTAGTAAGTCTTCACATGAAGAATAAAAATTTTATTTTTACAATTATTTTCATTTTTAGCAGGGTAGGTCTCAAGATGCAAAGCTAATAATTGTGTCAGTTTCTATTCAGCCAATACTATCACTGGCGATAAGTTACAATTTACCACCAAATAACTGTGCAGCGAAACTCGCGCAATATTTCAAACAGCTAGGAGCTGATATGGTTGTAGACATGACTATTGCTGAAGATCTAGCATTACTGGAATCACAAAAGGAGTTCATAAGGAGGTATCGAGCCACAGAAAGTGACGGGGTAAAAAATATTTTGCCTATGCTGGCCTCTAGTTGTCCAGGTAAACATCGATCCTTCTAATGGTTAATGTATTTTATTGATTTTTTTTTTATTTCACGTGTAGGTTGGGTGTGTTACGCAGAGAAGACTCATGGCAGTTACATCTTACCATATATAGCCACAACGAAATCGCCGCAACAAATTATGGGTTCTTTGATAAAACAGTGGGTTGGACATAACTTAGGGGATCGCCAAATCTACCATGTCACTGTGATGCCATGCTATGACAAGAAGTTAGAAGCTGCCCGTGAAGACTTTTTTTCTCAAGAAACTCAATGTCGAGATGTGGACTGCGTGATAACAGCAAGTAAGTCTCAAAAATTCCAATTCGAGGTCTAATATGCTTTTATTTTTAGTTGAATTAGAACAGATGTTATTAAAAGACGGAATTTCGCTAGACAGCTTGGATAGTTCAAAGTTCTCGCAACCCTGGCTTTTGAAAAATGGCCAGGAAGTTAATCCTGTACTGACAAGGCATATCGGATCGGGTTCAGGTGGATATGCCGACCATATTTTTAAATATGCTGCAAAAGAATTATTTGGGGATGAAATTGAGAAATTAGAGTACAAAAACTTAAGGTGGTTAAAGAATAGAAAATTTGGATATATCTAATGTTTGTATTTTGCAGGAATCCAGATTTTAGAGAAGTTATATTGGAGAAAAATGGAAAAGTATTGCTGAGATTTGCAATTGCTAATGGCTTTAGAAATATACAAAATTTTGTTCAAAAGCTGAAGCGAGGGAAGAGTCAATATCAGTACGTTGAAGTGATGGCGTGTCCTTCAGGTATAGTATAAACAGCAAATACTGTTTTTGAAATTTTAATTGAAATACTGTGTGATTTTTAAAACGAGACACTTTATGAGGTGATTTTTTGGGCTGTAATGAAGTCAAAGTGTCGAGATGATGATGCTTGTAATAAATTTATTCAATATTGAATTCAATTATTGATAACATGTACCAAAATCTGTATATCTAATTTAGTTAAAAGCAGTTTTAAATTGAAACAAAATCATGCCTAAAATGAACAGATGCACCATCTTGCAATAACTACATGCTGGCTTTTACATTTAAAGATACGTCCTTTAACAAAGCAAGATTATGTTGAAAAAGTTGAGTTACTTGTCGAAATTTAGAATTTTTAATATGCTATTTACAACGCCTGTCCAGATGCATACAGAAAAGTGGTATTAAAAATTGGTATTTCTTACATGTGTTAAATGTATTGTGGGAATTCCATTACAGGTAAACCGAGCTTGATCCGTCACCAAAATTGACCTCAGTTGTCCTATTTGTGCTAAACGATGCTGTCACACATTAGGAAAACGTTCAGTGTACAGTTGCGATGCCTCTGTGGCATTTTGATCACACTGCTCATAAATAAATATGTCTACTAGTTCATTATTATTATGGCTGTGAATCATTGTAACAAACAACCCATAAAAATAACTATAAAAACGCCTTTAATTCACAACAGTTGGTACAATTTCACATCAGGTGCAAAACTGTTAACGTGCTGGCAAAAAAAAACTGATTTATTTTTTTTGTATTCAGTAAAGGGCAGGATCTGACTTAAGCTTTCCCTTATTTTTAAATTTCTTCAAAAAAGTTGCCTTTACTTACTGTTATAATATTTTAATTTAAAAATTATTCTATAAATGTGTCGATTTATAAGCATAGGAATCAAAGGGTACCTTTTTTTAGGGTGTTTAAATGGAGGTGCTCAGGTTCGACCGAAAGATGGGACGACGGTCAAGGAACTATCAACTCGGTTAGAGGAATTGTATAATTCTCTACCCGTCACTTATCCGGAAGAAAACAAATTAGTTAATGAATTGTACGATTCTTGGTTGGGCGGACAAGACAGTGATAAAAGCAATGTTATATTGCACACCCAGTATCATGCGGTCGAAAAAGCAACAAACGCATTAAATATAAAGTGGTAATTATGTTATTAAGAATAAAAGTTATGTTGGTTTACTTAATTTTTTATTTTGAAAGTTAATACGAATTATATAAATAATTTCCCTAATCTTTACACAAGTTTCTCTTTGATTTTGAATTTTGTAATTTTGACCACAAATTCATAATCAGCGACCTCGAAAACCTCCCGAGTAAGCATTTATAGCCAAATCTGTCAACGTATCTAAATTTTCGCTGCCATATTGAATCTGCTATTTTGAATTTTGTAATTTTAACCACAAATTCGTAATCAGCGACCTTGAAAACCTCCCGAGTAAGCATTTATAGCCAAATCTGTCAACGTATCAAAATTTTCGCTGCCATATTGAATCTGCCATTTTGAATTTTGTAATTTTGACCACAAATTCGTAATCAGCGACCTCGAAAACCTCCCGTGTAAGCATTTATAGCCAAATCCGTCAACGTATCTAAATTTTCGCTGCCATATTGAATCTACCATTTTGAATTTTGTAATGTTGACCACAAATTCGTAATTAGCGACCTCGAAAACCTTCTGAGTAAGCATTTATAGCCAAATCTGTCAACGTATCTAAATTTTCGCCGCCATATTGAATCCGCCATTTTGAATTATGTAATGTTGACAACAAATTCGTAATCAGCAACCTCGAAAACCTCCCAAGTAACCATTTATAGCCAAATCTATCAACGTATCTAAATTTTCGCCACCATTTTGAATTATGTAATGTTGACCACAAATTCGTAATCAGCGACCTCGAAAACCACCAAGTAAGACTTTATAGACCAATCATTGGATATTTCGAATTTTGGCCAAGATTTCGAGTTGCTTGGCGTATAGTACAAAGGAGGGGTATAAAAATTGTGGAAATAAGGGTAAAAAAAATCAATTTTCACAACAGAATTTAAAAATTGTGTGTGAACGGTTAGAGCAGTCAGTCATTAAATTCCTGGTTTGACTGTACACGTGATCGACTAATTGTTTACGGATTGGTCCGATTCTGAATTAGATTTTGGTGGTTATGTAGATCGTGCACATAACATTAGGGTGTTAGTTTGAAAAAAATTTGTATGTTCTAAAATTCCTTTGATAACGTTTGACACAGATTGATGAAATTAGGGCCAGATTTAATTAAAATTCAAAATCCGGTCTAATTAATTTATTTTAGAATCTTGATTGTTCGTAGTGTTTCTCAAAACTTTTTTCTACTTTTTTCGAAATTTTCAAGTTGTTGCTTTTTTTAAGCGAATTACCATTAGCCAAGTATATCAAGACACCTAAAATAATTAGAGCTTTCCATTTTCAAGAATTTTTTTCTGATTGTACATTGAATCATAGAAGGTCCGAAAAAGTTGTCTGTACAGAAATTTGACATTCTTTTGTTTTGGGTGGTCCTCTAATAACAAAATGGATGTTAATGATTGATTACACAGCCCCACAAAAAAAAAAGTATCAGATCTGGTATTCAGACCCATGTATTTCTATGTATTTTTTTCCGCTGAATCCAAATCTGCCTTCAGATTTGGCCCAACGGGTCTGAGTTTTCGGGAAAATTCAAAAAACAGGTCAAAATTCACAAAAAACGTCATTTACGATTGACGAAAGTTATAAAAAGTCAAATTATTCTACCAGCTCACTAGACGTATGATTTTTCACTCGTTTAATTCCAATTTATCATCATAGAGTCAGACAAACTGGTCCAATTTCATTCAAAAACAGAAAATAGATCAAAATGCCTTAAAAACGCCATTTTCATGGCATAATTCATGTTGCAGAGTTCTGGTTCCTTTTTTTTTCCGCCCACCTATTTATGAATTCATATATCTTTCTATCATCCACCTGTACCACCTATAAAACCCACCCATCTACTTTTTGTGGTGAGAGATGAGATAACAGCCTAGAAGATTGAGAATGCAATAAAACTTGTAGAATACTCTACTTCCTAAACAAAAGAAAACGATATCTACAAATCATTCTTATTTTTGTTGCTATAACGTGTTCTCTATGGGATCTATGCAAAGGGTTACGCTTTCGTTTAGTCCCTGTATTTTTCGTTTCTCTTTTTAAGAATCCTACATAAATCGGCCATCATGGTGTGATCCCATCTTCCTTAATATCGCTATTCTATAACCTTCATATCCTGATGAGATCGTTCGCCTTGTTCTTCGCTATAATCTCTACGATTTTCAGGAAACCAATCCAGATGTGAATGAAGGAAGTGCAACTTGTAGTCCATCAAACATCCCAGGTCTTGGAAGTCTTTTATCAGTTTTAATACAATTTCTTCGTATTTAGGACTCTTGTTGTTTCCTAAAAAATTTGTCACTACAACTTTGAAACTAGTCCAAGCACTCTTCTCAACGCTACTCATTGTAGTGAAAAATGTTGCATCCTTGAACAATGTCCGAATCTGAAGTCCATCGAATACACCTTCTTTCAATTTCGCCTCAGAAATATTCGGAAATTTTCGCCCTTTGTATATGTAGGGCGAAAACTTGTTGGTTGTTAAAAAGTGAAAAGAAAAATAAAACGAATAAACGAAAATGTAACCCTTTGCATAGAACTTTTGAAGAAAAGAGAATAGGTTATAGCAACAAAAATAAGAATGATTTATAGATATCATTTTCTTTTGTTTAGAAAGTAGAGTATTTTACAAGTCTTATTGCATTCTCAATCTTCTAGGCTGTTATCTCATCTCTCAGCACAAAAAGTATATGGATGGGTGGGTTTTATAGGTGGTACAGGTGGATGAATAAATATGTGTATTCATGCATGAAAGACTGGATAGAAAGATGTAACACGAATTATGCCATGAAAATGGCGTTTTTAAGCATTTTGATCTATTTTCTGTTTTTGAATGAAATTGGACCAGCTTGTCTGACTCTATAATGATAAATTGCAACTAAAGGAGTGAAAAATCATATGTCTAGTGAGATGGTACAATAATTTGATTTTTTATAACTTTCGTCGATCGTAAATGACGTTCTTTGTGAATTTTAACCTATTTTTTGAATTTTCCCTAAAACTCAGACCCGTTGGGCCATATCTGAAGGCAGATTCGGATTCAGCGGAAAAAATACATGGAAATACATTGGTCTGAATACCAGATCCGATACTTTTTTTTTTGTGGGTCTGCGTTATTTTTTGGATTTTTCACGGTCATATTCTTGTGAGGCAGACAATTTATGAAATAAGATCTTATCAAGAATAAATGTATATATTTGACTTAACTATCAGTATAAAACGAAACGAGCTTACACAAAAAAACACTAAACAAGATAAATTGTAAAAATTTGGTAACAAATACATAACTCAACAAAAGCTACATTTACAACAAACTAATTACAAATATGCCTGCCAGCCATGGAACAACCTGCATAAATTAGCTGGATCAACGGCCTGCTGAATTAAAGTGGCGACTTGGTGTTCGATACTCGTCGAATGACCCAGTTCGTTGCCCTGCAGCTTTTCTTTGAGTCGCAGAAGAGCTCGCTCGGCTGTAATGTTCACAGTAGTGTTTTCTGAAAACATAAACAGAGACTCATAGAAATGGATTATGTAGATATAATTCCACTAAAGCCAATACTGAAGGAGTTACCATAGAAATAAAACATTTCTCTGAAGATGAGAAGAGAACCTTTTAATAAGTAAGTTAAAAGTACTTGAAACAACATTTGTTTCAAGAAACGTGATGGAAAGTTTAAACATCCAGAGAAAACAATTCAAGTGCTCATTACCCCATATACAGGGCTATCCAAAAGTCCCCGTACGGTAAAAAAACTTTCGAAGAATGCATTATGAGGAAAAATGTTTCAGACAAATGTGTAAGGATTTTATCCTGGCTATCTGATGGTGATCTTGGATTTGACCTTGACTTTGACCTTCAAGGCCATTTGAAGGTCAAGTTAAATTTTTTAATTGTTAAACTCTAATTTTTATTGTGGATTTGGAAAGAGCAGGAAATTTTACGTTTAACTATGACCTTCAATAATTCCTTGACCATGACCTTCAAGGTCAAATGAGGGTCAAGTTCCAAAGTCCCGGTACTGCAGAAAAACTTTTAAGGAATGCATTTTGGGAAAAAATGTTCCAGACAAAAGTGTGAGGATTTTTCCCTGGCTATCTGATGGTAATCTTGGCTTTGACCTTGACCTTAAAGGTCATTTGAGGTGAAGTTTTTTGAATGGAAACCCCTACTGTATATTGCGGATTTGGAAAGAGCAGGAAATTTTATGTTTAACTATGACCTTGACCAATTCCTTGACCATGACCTCAAATGTGGGTCGAGTTCCAAATGTCCCGGTATGGCAGTACTCCCTACTAATTAACGCAAGGTGGTGTGTATGCCCGACCAATTAAGGCAAGGTAGCTGTAGTCCCGACCAATTCTTATGTCCGTCTAGGAATCTGCCAAAATGTTGATAGAGAACATTTTGACCACAGGTTGTAAGCCTTGTCTTAACTGGCCGAGATTGTTAGTCATTCCTTAACCCTTTCACTGCTCCACACGTATATATTCGCTAAAAATTTATAGGGCTCAAACTGCTCCAGACGGATTAATTCGCATGAATAGTTAAATTGGATCAGGCTGCTCAAACCGTATATATTCGCAACCATGCGCATTGTGACCCGGTTATTGCAATTGGTAAGGTGAATTTTTGCGGGCGAGCTTATACCGATTTTGACAAATATTTTTATGGAAAGGTACTGGTAATAATACCAAGATTGTTCATGTTTCTTTCAGTTTCTATTTAGTAGATATACTGTATTTCATTCAAAATAAAATCGTAAAATTTATCGTAAATCGTAATTTAAAACAACATAATGTAAAACTATAAGTGGTCTAACTGCTCCAGACGTATATATTCGCACGCAATAAACTTTCGCGCACGACGCGGTAGCTAGGTTCAGACGTATTGCGCAGCGAAAGGGTTAACTGTAGGGGATCGTTAGCCTTGCCTCAACTGACCAGGTTATCTCTTTCACTTAACTGACTGGAATCGCTAGCTACAGTGACTGAAATTTTCTAATATTCTGGAAAAAAATATTTTTAAAATGACCGTCAAATACTAGTTCAAGGTCAAGAGCTTGATTATGGTCATATTCGTACATTTGTTTTTCCGTTCTTCCTAACTTATCAAAAAAATAATAGTTATTGTAAATAAATTAACCTGACCTTGATATGATCTTGAGGGTCATTGTCAAAGTCGTAGTCGAGGTCGTACTTGAAGGTTAAATTTCAGCTCTTTCCAAATTCTTAATAAAAAATAGGGGGTTACCAATGAAAAACAACTTTGAATGAATGAACTTGAAGGTCATTGTCAGTCATGGTCAAGACCATATTTGGACGTAAAATTTCTTGTTCTTTCCAAATCCGCAATAAAAAATAGGGGTTCTTATTTAAAAACTTAAATTGCCCTTGAAGGTCAGTCAAGGTCAAATCCAAGGTCATCATCAGATAGCCCCGGAAAGGGATAGGGAAAAATCTTTTATCTGGAACATTTTTTCCCAAAATGCTTTCTTCAAAAGTTTTTCAGCCATACCGGGACTTTTGGATAGCCCTGTCTAATTAATTGAATATGTACAATGTGTTTTTCTTAGATGAAATTATTTGTAATATTAAAGGAAATATATAATATAAACAATATAAAACACTGNTTTTTTTTTGTGGGTCTGCGTTATTTTTTGGATTTTTCACGGTCATATTCTTGTGAGGCAGACAATTTATGAAATAAGATCTTATCAAGAATAAATGTATATATTTGACTTAACTATCAGTATAAAACGAAACGAGCTTACACAAAAAAACACTAAACAAGATAAATTGTAAAAATTTGGTAACAAATACATAACTCAACAAAAGCTACATTTACAACAAACTAATTACAAATATGCCTGCCAGCCATGGAACAACCTGCATAAATTAGCTGGATCAACGGCCTGCTGAATTAAAGTGGCGACTTGGTGTTCGATACTCGTCGAATGACCCAGTTCGTTGCCCTGCAGCTTTTCTTTGAGTCGCAGAAGAGCTCGCTCGGCTGTAATGTTCACAGTAGTGTTTTCTGAAAACATAAACAGAGACTCATAGAAATGGATTATGTAGATATAATTCCACTAAAGCCAATACTGAAGGAGTTACCATAGAAATAAAACATTTCTCTGAAGATGAGAAGAGAACCTTTTAATAAGTAAGTTAAAAGTACTTGAAACAACATTTGTTTCAAGAATCGTGATGGAAAGTTTAAACATCCAGAGAAAACAATTCAAGTGCTCATTACCCCATATACAAGGCTATCCAAAAGTCCCCGTACGGCAAAAAAACTTTCGAAGAATGCATTATGAGGAAAAATGTTTCAGACAAATGTGTAAGGATTTTTTCCTGGCTATCTGATGGTGATCTTGGATTTGACCTTGACTTTGACCTTCAAGGCCATTTGAAGGTCAAGTTAAATTTTTTAATTGGGAAACTCTAATTTTTATTGTGGATTTGGAAAGAGCAGGAAATTTTACGTTTAACTATGACCTTCAATAATTCCTTGACCATGACCTTCAAGGTCAAATGTGGGTCGAGTTCCAAAGTCCCGGTACTGCAGAAAAACTTTTAAGGAATGCATTTTGGGAAAAAATGTTCCAGACAAAAGTGTGAGGATTTTTCCCTGGCTATCTGATGGTAATCTTGGCTTTGACCTTGACCTTGAAGGTCATTTGAGGTGAAGTTTTTTGAATGGAAACCCCTACTGTATATTGCGGATTTGGAAAGAGCAGGAAATTTTATGTTTAACTATGACCTTGACCAATTCCTTGACCATGACCTCAAATGTGGGTCGAGTTCCAAATGTCCCGGTATGGCGGTACTCCCGACCAATTAACGCAAGGTGGTGTGTATGCCCGACCAATTAAGGCAAGGTAGCTGTAGTCCCGACCAATTCTTATATCCGTCTAGGAATCTGCCAAAATGTTGATAGAAAACATTTTGACCACAGGTTGTAAGCCTTGTCTTAACTGGCCGAGATGGTGAGCCATTCCTTAACTGTAGGGGATCGTTAGCCTTGCCTTAACTGACCGGGCTATCTCCTTCACTTAACTGACTGGAATCGCTAGCTACAGTGACTGAAATTTTTAAAAATTCTTGAAAAAATCTTAAAATGACCTTCAAATACTAGTTCAAGGTCAAGAGCTTGATTATGGTCATATTCGTACAATTGTTTTTCCGTTCTTCCTAACTTATCAAAAAAATTATAGTTAATGCAAATAAATTAACCTGACCTTGACATGATCTTGAGGGTCATTGTCAAAGTCGTACTTGAAGGTTAAATTTCAGCTCATTTCAAATCCTTAATAAAAAATAGGGGGTTACCAATGAAAAACAACTTTGAATGAATGAACTTGAAGGTCATTGTCAAAGTCATGGTCAAGACCATATTTGGACGTAAAATTTCCTGCTCTTTCCAAATCCGCAATAAAAAATAGGGGTTCCCATTTAAAAACTTAACTTGACCTTCAAATGACCTTGAAGGTCAAAGTCAAGGTCAAATCCAAGGTCATCGTCAGATAGCCAGGGAAAAATCTTTTGTTGGGAACATTTTTTCCCAAAATGCTTTCTTTGAAAGGTTTTCAGCCATACCGGGACTTTTGGATAGCCCTGTCTAATTAATTGAATACGTAAAATGTGTTTTTCTTAGATGAAATTATTTGTAATATTAAAGGAAATATATAATATAAACAATATAAAACACTGACGTGACGTTTATAACTTACCTTCCTCAATTTCAGACGACAAATTCCTTATATCGTTTTCATCGTCAGTTTGACGTTTGTTGGCCTCTGCCGAGGTGACAGTCCATACATACAGAGGATCGTAAAGCAGAACCTCCAGTATTGTGATGATAGTTTGAGAGTTTTGTCGGAGCACCTCCATCGTTTTTTCACATGACCTGCAAATTAAATAAATAAACTAAATAAACATCAGTACAAACACAAATTCTAAATTTCCTCACCTTCTAAAAATACCCTCTACTCCGGACACCCCCATTCCATCAATGATATCTCTCGTTAGCCTGAACGGCACGGTTTCTGGCGTGGGCAACACTCTTCCCTGTTCAAAAGCGATACCTAAAGAAAATTAAACAAGTAGAGCGAGGTACAAATATATTAATTCTGTTGTTACCGAAATCTATGTGTATCACTTCAGCAGTGGTTTTGTCTATAAGAATGTTGCTAACGTGACGGTCTCCGATGCCCAAAATATACCCGCACATACTGGTAGTGGCGACGCTGTGAATGTATGCCCTACGTCGCTCATACCAGATAGTCGGATGGGGAAAGGAGGTCTCGAAGAATTTGTGGAATACGGGCTTAAAGATTTTACAAATGGTTTTGAATGTAGCAAGTCTCTCTTCGGGACTTTTGTCGGCACATCTCTAAAAATTAATTATTTTTTAAATCTCATTCAATGTATATGAACGAGTAATTGTCAGTGAACCACTGTTGATCGATTCAAACAATCGAACATATTTTCATCAACATTAAAACTAATAATAATAAAATTGTTATTTCCATATTTTTCGAAGTTTTATTATTTTATTTTTCTGGAATTATTAATTTTGTTGTAAGGTCTGTAAATATAAAACCGCTGTCAATGAAGTTACCATCAAGTTGCGACATTGGTGTCATTTGCTTTGTTGACGTCTAACAAATACTTTTAACTCATCACAACAATACAAGTTTCATATCCAACATAGTGTTGAACGTGTCGAATTTTGGGCCTGAAAATTACAATTTGCAGGCAGCATTGATTTTCTGTTACAACTGCTGCAGAATCGCATCAAATGTTTGTCAAAAGTTACGGTGAGCATGCTCTTGGTAAATCACAATGCTTTGTTTTGTTTAAAAAATTTAAAAATGTCGATTTTGACGTAAGAAATGAAAAATGTGGGAGGCCACCGAAAAAATTTGAGGACATCAAATTGCAAGCATTGTTGGACGGGGATGACGCTCAAATGCAACAACAACTCGTGGATCAATTAAATGTGACACAAAGCCATCTCCAAATGTTTGAAAGTCATGGGAAAGATCATGAAGATGGGAAAATGGGTTCCGCATGAACTGAGTGAGAGACAATAGGAATAGTGAAAAATCACTTGCGAAATGCTGCAGTCATCGAATTGTGACTAGCGATGAAAAGTGGATTTAGTTTGAAAATCCTAAGCGTAAAAGATCATGGGTAACTCCAGGCGAACCATTGTCATCAACTGTAAGGCCACACCATATGGACAGAAGACAATGCTTAGTGTTTGGTGGGATCAGAAGGATGCGATCTATTATAAGCTGCTAAAACCTGGAGAAGCTGTTAATACTGAACGTTATCGACAACAAATGATCGATTTGTATTAAGCTTTGTGTGAAAAACAAAAAGAATATCAAAAAAGGCAATACAAACTGATTTTGCTTCATGATAATGCACCATCACACACACACACACACACACACAGCAAAACTGGTCAAGGAAACAATTAAAGCGTTTAGTTGGGAAATACTTTCACCTGTCTTATTCGAGAGAAGTGACTCCATCTGATTACCATTATTTGCAACGATGGACATGCATTTGCTGAGTAACGCTCCACTTCTTACGAAAATGTATGAAAATGGCTGGATGACTGGTTTTCCTCAAAAGAGCAACAGTTTTTTTGGCGTGGCGTCCACAAATTCCCAGACAGGTGGGAAAAATTTATAGCTCGCAATGAACAATAAAATATTTTTCATCATTTTCATACAATAAAAGTGTACATATTTGGTATTACAGGTATTAAATTGTCATCAGTTGTGCGTGAGATATGACCTACAAAGCATATGTCACCTTAACTGTCATTATTACTCAAAGCCTACTGGCACAAAGCAGAGTAGTTCTTTCACACGATGTCATTAGTAAAAAAGTTAGTTTTGCCTAGTGCCCCACTAGAATGTCCCATTAGTAGGTCGCTCTCTGCCAGTAGGTACAAAGCAGCGCTTTGTATTAGTAAGCATTAAGACACAATGACATTTAAGAAGATGTGACATATGCTTTGTAGATTATTCCACGTTAGTAAAGTTCTTTGTAGTGGTAAATTTTTGAGTCTGTGTTTTGTAAATTTCAATAAACATATCAATTTACAAGAAACGATAGTGGTATTGGGTCAAAAAGCTGACGACAACTGGATCATTTGTAAATACATACAATAGCAAAAACGAAATCAGCTTCTGTTACCTCTTAAAAATGCACTTCATTAATCTGAAATAACTGAAAAGTTAAAAAAAGTAGAATCACAGAAATAGCCAGGATGCCTGAAATTGCGATGTCAAAAGAGAGTAGAATTATTTTTGAAAAATTGAGCAAGGCAAAGAAAAAACAATTACCAAAGAAAGTGAAACAACATAATAATGATGTAGTAGAAAACATTTTTAAGTATAACGTCAATAGCGCCATCCGGGACGCAACAGGGTTCCAAAAAAAGGTCGACGGCAAATTGGCGCTAAGGACCAGGTACTTCTGCAAACGACTCCACACCAAGAGGGACTCTCCAGCGAACGCTCGCCTCGACAACACGTCTTTTAACACAAACTTAGTTTTCAATCAAAATACTTAATTTTTACCGTTGGGAGAGCTTTTTTTATTTTTGCTGTACAGCGAAAGCAACCCTCAATACTATGAAACAGTATCATATTTTCTTCATGTGGTGTAATACGTGAAAGATTGTATAAGCTTCTCAAAGTACTAAAATATTGTTTTAATAATTCATTACTGTTTCATTCAATGTGAAGAACATTCGTATAGCAATGCAACGATCATTCATACAAAATATTTGTGTTGAACTTACCCTTATCATTGACTTACAAGTCAATGGTGGTTTGTCGTTAGGTCGGTATATCTGATGGGCACCAATTTCCTTATCTTTACCGATTAGATAATCCCCGATAAGCATACTATTGTCTACCCATTGCAATATTCCACTTCTCATCGACAGCGGCACGATCTTGTAAGTCCTTATAAGAAGATTCCTGGTCTGTTTGTTAGTAGCCAGCAAATTATTCATTATAGTGAACACCTGCTGCATAACCGCGTCCTGACGGAGGTCGTCGTGCCCCTTCAAAAGCTGCGATCTTATTTCTCCATCCGTACCGCGACAAGTTATCCTTTTAGGGCAGTTTACTCCTCCGACGGGGTGGTATTCACTACCGAAAGATGTTATACCAACTACACTCGAATAGTTGCAAGTCTTACTGACGGGCAAATTATGTGTCGGCAACAAAATGTCATCGAAGTTCTGAATCCTCATGATCTTCTGGTTCCTCGGAATCTTGAACACTTTCTGTTTGTCGTCCGCGTTGCTGTCGTGATAATAAGCCAATTCTATCAGAGCTTGGGACAACTGTTCCAACTTATTAATGTGCCTACGAAGCACATCTGTGATCTTTAATTTTTTAATCATCTTGTTTGCTGTGGATACCCTGGCGTCATTCGAAGAAGTTTTCGTTTTGGAATCGCTGAACTCCCGATCCTTGTGCGCATTAGCCAAAGACAGAAGGAGAGGCAGCGTGTGATGTGGATGTTCTACGGCACATTTCTCTACGATTTCGTTGACTTTCCTACCGTACAAATCAGTATCGTTTTCCGTGATGTGTGGTATTAACTGCGGCAGCATCGTGATGTATTTGTAACTAGGCAATATATCTATCTGGGTATCGGATACAAGTTGGTTGTTTTTATTTTCAAACAGCAGAGACATTATCCGAAATATTTTAATGTTGTTCTTGTCGGTATGTTTCAAATTCAGGAAGTAATATCTAGAATAAATTTGCCATGTTAGTCGTTGGACGTCAAATACTGCAAGTTCTTAAGAAGAAGACCTCCAGACTTTTACATTTCTACATAATCCAGTGGTTCTCAAACAAAAGAACTACACAGCTCTAATTTTGGCAATAACAGCCAATAATGTCACACATCTTAGAATGAACATATTCTACATTAGCATCTTTTAGATAACATTTCGATTACTATTTTATTAATAATTAAATTAGTTCTGATCTGCAAATCCGTCATAGCAATATTTTGTTAAATTTGCTGACAACTAAAAATTCAAAAGTTTTTGCCTCAAAAAAACTGATAGTGTAAATGTTCGTGGAAAGAGTTCTGGTTGACCACCAAAGGGCTACTGTGAGAGAAATTACTGCGGTGTGGAATGATGTTGTCAAAGTTAATAATTTATTTCCAATTTTCTTCACTATTTATTGATAGAAAAGTGATGTTATAAAACTTGGTACCCAGGGGTTTTTTGCGTTATGTATGGTGTAGAGGGCGCCACATACAGCATATAAAGCATTTTTAAACCGTCCTAACATTTTTGCCGTATGATTTTGGAATGGCGATGAATGAAAGGACGATTTAACTCAACTTACCTTAGTTCAAAATTGTTTTGTTATGGCGTAATCAAACAAACTGCAATACGACTGCAAAACAAGCAATGAAATGAAATTGAAAATATGTGAATTTTATTAATTATGCAAAAACACTTCAAATAAAAATGTAAATGTAAATTCAAATGTAAATGTTCAAAATAACCACGGTTTTAAGGTTACGCCCTGTATCTCCGTAATTATCATCTTTTTTACTAAGGTAAGATAAGGCAAATTGATCTATTTTCATTTTGTGAATTTGTGGTAGAATTTTGTACAGACCTTTCAGGGACACACTGTATAACAGGCAAGGGTGAAACATTGAATTAAAATGTCTGTTATTATTTATTTGAGTTATTTTTTAAGCTGAAACGAAAAACGAATTTAAAAAAATTCCTTGTGCTAAAGGGATGATCTTATAAATACAGAGTGTAAGAAGTTTGAGTGCCATTACTTCAGCATGAGATAATCATAAATGAACAAAAAAGTTGTATATTACAGGGGCGTAAGATTAACAGTTTTCAAAATACAGCGAGTATTAATATTGAGGAGTTTCATCACGTGTCAACAATGCTTAACTTGCTAATGCACACACGCAGATTTGTCCTACGGACAAAATGTAAACGACTGTTATTTTGAAACATTTAGTAAATTTCAGTTGTTTTCCAGTTTTTAAATAAATAAAATAAAAAGTATTGATTTTGAAGTACAAAGATACTATTGTGCTTAAATTTTCGATTGAATTTTAGTAATTATGAATCTCTCAAAACAGAAACTTAACTTTTAATCAAATTACGTAATTGAAAAATATGTAATTAAAGTACCCAAAGATTCAGGTTGTCCAAATAATAATATGTATTAAAAATAATTTAGGTACTTACCAAAAAGCAAAATTCAATAATTTTTAAACGCACAAGTACAAAACAAACTACAACATATGCTCAAAATGTTCACCACAATTTTCGATGAACGTACGACACCTTCAAATCCAATTTTCACGCACTCGCTGTAAAACACCTTAAGAAAAGGAAATAGTGGTACGCAAAAAACACTCCGACATGGTCAAATCCAGATACCAACTGAATTGCGTACTGGTGATTGCTGCCATTGTTATATTGCTCGATATGAATTTTATCAAATTTTAAATTTATTATGCTAATTATTTTTTAGAATTAAGCATAAAGAAGTTCAAAAAAGTGATAAACATTGTATTTTATGGTATTCTATGCACGCATTGTCAATATTCCTTAATTAATTGAATTTTTGTACATCAAGCTGGAGATTTTGATATTTTTTTTCTCGGAAATGGTTGAGTTTAGGACCCATGTCATATAAGGTTCTTTTGTTTATTTTAATGTATTCTATCGTCTGTTAAAATTAAAACAGTCAAACTTCTAACACCATGTATAGTTTTGCCTAACCGAAATATTTCACACTAAGAAAAGTAATTTAACACAAAGTAAGTTAGTGTAAACAAACAAACGACTTAGACACTTATTATCTCATAATTTTTTGTACAATACCTACCTCAAGGCTATTTTTAAGAACTGATTTCGTTCTTGTTTTGCATTTTCAATCTCGATCGCGTCGATGTTGCTCTGCTTAACGTGGATGTTTGCAGCTATAAACTCATCTTTGGTTTTCCTACTTTGTTTTTGAATTTTCGAAGCGGTTTCTTTTGATTTTTCCATGTTGATCACTTTCCTTTGGAAGAGATCAGACTTCATGTATGTCATAACCTAAAAAATAATAATTTTCTCAAAATACAACCCACGTTATATCGGGATTTTAGCACTTCTTTTTTATATTTTACCTGTTGGTATCCCTTATCGGCAAACTCGGCTAATTTATCATACGTGTCCAAGATATTTATGCAATCTTCTTGATTTTTCTCGACGTTATTCATTAATTTCGTGGATTTGAGAAAATAATCGGTGATTATAGTTATTCTGCTTTCCGAGAACGTTTCGCTCATGTACTCGCCATACAACTTTAAAGCCGCAGATTGCAGTCTGAAAATAACACATTTACACATTTTTTAAAAACATCCTGTATGTAGGCTTACCTGTTACTTATACTTTCATTCTTGCAAAGTTTATTTAGAATGTGATGCGCTATTAGTTTATTGTTGAGCGACCAGGATATCTGAGCGTCCATCAATTGAATCTGCATCTGTAAGTCGTCGCTCAAGTCGGACATGAACTGTAAGTGGCTCAAACTCGTTGAAGCAATATTAAACTGTTTCTCTCGTTTCGCTAAATCTGAACAAAGAACATCATGTACTTAGGGTTGATATCGAGATAACGATCTTACCAGCAAAATTTAGCAGCATTTTAACCAGATAAGTTTTCAAAGTATCGTCCTGGTGGTTTTTCAAGTAGTCCATCAACATAACAGTTCTCTGCGCTATTATGGGTTCGACATAATGAAAATCGTTGGTCTTAACGAGATCGTCTTGCAAGTCCCACTTATTCAAAAGTGAAATAAACTCGTTAGATTTAACGGCACACTCAAAATCTTCCAATTCGTTAAGCGCTTGAAGCTGGGTGAGAATCGGGTAGATGTTTTGACTGCTCTCCAGACTTATGTGACGGAGATGTTCTATAACACACAAAGCCTGGGATTTTTTAGCTTCCGCGTAAGCGTACTCGTTTTTCTCATGCAGAGCTTTCAACGAGTAAAACCTATATTTTTCAAAGTCCTCTGGCACAAACGAGTTTTCTGTGAAATCGAAACTCTTATCGATCGTGCTCCATTGACCTAACCTCCACAAGCATTCGTATTGGGATTCGTCCGTTTGTTTGGAACAGAGAAGCGGTAATTGGTACAAACTGCATTTCTTTAAGCTTTCTATGAGGTCTTTCCTAGCGGATTTCACACCATGTGAAATCTGGGTCTCGTAAAACTGGTTCACTTGGTCCCAATTGCCCAGTTCCTTGTAATGTTCTACTCGGAACTGGGGTTTCAAAAGGAATTGTACGCCACAACCAGGCAGAGCGTCCAAGTCACCTATAGCTTTATACGCCTGAAATATGGATAAAAAAATTGTCACAATATAAAACAGCCTAATTTAAATGTGCCATGCATTTTACAATAAAAATGTACAGCATTTAAAAAAAATCTGGGGGAAAAATCTGTCAATTAGCAACAAGATGTAGTTGTGCTCGGGCATATGTAACAGATTTCTGGTCCTGCTTATACAGGGTGTTTTTAAATTAAGTAGCAAAAATACCAGTAGTAGTACCAGTAAATGTAGAGCCAAAAAGAGGATTGAAGTAAAAATACCTTATATGAAAGTTGCACCCCTGAGGTAATATACCCTCTTAAAGGAGGGGATTAAAATTCACTTTTTAATTTTTTTCTTTAACATGAGGAATGATAGAGACACAAAACTTGGTATGAGCATCCTACTAATAAAGAGACAACTTTTCAATATTTATTCGATCATTGGCGTATTTTATAAAGGAGGGAAACAGTAACCCCATTGCAATATTTTATTAGAAATTTTATATATGAAGCAAATTATTTATTTAAAAATATTTATTGGGAAGACTGCTTTATTGCGCAACTTTTTTACCTCTTGTAATTTTTCCATAAAACCGATAGTTTTCTAGTAAAAGAATTAGATGCGTCAGCGCTCACTATAGGGGTAATTGCGAAAATTTGTAAAAATAAAGTAGGCGGATGTCATAACAAATAAATTGTTATTTATCATATTAATAAATTGACACTTTTTGTCAATAAGCTGGTAATTTAATAATAATATTAAGAATAATTTGCTATTAATTAATGAAAAATGTTTGATGACTATGGGACATGTATTAGGTAAAGTTATTTATCTGAAATAAAATTTAATACAAACGAAAAACAAGAAATGCAAAATTAAATTTAAAGAATATTCTCGAAATAATTTCCATTTTGCTGCAAGCATAACCTAATACATCTGATGAAGTTATAACGCACTCGCACAAAGTTCTTGGTTATTGCGAGTCATCTGCTGCTTGAAATATTCTTAAGCGTAGTTCTTCTAAGGAGGCAACATGAGTGGCATAAACAATACTTTCTATGTGTCCCCACAAAAAGAAATTCATAGGCGTTAGGTCAGGCCAACAAACAGGGGCATCATGACTACGACCAATCCAACGATTCGGATAATTTAAATTTAACCATTCTCTAACAGCAAATGTACTATGTGTAGGCGTCCCACCGTGTATATACCACATCACCTGACGTGTAGCGAGTGGTACATCCTCAAGTAATGTTGGAAGATTTTTGTTCAAAAATCTAAGATACTCGGTCACTCCAAGCCAGTGTGGAATAATAAACGGACCTACTAGAGTATTTCCTACAATTCCCATCCAACCGTTTAAACTGAAATTATGTTGACATCTCGAAATAAATATTTCATGAGTATTTTCTTCCGATCATGAATGAACATTATGAAGGTTTACTGCACCTACTCTAGGAAAATTTGCTTCATCGGTGAAAATTATATTCATTAGGAAATTTAAGTTATGCCTGGAAATATTAATGTACCATTGACATAAATCCAGGCGGTTAGGTAAATCAGGGTCAATCAATTCTTGGATGGGTTGATGGTGAAAAGGGTATAAAATATTTTCATGAGCTACATTCCACACAAGACTATGAGAAACTTGCAGTTGCCTGGGCACCTGTTTTATGCTTGTACCAGATGTTCCAGTATAGCTTCCTCAGTTTCAACAGTTCGGACATTACGCCTTCTTCCGGCATCCTCACGATTGGGCTGAATTTTACTAGTTTCGCGAAGCCTTCTTTCCACCGAGGCCAATGTTTGTCTATGAGGAATCGGTCGGATTGGATTCTTTGGTGGTATAATCTTACTGCAGCGTTACTATTTTTTCTAGATTCGATAAACACTTGGAGCATGTCGACATATTCGTCATTGGTATAAATATTATTTGCCATAATTATTCTGATAATAAATTAATCAATTGGTACTAATTATTGGTTGACAGAAAGTGTCAATTTATTAATATGATAAATAACAATTTATTTGTTATGACATCCGCCTATTTTATTTTTACAAATTTTCGCAATTACCCCTTTAGTGAACGATGACGCATCTAATTTGTTTACTAGAAAACTATCGGTTTTATCGAAAAATTACAAGAGGTAAAAAAGTTGCGCAATAAATCAGTCATCCCAATAAATATTTTTAAATAAAATGCGTCATATAAAAAATTTCTAATAAAATATTGCAATGGGGTTGACTGTTTCACTCCTTTATAAAATACGCCAATGATCGAACAAATATTGAAATGTTGTCTCTTTATTAGTAGGATGCTCATACCAAGTTTTGTATCTCTAGCATTCCCCATGTTAAAGAAAAAAATTAAAATGTAAATTTCAATCCCCTCCTTTAAGAGGGTATATCGCCTTAGGGGTGTAACTTTCATACAAGGTATTTTTACTTCAATTCTTTTATTTTTTTGCTCTACATTCACTGGTACCATTTTTGCTACTTCATTTAAAAACACCCTGTATACTCATGAGCACCGCCAAGGTGGAACAGTTGGTTTATTTATGACTATCAAAATTAAAAAAAAAAAACATATTGAATCAAGTTTTTGCAGTTTGTTTATTAATCAATATACAGGGTGTTAAAAAAAGAGTGTAAAATATTTAAGGAGGTAATAGTATGAACCAAAATAAGCAGAAAAGTCTCAATAAACATGGGTCCGCAAAGTAATGGTTGCGAAGATATGGAATGTTTTATGTTTTTTAGCCCCTTATTTTTATTTTGCAAAAACGTGTATTTTCTTATAATAGTTGGTTGATGTTTAGTGAAATAAACAGTACGTATTTGACAGTTGTTCTCAGTGCACAAGTTTTCTTTCGCTATGGCTGGTTACTCTAACGCAGAATTAACAGACATGCATTTCATGTATGGTCGTGCTAATGGGAACGCCACCGAAGCGCGACGTCTTTATGTTGACGCTTATCCAAATCGCCAGATTCCTTCACAACGCATGTTTGGAAGAATTCACCAAAGATTGCGTGATACCGGTTCCTTGAGCAAACAGTGCCATTTATCCGGAAGACCAAGGTCGGTATCCACTCCTAGAGCAGAAGAAGAAATTCTAGCACTGGTAGAGCAGAATCCAGGTACGAGTGTGCGGAGAATATCAGCCGAGGTAGGAATTAGTGGTCCTCTTGTTTGGAGAATCCTTCACGAGCAACTGCTTTATCCATACCATGTGCAACGAGTACAGGCCTTAAATCCAATAAATGATCATCAAGCACGTTTGGTTTTTTGCCGCTGGTTTCTACGTCATGATGCTGAAGACCCTCGTTTTCTTGCAAACATTCTTTTTACTGATGAGGCCGGGTTCACAAGAAATGGAGTGTTTAATTTTCACAATACGCATATTTGGGCCGACGAAAATCCTCATGCTCTAATAGAATCTGGACATCAGGCACGTTTTTCATTAAACATTTGGATGGGTATTGTAGGTGACAGGTTTCTAGGTCCTGTTGTTTTACCAAACCGATTAACAGGCGCTGCTTACCTCAACTTTCTGCAGAACACACTGTATGAGTTTTTGGAAGACATTCCTTTGAATCAGAGGCAACAAATGTGGTTCCAGCATGATGGTGCTCCAGCTCATTTTTCCATGGCCGTTAGAGAGCATTTACACCAAACTTTTCCACATAGATGGGTAGGAAGGGCCGGACCTGTTTTATGGCCTCCAAGATCGCCTGATCTGAAGATTTCTTTGTTTGGGGATATTTGAAGATATTAGTGTATGGTACTCCTGTAAATAGCCTGGAAGAGCTGCAGCCACAGATTAATCAAAAGTGTCAAGAAATACAAACCAAGGAGGGTGTTTTCGAAAGAGTTCGAATATCATCGAGACGAAGATGTCGTGCCTGCTTGAAAATGGACGGAGGGCACTTGAACATGTTCTGTAACTTTGTTTTTTGTTTGTTAAAAGCTTCCTTTGTCGGTTTATTCCTAATAAAATAAAATGTTTGAAAAACGAATAGTGGTCCATATCTCCGCAACCGTTACTTTGCAGACCCATGTTTATTAAGACTTTTCTGCTTATTTTGGTTCAAACTATTACCTCCTGAAATATTTTACACTCTTTTTTTTAACACCCTGTATTATTTTAAGGATGAGAAGAAGTTTGAGTTTCTAGTAAACCTAAACGTTACAAGTAAAATGTTTAATTTTAGTAAATGTCACATTTCAGTAGTTGTAATTGATAGTACTTACGTTTCTCAGGATGTTCTGTAACGCCTCCCCCACACATTCCTCTTCATTTTCGTAAATGAAGTCCAGCATTGTCGAACCGATCAAATAATCGGCTGTTTTTTGGCAATTTTCAAGTTCCTGTATCTTAGCTTGACACCACAATTCCGAATAGAGAAGTGCAGAGAAATGAGCGGCACAAAATTCTGCAGCTTTCGCAACTTTTAAGTAGTTCAATTCCAAACTCCCAGATTGCCTAAAAAGTTATCACAGTTAAAATACTGTTAAAATAACTGTTTTTATTATACCCACCTCATTTTAGATTTGGCAGCGTAACTTCTTTGAAGTCTTACAAACCCGACTACGTCCAACATGCATTTTACCGATTTTTTGTTGATGGTAATGGAATTCTGCGCGGTATATTTTGGCACTGTAAGGCTCCAATGTCTTGAAAAGAAGCAGTTTATTTTCAGGGACAAAATTTCATGTATGTTCTTATCGGTTGAATACAAAAGTAAGTTCACTAGAAGAGGCAAGAGTTTTTCACACAATGCAGGCTGCAAAAAAAATAAATTTACTTCCCGGATATTTGCGATTGTTACAAAATTTACCACAACTTTGCACAACGGGATCAATTCTGGTAAATACGATTTGTTCGTGAAGGTTTCTAACAGTGACGTCACCAAAGAGATAATCCATTTTCTATGGCAAATAACGCCATCTCCGCACCATAATTTGTCTTCATTAATTTTGTTCACAAATAAATTTGTATGCACTGCCGTGTTTGAAGTGGGGGAAGATTTACTCTTTGGGAGGTACGGAGCAAAGTTCTTTCTATCAATATTGCCATATCCAAAGTTTACTTCTGAACCTACAAACAAAAACTTGAATAGGGTTGTGCCGCTACCACCTAAATTATCAAAGTCTCCACGCTTTGTACATAACGTCAGTTCAAAAGTGGTAGATATGTTACAGAACAAACCAATAAAATGATAGTGATATCAAGATTCAGTAAAATGAAATAGATGTATGACGTGTGTCGTCCCGTTGCAAAACCAAACATTTTCTCTTACTCCGTTATAGTTGTGTTTTATTAAGTAAGTGTACAACCTCATAGTTATTTATTTCAGTGTTCAATTGTGTTTGTGTGTCTTTATTATTAAATTTATATCTGACAAATGAAAAAGTAGGTATACAAAAAAGGTTATGTCCAATTGGTTATGTTCTTGCGGCTAGCGTTTCCTTTGAAGATTAGTGGCAATATTTGTATTTTCGTAATGCAATTGCAAAAGTTATCGAGCAAACCAATAGACTGCATACAGTCTATAATTTTCAAAGTGGTTAATTTTGTTAAATGAGGCCAAATTGTTTGCAAAAAAGTGTGACCAACTACTCCCAATTTCATAAATATTATGTTAAATTTTGACCAATTTGAAAGCATTTAAATTGAGATTTGGCATATTGGATTTATTTCCTTGATACAAATGTGATGTTCACTTCTTTACGATTTTTTATTACCATATTTTTAAAGTTACAAAGTTTGTTGTTAGATGCAATCGACTTTTGCCATTTGATCAATAATCAATTCAACTTAATTGGTACAACTTAGTTCATTTGTTCGAAAGTCATGAGCAAAAAGATTGTTATATGTTTTAGCTACTTCTCAATTTAACTAATATGTTTGAACAGGTCAAAGTCCAACAAATTTAGCAGTATCAGTCTGAAACATATGCGGGGACAATTTTCTTTTCTGAAGGGGTCAAAAACGGTAGTATTATCCTTTAATATGATGGATATTTTAAAAATCTACTAAACGACATTATGAGAGAACGTTATAAATAAAAGCAAGCTTCCACACGACTCATGAAGTATTGCTTTTGGCACGCTACCACTTTTTTATAGTAGGTAGTTCACCAATAGCCCTATTTTCCACATTAAAATAACAATTCCCCAGTAAAGAACATTCTAACATTAACAAAATAAAAAGTTTTTCAGGTAATAACACAAATAATCATGAAAAACCTGAACAATTCCACAATAAAAAAAATGCAGATATAATAATATAACAATAAAATAACAAAATAAGATTTTTTTCTAGTAATAACACAAATAATATTGAAAAGAACCATAATAACAATTCCAAAAATACTGCATCTAAAGACAATCACCCAGTCAGTTTCCGGTACTCCATTATCACTCATCATTATTACTATCACTATCACTATTACCGACATTGATCAATCCTTTTATATTGATGACTTCATCAACTATATTATCTACATCCCACATTTTCTTTTCCTCTTTTTTAACGAGATTAATACACTTTCTCCAGTCTTCTGTTGTAACGTTTTCTAGTGCTTTCTTAAGATGGCGTTGAACATCAGCCAATTTAAATGATCTATTTTCTTGAGCCACTCCCCTTTAACTTGTGCCCAAATTAACTCGATTGGGTTTAGTTCACAATGATAGTGGGGCAATCTTAGTACGGTAATTCCACGGCTTAGTGCTAATTCATCCATGAGTTTTTTATATTTATGGGCATGTAGTTTCACAAGCTGAAGCAATTCTGCTTTTAAGCTGCCTTCCTCCATGACTGTTGTGGCGTTAATTCTCATTTTTAATGACAGATCTTGGTTTCAAATTTCCAATAATTTGTCCAAACCACTTCTCGTACACCTCTGTATTCATCTCTTCGTGATAGTCTCCCGTTTTCCTTGTTGAAATATTAATTCACCATTTAACGCAAATCCGTCTTCACTTCCTTAGGGGTAATTATCAAACGGCGACCTTTTCCAGATGGCTTTTTTAAGCCCGTTGACCAGACTTCAATAGCTGCTTGCAGTGCATTTTTCACGTTTTCATCCTGCCAAACTCTTTTCGTTGGCCCATGTTTCATCTGCATAATAAATTTCCTTTCCTTGCTTCTGAAACTCTTTAATTTTCTTGAGATATTATCTTCTCCAACATATTATTTCATGTTTCTCAACAAGAATACTCTTCCTATCTATTTTCCCATATGTAAAATTCATACTACTGTAACACTGTAAGAATTTTATATACATTAGCCTTTGAATCTCATGGGTGATCTCGTTGCAGGCAATGAAATACACGTAAAATCATTTTCTTTTCACTTACCGTTCGAGCGGCTGCCTTTTTTGCACTTGTCGATGATGATGGTCCTGGCACACCTTCCATCGTTGAATAATTTATTTCACTTTACCACCGCAGAGATAGGCCGTTAATAAAACTAACAATAAAAATACGCTCGAATTTACCTATACCGACAACCATGCCGTTAAAAGTATTTCACTGAACTGCCGATAGTGAGCCACCAACAAAGACAAATTTATGCCCATAAAAACATAAAACACACCACAGAAATGAGACAACCCCCAAATCCAAAAGCCAAAGGCTTGTGCGGAAGGGGGCTACACTTGAAAAAACACGGACAAACACCCATTATCCATCGACATTGCCAGTGCCAACACCGGGGATCGAACCCGGACCAGAGTAGGAAGCCTAGCCGAGAAATGCTTGCCACCGCACTCTCGATCGACTGCGCTACCGTGGCGATAAATAAAATAAAAAAATAAAATGAGTTAATAAAAGACAGCTAGAACACATGGGTCGCCAGTTTGGCGATATTGCCACTTATTTAGGAAAATCATAAAGTACAGTAATAAATGAACAAGTCGATATTTTATTAAAAGAATTTTTGTATATTTTGCATATAAATAACAAACACTCGGGCATAAGCAACATGTTCTTATAGTAAAACGCATTTAACATAGACTTTGCCCTATTCAAACATATTGGTTAGAAATTAGTAATTACTTATATTAAATTTTTTCTCACCTGCGATTTTTCTGCCTTCCTTCGAGTCCAAAACGAGATAAAAAGCTTCGCTAGCAGTCTTTGCTACATTAATATCAGCATCGACTATGTATTCGGTCAATAAGGATATAATATGGCCAGTGAGGAGTTCGAACGGGGAACATTTTATGTCCAAGACCTCTTTCTCAGGTTGTAATACGAGAGTAGTTAAATTAGAAGGCCCCAACTCTCCCAGACATTTTATTGCCTCGAATCTCATCTATAATAAATTAATTATTAACACTTCAGTGTAACCAGTGGTAATATTGCAAAAAAATATATACTTACAGCTTCGTTTGTAGAACAACTCATTTTAGCCAACATGCAGACAAGTTTGTGCAAAGAGCTCTTCTCGCAGTCCTCAGAGAAGCCTCTGATATTGTCGAGCTTCTCGTACAAGGCTTTCAACTGTTCCTTTTCCTTGGACAAGAGACTCCTTAAGTGAACCAAACTGTCTTGTCTAGTGGAATCATCTTCATGCTGCAGAAAGAAGTTAATCTCGTCCTCTAGGGACGCTTCCGCATTCTCGTACTTGATTTTTGTGTGAACGTTTCGAACACTGTCGAATTTAGGGTCTTGTGGAAATTTGTCCAATTTTTCGATTGCTTTCATCAAGTGACAGGCATTCTGGACAATTAGAAAATGGAGAATTTCTACGCATTTGTCAGACACCACGTTTAACGTGACGGCATAATTTTTCAAGGAATTTACAGTGAAAATTAAAAATTGCTCGAAAGTTTCGCTGAATTTGGGTAAAATGTTCTTTAGGAATGAAGCCGTGAAGTTGCTAACGGCTGTGATAAAGCTCACAGTTTCCTTGTGATTTTCGATTAAATTTATCAGAGTGTAGATTGTGTCTCTGATAAAAAAATATTGACAGTTTGTTTCAACTTCTAAACTGTTTACTACGATGTTTATCCAAGCCGTATATCGATGGAATGATTTCAGCTTGTTTTCTGTTGTGCAGGCACTATACAGATCCGTTTTTAGAACCAGTAGAACTTTTTCGAATTTACTGAGATCGTTTTCCAGTAAAAACGTCACGATGCTTGTACCATCACATAAAAACGACTACAAATAATAACATTAACACAATCAAATATTACTATAAACTACTTTTACCTCAATAAATTTTAAGCAAATTTCTAACTGACGCAATGACATATTTTTTTGAGAGAATATAACGGTTTCCCCAAAATTTTCCAAGATGTATTGTTCGTCGGTCAGGAATCGTAAAATGCAAAGCAACGATTGGTCTAAGTTATCGATCAGGATTTTTTTAAAGCCATCTAATCCAACTACTTGGCTGTAATACATGAGAATTTTATTTGTCGACATTATCGTGTCCATATTTTCTATATCGTCGCACAAGGCACGTCCAAAAATTTTTGCACAAGATTTCTGTAAATGAATCAGTAAGAAAATTTGTACATAAAACACATGTTAGCGAAATTTTATACATGCAATTACCTGCACGATTTCTTTTTCACTAAATCCCATCTCTTTGGCAGTGGTAATTAAATCTTTCCTATCGGTTACAATGAGTAACGGTATGCATGTGTTAAAATACTTAGAATAGAATTCTAATTTTGTTTCACAGTTCAAAAGTTTAAAAGGAAAATTATCGATAACGCGTCGTTCGGTCAACCACTTTTCGAGCAAGTAGTCCAAATACTTTTCCATACAATTTGTTTCCGCTTCGCCATATAAATATTTGTTTATTACATCCAAGATTTTGTTAACCGAACCTGAAACATAACGATTGTGATCCTGCACTAAATATTAGAAAGAGTTTGAAGAATACCTAAATTCTTTATATACGTAAGCTTTACTAAAACGTAAAGGGACTCTTCGATCCAACAGTTGGTGCACAGAACTAAACTAGAAAATGAATGTAACACGCTAGCCGTTCGTGAGATAATTTCGTCCGTTCTTCTTTCTTGTGTTATTTCTCCACTAACCTCAAATACCTCGAGACTCTAAGAAAATATTACTTCATGGCAAGAAAACAATAAACAAGTTATAAATACTAACCTTTTCATACATTTTGGAAAAGATTTCTTCTTGCCGGTGGAAGTCTCTTAACTGATTACTCTTCGACATTACTCGGAAGAATATAACCAACGTTTCTATAGCTTTAAACCTAATTTCCTGGTAATCGCTACAGAGAAAATCAGGTACATGGTACACGACATTTACGCCAGACCAACGCGAAAATTTATTTTCCGAGTCCACCTGTCAATGTTATAAAAATAAATTGTGTCATAAAAACGAGAAGAAAACGAAGATCACCTCAATTAGTTGCCCTATACAATTCAGCAAAGCTAAACTCACGTCCGGTCCATATTCTTCACGTTTTTCATAGAAAGGTTTCAACAAAGCCACCAAGGCAACTTTATCGCTATCGTCGCTTCCTGCGGCGAAATGTGGATAAAGCACTGAAAACATTATAATGTTACCGTTGAAACAGTAAAAAACACTGTACTTGCTACGCACCATTAAGTGTATTAAGAATTTCAACAGCGCTATCACTAGAGTGATACCTGGCAATACACATTTCTTCAACGGATTTTAAGATATTGCCAAGTACCTTGTCTGGTATGATTCCAGTTTTCGAGTACTTAAGTCCTTCCAAGAATGTAAGCAGCTAAAATTCATATTAATTTGTAGGAATGTATAGAGCTATCGCTATTTAAAATACCTACCAATTTGTAATCTCCCTCTATATTGCAATTGTAATTCGGCATGGCCAAAACTTCCAATATATTATTCTGATTTTGGTTTAAATTTGTACTCGATACACAACTAAAACTAGATAAGGCCTTAGTGAGCGCTTTTTTCAGCTCAAATTTTAGTTCGGATGTTCCTTCTTGTTCTGAAATTGGTCAGTTTCAACAAAAAAAGGAATCAAATAATTTATATGGGATGTTGTCATATTTTTTTATACATGTAAAACTCAATACAATAAACATCTTTTTCAAGTACTATTTTTTAAAAAAACTTTCAAGAACTCATAATTTAGAAATCAACATTTATTTTGGTTCTACCCCGATTTTAAAGAAATAGGTCGCTAGCCTGGTCCACACAAAAAGATGAGCTCGAAGTATCAACGGATTAATTTTTTCTCCTAATTATAACAGGGGCATGCAGTAAGTTCTTGTGTGTTAACTGGCATATTAAATACTAAGTTTATCATCCAACACCATAAAAAGAAATTACAAGGGTTGAAATCTGGCGACTTGGCTGGCCATGTAACTGGCCTTTTGCGAACTACTCACTTACTGGGATTACCAAACTCTGTTGGGGTGGTCTTTTGGCTGTAAGGCTTGAACTCATTGAACATGAAATGGATAGAAGCATAGACAGCATAGACTGAACTGTAGAGGCAAGCTGGCGAAGTCAACCATCAGCCTAACTTCAGTCCAGCCAACCTCGCGCTCTCAGTCACTGTTAAACATTCCCTGTGTTACATCGCCCTCACAATCCTCTGTAATATGTTCTTTACATTTTCAAGAGAAGTATATGCGTATTAATAAAAACGGCGTTAGAAATTTATCCAAAAATGAAGTGAGAACTTTAAAGAAAAATGACAATTTAAGAAATAGAAATATAATTTTTTTTTAATAACTCCTATAAAAACAGTACCAGTATACCCAAGCTACAGAAACATAAAATTGTGTATCATAAGAACTTAGGGGACAGCCTAGCCGGGTGTCTTGGCCTATGGATTTCGATCAGCCGAGGTAAGTATCACGGACGCAGGCTGGAACTTGGATGGGTGACCTACGGCAGGCTCGGGGAAGTGGCTGTGGCAGCCTACCAGAGACCTGGGTCGCTCAGCACCTTCCGCCTGCTGTCAGGCTTGAACTCATTGCACATGAAATGGGTAAAAGTAATTTTCCCATAATGATGTCCAACTTTTTTTTAGTTCAGTTTAATTTGGCGGAAAATTTCTTGAGTATCTGTTGGTGGATCTTTGTCAACAAGATTCAAAATTTATTCTTTTCAATGCAGGTTAGCCAGTACTTTCCTGCATGCTCTCCACGATATTCCCGTAAATCACCACTGTCGCCCCCTCCCAAATCATTGTATAAATTGTAGTCGTTATCAATCTCCCGTGATGGGGATGGAAAAACAAAAATATACCTAGCTGATCCCACCAAATGTAAAGCAGAAGCCCAGAAATAGAGATCTAATATTATTATCTTTGTCATATCAGTAAGTCAGCGCATGGCCTTTTTTTTAGAATTAAATCAAAACGTGTTGAAATTTGATATCGGTAAGTCGCTGATTGTGAGGAAGAGCCTTTTTTTGCAAAAATTGTAAGCTACGCCCATGGTAAAACGTAAAAAAACTTGTAAGAGGCAAATATTACAGCTCACTGAACTGATCTATTAAAATTTTTGTAATTTCAATTGATTTTTCCTCAATAATTCTCAATTTAAAAGATGTAAGGTAAATAAAACAACCGTATCATACTATCTTAAATTGAGATTGTTTAGGCTTAATAGAACGTTAGATCATGTATTTGTCTTTAAGGTTGCTACAAAAAAGTTTTAATCTGCAAAATTTCATAAACTACGTCGTTCAACACGGTCATTCGAAACAAAATATTTTATACCCTTTTTTTTGAAAAAAGAACAATCGTTAATCAAAAGAAGATGCGTGTTAACTATTTCATGCAAAATTTAAAACAAACAAATATTTAAAAGCAATAGGAAACTACCGTACTAACTACGATAAAGTTATTACCACTAACCATCTTGTAGATCATTCAGAACTCCAACCAACGTCTTCAAAAGATCAAAAGGAACGATTTCCTTAGTTCTTGACGATAAAACACAATTATTATTATAGGAAAATATTTTATCTAATATTGTGACACACTCGAGCAGTCTTTTCTTCTCTCTATCACTTTTGCTTTGGTAAAACTGGAATTTCTTCAAAGCGCCGTAATTTAAAATTCTCTCTACCAACTTCATCATTAAAGAACTGTTTATAACTGATTCTTCCAAAATTCTGTATTTCAGCATGAAATTCGTTACGTTTATTAACAAAACTATTACGTTTAACAACAATTCTATGGATTGTGAGTTGATTGCGTCTACAAAATTTCGCACGATGTTCGTGAAAATCTCAAAAGTCTTTAAATCCATGTGGAATGTCATGTCCTTCACGTGTTTTTTGTCATTTTTATTTGGCATACAAATATTCCTTTCAAGAATGCTTTTGAAATAAATGTCTTTAATATCGCCATATTTCTCTGAATATTTTTCTTCTATATGTTTGTCAGAGTCAACATTAGGCCACTGCCTTAAGGTTAAGTTGACAAGGAACCTAGCAGTTGTCAAGTGGGAAAGGTAGTCATAATCTTTTAAGCTTTGTGAATTTAATATGGAGTTCATTAACTTTTCTTTTTCGGAATTGTCTAATTTTGCAAAATGTAATTGCTTTAATACAGTTTCCAAAGTTTTTATGCTCTCCACAGAAGTGTTCAAGATGCCTGATGTGTAAGTTTGAAGGATAGTATCCAGGTCTACTATCTTTCTGGGGATGAGCTGTCTGAGAAGGGTTTCGGTTAATTCTTTGTGCTGATTGAGGCCAAATGCCCTGAAAAGGAATAAGGTCATTCATCATTACCACGTATAAACTCAGCAGAATAATTAAGGGAGCAAATGTTTGTAGTGGTTTAGTGATTTAGGCTGTAACTTCGAGAAAAAAGGAAAGCATCTTGAAGCTTGAAGATTCTAGTTTTCAAATCTTGAGATGAAAACTTTTCTTGAGCATTACTCTCGGTACAATCAAAAGAAATAATGAAAGGCAAATTTACAAATTTTTTTTTCAAAACTACCCATGGGTTCAGAAAAATTTTTTCTGGCTTAGTCAATGCCAGGGTCATTTAACCTGATTCTTCAGCTTTAATTTGTTTTTTTTTTTAATTTTCTCTATGATTTTTTCATATTGAGATATCGGCTATTAAGTGGTCACCTTTTTTTTTATCATCGATATCCATGAACTAATGAGCGTACAGCGAACAGAAAGTGGGTTTTGGAAACTTGAATCAATCTTCTTCAAGGGCTTTTTTGTATGTTTGAGACAAAACCAATCGTTCTATGCTCAATATTAATTTGAAAAAGACTAAAAAAAATTACTTTTTCTGCTGTTTTGGAAAAACAACGATTACTTTGCAAATTTTGCAAAAAGTACCCATGTTTGTAGGGTTTTTTTAGCTCAATATATGCCCATGAGGCCTGTCAATTTTGAAATTGATTGGTCGAACCGTTTTCCATTCCTGAGTTGTCAAAGTTTTATAAAAAATTAAAGGAACTGGTTTATTGCTACTTAAACATCAATTAATGATGATGATGGAAAAAAAATATTTGCGGCATTTTTCTCACAATTTCGCGTTAAAAACTCATCTACCTGCGAAAAAAAAATGTCAAAAAAATTCATTTGTTAATAAAATTTAAGAAATTTTTTTTTATGAAAAAAGTTGCGTTTTGGAAAAAAAATTTTTTTTAAAGGGTTGAAACTTTCGAGAAATGAATTGTATAGCGTTGTATGTAAAAAAAATGCATGAAGATTCATTAAAATTAATGCAATTAATTTTAACTCGAAATACGTCATGCGAATAATAAAATCGCATCAAAACTGAACAGAAAATGATTTGGTGTAACTTTCTGAATATTTTGAAATTTAGAAAAAAAAATTTTTTTTCAAAATTTTAATTAATTTTTTATTTTAACTTTTGAAATATTCAAAAAAATTCTGAAAAACTATATTTTTTAAATCGATTTTTTTTAAATTTTGAATTTTTTTATTCGATATTCGACAAAATATTTATCGGAGGAAGTCATAACAGTATAAAAGTCAATACAGCACAAAATATCCAACAATTTTTTTAAATCAATAATTTAAAAAAGTTGTACCTAATAAAAAAATAGTAAATAGTATTGCTAATAGTAAAAAAATTGTTGTATATTTTGTGCTGTATTGACCTTTATACTGTTATGTCTTCTTCCAATAGACATTTTGAAAGTATTCAGGGCCGTACTCAGGAAAAATTTTAATTGATAGCTAAAACAAGCTAAAAACCTTTTTAAGCGATTACAATACAACATACAATACAATCATCTAATTCAAAATTAAAAATGACTAGATCTTGTCATAAAAATAGCAGCGACATATTTAAAAAAATGAACCTGATGATAGCCCCTCGAAGACGAAACGTCAAATTGCAAAAATGTTGACGCCGTTGGATAGAGCGAAAAAAGTGGCACTGTAAATATGGAATTTATTTTAAAATTCGTTTTCAAATAAAGCCAGAAAACAATAAAATGATTTTGCAAAATTTCGGGTTTTCCGGATATCTCCGGAACTACGCGAAATTTTAAAACTTTCTAAAAGGCATATTGTTAGGTATAAAAAAACACAACTTTTTTCTCATTTGAGCCACCCCATATCTCTTACCGTTTCCTAGATCCTAATGCTATCCCATCCTTATCTTGGACACACTGTATACAATATTTTTTTTATTCGCAATTAATTCTGCGCCACACATTATATTCCTTTTATATCACTGAACTTTTAAAAAGTATGTATAACAAACAAATTGCTGTTATTTTAAGGTGGTAATGGTTAAATCTATTTTAAAAATAAACGAGCAAGCAAAAAGTCTGCAGTAAATAAGTTAAATAAAAAATTAATTAAAAAAATTGCCTTTCCTTACCTTAACGTACTTTCTCCAATAACCTTCCATAACTTCTCCACCTCAGATTTACAATCCTCAATGGCTACTTTATCCGCAATATCCAACATCACAGACAGGCAAGAATATGTGTTAACAATAACGTTGTGATCATTCGACTCTATTTGTATGCTTGAAAGGGTCTGCAATAAATTTAAATAGTCCTCCCAATAAAGTAACTCTGGATATGCCCTTATTATGCACTGAACTATATATATCCTTAAAAATAGAATCAGAATAAGATAAATACATAAGAAAGGTGATGTTCCGATCTTACCAGAACCAACTTTTTGTGCTTTGTATGTCGTTTACATACTTCTGTAGAGTCACTTCAACTCTTTGTCGTTTTTGAGAGCCCTCTGATATAATGCTATCTACAGACATAGATACATCCAAATCTGGATTTGCGAACATCTAAAATATAAATTTGAATAAACAGATAGACGAAACGCAAAAAAGTATGGTACCTGACGACTAACTTCAACAAATAACAAGGCGAAATCTTCCAGTAATATGGTAGAATTGCCTTTTGTGATGAAAAATGAGCAGTTTTTCTGATGGTACTTGAAATAAAAGGTGATTTCTTTATTAAGTAAGCAATATATTAGTTTCAAACACTTTCTCCAAATCGACCAACTGAAAGCATAGGCACAAGGGTGTCCCTCAACTACCCCATTGGGTTGATGAATTGATACTTGTAGAAGAAAAAACTTCACAAGTTGCTCCTGTAATGCAGACCTTGGAGATCATAGAGATATTTGTGTTTCTTCTTACCTTAATCCTTGCTTCTCGTCCGTTGAGTTCATAAAGGTCCACAAAGTTTGAAATTATGTCTTCTCCAAACTTGCAACAAGACACTCGATTGTCTTTAGCAGTCTAAAAGTGCCAAAAATATAACTCAAAGAATTCTGATAAAAATTAAGAGCTTAACTCACGTTTCTACAGAAGTCGAAAGAAATATCCAAGACATCTTCCTGTTGATTAGAAGGTGAATTTTTAGATATCCCTAGGCAGAGTTTAGTAAAAAATTCAAACTGTTCCCTTAATAAACACGGTGGCAGGCCTGAAGCAGGTCCCCATTTCACCACTAACATCAAACATTTAAGTACTAACGTCTCAAGAGTTCTTTCTTCACATAATTTTTTTAAAAATCTAAACAGTTCTGTAAATGCAACACATAATTAAAAGAAAAGTTATTTTATAAGTTTTTTTTTACCAGCCCAATCTGCACTTGCTATCCTACCCCTACAATTTGCATTAAGTAAAATATAATCCTTTAGCACCAATAAAAGCATCGCATCATAACATTTTTTCATCCGAGAGTCCTTCATGCACCCTATTATATATCCTACTAGTTTAGAAATGTTTATATCATCAGGTGCTAAAATAAAATATATAAATTGTTTTATTTAATACTACAAGGTCATAGCTTCTTTTCTCATCATAAAATACATTTAAAAAATAAATCTTGTACCTCCCCTAACAGCAGTCTTAATAACTTGAATAAATAACTCAGCACTGGGATATTTAGCATTCGAACTACCTTTCTTTTTCAGGTCTTCCACAATTTTGTCGGCATCCTAAAAGCATAAGTGTAGTAACATTGTAATAATATATAAAAACTCTTACTCTTCTTAAACAGTCTTGTACAGAAGATATCACTTGCTTCCAAGAGACAGTAGAACCTTCATTGAGAAAGGCTATAACTTCCTCATTTTCTAACAAACTACTTAACCTGTCGCAATATTTCTTCCTATCTGATATTTTGTGGCTCTCTATGTGGACACAACACTCTTCCACTTCATTCGTTAAATTCATTTTTAAAATATTTTACATTTACTTGCTATAAAACTAAATTGTAAGTGTTGCAAGTACACAATCTAAATTGTCTATACAAAAATCTTGTCTGGCGGTTCATTTGACATTATAAAAACAAGAAAAAATGGTGATTTAAATTTCTAAATCAGTGACATCTACCGGATCCTAGCTCAATTTATTTAAGGATTGAGTTTGTTCATTTAACTTTAATGGAACCTTTTGAACTTTATTAACCAACTCTTCATAAAAGATTTTTAGTATTAAGTTTTATTAATATTAAAACGTAAATTAATGTTTATTATTAGGCTGATATTAATTTGTTCAGAAATAATGCAGAGCAATTGGTGGAATAGAACAAAACCATAGAAAATAGAGTACTAACGACAAAACAAATATGTTTAATTTTGTTTTTTGATATTGGTATCAGACTTTATATATTATAATTTTTTAAGATTTGTTGTGGTGAAACATTTTTGACATTGACATTTTGTTTTGACTTGACAAGTCTGCCAAAAAATGGTAACATTTTGTTTATCATTAAAGTAGTCCTTTTTTGGTATAAATGAAATGATATTTTTAATTAAAAAATATGACTTCGGCAGTTAGCTCTCCAAAAAGAGTAGGAAAAATTAATAGTAAACTAAATTTCCTAGATGTTATAGAAAAAAGAACATTAGGTTTAAAGGTATATCAAACTGGATATGATGATACCATTGCTTTAAAATTGTATAGCAGTTTTCATCAATATGAAGTTAATAATACTGTGCATGACCCCCATGTTGGAGGAATTTTCAATCTGGAGTTTAGTTTGGACGGGTAAGTAAAAAAAAACAACATTTACTCTTCTGTTAAAACAAATTTTGATAACAGAAGGCAGTAGTAATGTAAACAAAATTAGAAATTTTATGCATTTTGTGTTTTAGTAAACTGCTTGTAGCAGCATGTCAGGGGCAGCAAGTTCTGTTATTTGATGCAGCTAATCAAAAACTTATTAATACTGTTGAAAGTGCTCATCAGAAATGTGTTAATTGTGTCAGGTAAAATTCTACAGATATTGCTTTCCGTTTCATAATTAATAAACATAATTTACCAGATTCCTAAATGACAGGCATTTTGCAACATGCTCTGATGACACGTCGATTAAAATTTGGGATGTAAGAAGTACTAAGACTTGTATAAAGACATTACATGGGCATTCAAATTGGGTAAATTTACATTACGATAACAATAATTTTTTTCCTTTAAGAAATATGTTTGATTTAGGTGAAGAATATAGAATGGTCCGAAAAGGATGACGTTATGGTGACTTCAGCATTTGACGGTAGCATTTATGCGTGGAATTTGAAAACTCAGACAGAAAACAATATGATGTATGATAAAGTGTTCTTGATGAATGGCTTAATGAGGATGAAATTGACTGACGATGGTACAAAAATGGTGATTGCAACTACAAATGGGTATATGATAATTATACATGATTTGAACTTGATGTCTTTAGCAACAGACTTAAGGTCTTTTAGAGTAAGTGAAATTTACCATTCTAGAAACTATTTGGAAATAGAACTTTTTTTGGATTGATATTTTCCATTTCAGCCCAACTTATATAGACTGATGCAGATAAGCGACCAATGTTTCCCTGTGGGAACAATATATAATTATTTATTCTCTCCAAATAGATCAAGAAATCGCATTGAATTTATTGATGATTTTCCAAATGAAGCAGAAGTTATTAGTTCTCTTCAAATACACCCTCACGGGTGGTGTGCAGTGTCCCGTAACATAAACGGAGATGAAAGCGAAGAGGTACCTATTAAATTTTCTAAATGAGGTTCATATTTATACGGAGACTATCTTTGACCTTTAGAAATACATATGGTTAGGCAAAACTATTTTCATAAAAAATTTACCCTTAACCCTTTCGCTGCGCAATACGTCTGAACGTAGCTACCGCGCCGTGCACAATTGTTTATCGCGTGCGAATATATACGTCTGGAGCAGTTAGACCACTTATAGTTTTACATTATGTTGTGTTAAATTATGATTTACGATAAATTTTACGATTTTATTTTGAATAAAATACAGTATATGTACTAAATAGAAACTGGAAGAAACATGAACAATCTTGGTACTATTACCAGTACCTCTTTCCATAAAAATATTTGTCACAATCGGTATAAGCTCGCCCGCAAAAATTCGCCTTACCAATTGCAATAACCGAGTCACTATGCGCACGGTTGCGAATATATACGGTTTGAGCAGCCTGATCCAATTTAACTATTCATACGAATTTATCCGTCTGGAGCAGTTTGAGCCCTATACATTTTTAGCGAATATATACGTCTGGAGCAGTGAAAGGGTTAACTGATCCTTTTGGTGCTTTAATTTTTTTAAATTTTGTTCACAAGTGGCAAAATACTCAATAAATAAAGAAAATGAAAACTGCTAGCTTTAGACAATAACATACCATAAGATTAGACTGTTTTAACGTTAAATTGCTAACGCATACCCATTGGGAGCTACAGCGCATTCTTCACATTCTTAATTTTCGTAAATTATCAGAATAACATTTCTATTTTCTCTGTTATTAGTGGACCACTATACATGATATCCAAGACCGAGACCCCAAGGACTACGAGGACGCTTTTACCTACATAGAAGAAGAAGAACCTGACGAATCTGAAGAAGCGGAAGAACCGCTCAATCAGAGACCTACCGACCTATGGATGGGTTATATATCTCTAGACGAATACAGGAACCATAGCAGAGACGGTAGTCGCATGTCTCAGAATAACTGGGAGAACTTCCAATTGCCTGCCATGGGGATACTGAACAGCGGCCTTATAGGCCTAAACTCGTCCTACAGCGCTTACTTTCGGCAACATCCCGAGCAACGGAATAAAGTGATCAAGAACCTGCCGAGGATGACTCACTTTAAAGAGGAAAAGACTGTGGGGAAAGGGTTTATTAAGGAACTGTGTTTTTCTTCTGATGGGAGGATGGTAGCTTCGCCTTACGACAGGGGCGTGAGGTTGTTGGCGTTCAACGAAAAGTGCCAGGAGTTGTCCGTATGCGTACCCGACCATCCTCAGGAACTGAGGACTATAGTCGAGTTGAATGATTATCATAAGGATATAGTGGTTTCGTGTAAGTTTAGTCCAACGCATTATCAGCTTGTGAGTGGGTGTTTGGGGAGTGAAATTAAGTGGTATCAGCCAGTGGTGTGATATTGTTAATTGCATATATTATATTAGTGTTTTCAGTATTTTTACTGTAACATGTCTTTTTGACTAATTTATTCTGATGAGGCTGTCGAAAAATTTTTATTTGGCAAGTTATTAAATTATGAATCTCTCAATTAATTGTATTATTTTATCGAGAAAGGGAAAATAAGCTGATCTGAATATTAAAAAAATAAAAAATAAAAATTTTTAAAAGACTGTATTTTCGTCATAGAGGTGAGTTTTATATAAGGTACACGTACCAGTAATCGCCTTTTGATGTGTTTAAGAGGCAATTCCGTGTTTTACGGTAAAATTTTAAAGGCTCGTTAAAATTGAAGGCGAGTTAATGCCAAAATAATATTTTAATAAAACATTTCTCAATTAACTCGATTGATAAAAACTTAAACAATTAGGTATAATACAATAACGGCTAAAAACACTCATAACTGGGAGAATCAATAAGATGAACCTGACAATACTGGTACATTTACTTTATAGAAAATTAAGTAACAAATTTTAATTTACTAAATTTACAGTTCTCATAAATATTTTTAATTTGCTAAGCATCTCTATCTTGCATTCTACAGGGTGATTACACTTTAAATACAGAAATTACAGGAATAGATTAGTTGGCAAAAAATAAATTGAGTGCTCTATAGTCTAGGCAGTATCTTTCAAAAAGTCCATATTTGGGTGAATCGTATATCCACGGAGATTTTTAGCTTTTTGGCTTTCAAATATCACTAGAAATAAAAATTTTTCTATGCACATAAAAAAAACATGGGAAAAACTTTTGGCGGCACAATATGTTAAAAACATTTGAAAAATGTCATATTTTTCATCCTATTTAATTGTGTATCTTTTCAAAAGTTGATTTTAGGTGAAAAAGGAAGACGAAAAAAATGTTTGTAATTAATTTTTTTACAAATCAAATGTATCATGATTTTTATTGTAAAAATCGAAAAAATCGCCAAAATTGGGGTTAAAAAACATTACTTTTTATTGAATTTTTTTGGTGTCTTTAAATTGGGTATAGGACCTTCATACTTGGCTCAAGAGAACTTCATGTTATGTAGAATCATCACACCAAATTTCATCAAAATCGATTAGATAGATTTTGCATAATTATTTTGCAATCCAGATTTTGAAAAAAATTTGCAAATTTCAAAATTTTGTACAGCAAAAACCAAGGCCCTTAGATACTTGAAAATTTAATCACATATAGAAGGGCTCTCAAGCTTTTAAACGCTTTTTGAAAAATTCAAATCCGTCAATTAGGAGCTCTGGCGCTTGTTTAAACATTGGTTGAATTTTTGTCTTATAAACAATTAGGATAACTTTGTGAATATTCAACCAACAGCACCTGCCGTCTTTTGCACATAAAGTTGATATAATTATCTACTTCTGTGCCAAATTTCAGCTGTTAATCTTCATAAATAACAATTATGAATTTTTGAAAAAATTCCGAATTTTCCGGTTTTCCCGCATTTTCTCCGGTTCTAATCAACCAATCGAATCGCTCGACCTCTCATTTTCTTCGAAATTTAATTTCCTACAATTTTCCATTTACGGAATTGAGATTGCTCTAGTAGTTTTGGTTTTATATGCAATAAACTAAAAAAAACGTTTTTTTTGCACTAAAATGTTAATAACAAATTAATTAATGAGTGTTGCGAGTCGAAACACATCAGAGTATATCTGTGGACTGTCTTTTAAACGATGGCATAGGTGGTATGCTGTTAGTATTTTTGTCACATAAAAAACCTATATTGACTGGACTAAAGAAAAAAATATGCTACTGGCAGTTTTTTGTTGAAATAACGTTAAATTCAGGTACTGTTACGTTAACTGAATGAAAAGTGTTTCTTAGTGTTTTTTAATAGTAGCAGTCGTTTATGAGACAATTTACTTATTTACTAACCGTAATGTGCAAATTTAGTCTCTCACATAGTTACATACTCGCATTTGTTTAAAATCCATCTGCAAAAATTGATTCTTTTGTCTGCATTATCAGTTCGTAAGCTTTACGATGATCTCGTTTTAGTATTTTAACTACCTTTGCTTATTTATTCCTGAAGATGCAGTCCTTCTTGGGCTTATGATCACAAGACGAATTATTGTGATAATAAATAGAGGAAAATTGTCCAGGGAAAATTACGTAATCTCTATAAATAGCCTGATTAGAAGATGTCAAAGTAATGTAGTAAATTTTATTCAATTCCGTCAGCGCATTATGAAGATATGGCAGAAAATATATATTTTTTTTTGTAAATTTTATCACCCTGTGTCTCGAATACCACAAGAAAAAAAGTTTGTAGAATAAACTCTACTCATTTTTTGGTAATGAATCTAGTCTTGCAGTTTCTGTATTTAAAGCGAAATCACCCTGTATATTTTCCTACAAGTTTGATTTCACCATGATATTCCATCACTTTTTCACCTTTGCATATAATGATGATATAAACCGGTGCTTTTTATAATCAAAACCATTTGTATCTATACTATTCAAATCCGCCCCGTTCTCCAACAAGAAATTAATCACATCTTCCGATATATTAAGAATTGCTAAAATATAACTGTTTTTATTTTACAAATAAGTGATTATCAAATAGTAACACCTGCTCTTAGTAAAGGAGTCCACTTCTTATTATCCTTACAGTTGACATCCAGTCCTAAATTCAAAGCAAACTTAACATTTTCCAAAGTACCCGAATCCACAGCATAGTGCAATACATTCAAACCGTTTATATCTGTAGCAGTAACATCAGCACCTTTGTCCACGAGAATAGAAGCCATTTGTAGTTTGCCATTGTAAACTGCTACCATAAGAGGAGTTCTCTTGTTGAAAAAAAGGGGTGTATTTGTGCTAGCCCCTAGGTTTATCAACAGTTGCAGTATTTGAATATCTCCCGATTCTATGGCTTGAACTAAGGGTGTCTTGTTCTCTTTATTTTCCGTTTCCAGGAGGTGAGGTCTAAAAACTACTTAGTCGGGGAATGTTAAAATGATAAATTGGTAAAAGGGAACGGAAAAAGACAACAGGTAAAAATCAAATGTTTGTAGCCCGTTGGTTACACTAACATTACAAATTAGGATTTCTATCCTCTAGTGTTGAAATTATTACACCAGTCTAGGAGTTCCGACTTTGTAGCATAGTTTTAGAATTTATTGTAAAAAATAAAAAATGATTTAAATAAAAATAACTATCAACGTTTACCGATTTTGACGTAACGAGAATGACATTGGAACTACTCGAGAGTTTTTGGGAACTACCGAAATCAATTTACCATATGAACTACCTACATCAGTTATAAATTTCTCAAAAAAATCATAGAGGACTCCACTTAACAAAATGCTAAATATTTTTATAAAATTTTCCACTTTTTAAAACTTACTTGTTATTAGCGATTTTCCTAATGAGCGGCATTTTCCCTAATTTTACTGCTCTGGACATGTGCAAAACTAAAGAATAAGGGCTTTCGTCATCTGTTGCAGTCTTAAAATACGTCCATTTTCCATCAGTTTCGACCTGAATGCGGAAAATGTAACATGTACAAGGCGCTAGACCATCAACTTTGAATTGCGTTCTTTGTCCCCTAATGTAAAAGTTAAGAAACAGGTTTTAAATTTGAATAGAAATATGTAAGATGTGTGAAAAGGTGGAAAGTAAGCAAGCACTATGTTAATGTCACACACCCTGTAGATACACAAATATATTGAGTAAAAGTTTTCAGATAAAATATTTACCAGTATACCATTTTCCATTCTTTAAACTCATTACAAATTTGTAATTTATAGTTTTTTGCACCCTCATTTGCATTNTCCTGATTTTGAAAAAAATTTGCAAATTTCAAAATTTTGCACAGCAAAAACCAAGGCCCTTAGATACTTGAAAATTTAATCACATATAGAAGGGCTCTCAAGCTTTCAAACGCTTTTTGAAAAATTCAAATCCGTCAATTAGGAGAGCTCTGGCGCTTGTTTAAACATTGGTTGAATTTTTGTCTTATAAACAATTATAATAATTTTATGAATATTCAACCAACAGTGCCAGCACTTAAAGTTGATATAATTATCTACTTCTGTGTCAAATTTCAGCTGTTAATCATAAATAACAAAGTTATGAATTTTTGAAAAAATTTTGAATTTTCCGGTTTTCCTGTATTTTCTCCGGTTCTAATCAACCAATTGAATCATTCGACCTCTCATTTTCTTCGAAATTTAATTTCCTACAATTTTTCCATTTACAAAATTGAAATTGCACTAGTAGTTTTGGTTTTATAAGCAAAAAAATGTAAAAAAAACGCCTTTTTGCACTAAAATGTTAATAACAAATTAATTAATGAGAGTTGTGAGTCAAAAACACATCAGAATATATCTATGGACTGTCTTTTAAATGATGGCATAGGTGGTATATTGTTAGTATTTTTGTCACATAAAAAAATGGGTGTTTTTTTGTTGAAATAAAGTTAAATTCAGGTACTGTTACGTTAAATGAATGAAAAGTGTTTTTTTAGTGTTTTTTAATAGTAGCAGTGATTTAGGAGATAATCTACTTATTTGCTAAGCGTAATGTGCAAATTTAGTCTCACACATACTCATATTTGTTTAAAATCCATCAGCAAAAATTGATTCTTTTGTCTGCATTATCAGTTCGTAAGCTTTACGATGATCTCATTTTAGTATTTTAACTAACTTTGCTTATTTATTCCTGAAGATGCAGTCCTTGTTGGACTTATGATCACAAAACGAATTGTGATAGTGAATAGAGGAAAATTGTAATCTCCTCAGGGAAAATCACGTCATAAGTTCCTCTATAATTAGCCTGATTATATGTCAGAAGTGTATCGATGCGGAGGGTCTTCATTTTGAACAAGTGTTGTAGGACTTGTTAACTTAATTACTTATACTCGTCCCCTATTTGCTAATGTTATTTTTTAGTTTGATAATAAAATTATTCCTACAAAAAACCGCCAATGGCGTATTCTTTTCTTAGGAAAAGTTGGCAGATGTTTTAATAGCACATCATTAGTTACAACCAGGAGGTTTTCATCAAATAAGCAGTTCCATTTATTAAAAATATTCAATAAAATGTAAAAACAAGCCCAAATATCTCCTAAACAGCTGCTACTATTATAAAACACCAAGAAACATTCATTTAACGAAACAGTACTTGAATGTAACATTATTTTTACAAAAAACTGCCAGTGGCATTTTTTTTTCTTGGGAAAATGGGGCGGCATTATGAAGGTATGTCAAAAAAAATATATATTTTTTTTGTAAATTTCAAGACCCTGTATCTCGAATACCACAAGAAAAAAGTTTATAGAATAAACTCCACTCATTTTTTGGTAATGAATCTAGTCTTGCAGTTTCTGTATTTAAAGCGAAATCACCCTGTATATTTTCCTACAAGTTTGATTTCACCATGATATTCCTTCACTTTTTCACCTTTGCATATAATGATGATATAAACCGGTGCTTTTTATAATCAAAACCATTTGTATCTATACTATTCAAATCCGCCCCGTTCTCCAACAAGAAATTAATCACATCTTCCGATATATTAAGAATCGCTAAAATATAACGGTTTTTATTTTACAAATAAGTGATTACCAAATAGTAACACCTGCTCTTAGTAAAGGAGTCCACTTCTTATTATCCTTACAGTTGACATCCAGTCCTAAATTCAAAGCAAACTTAACATTTTCCAAAGTACCTGAATCCACAGCATAGTGCAATACATTCAAACCGTTTATATCTGTAGCAGTAACATCAGCACCTTTGTCCACGAGAATAGAAGCCATTTGTAGTTTGCCATTGTAAACTGCTACCATAAGAGGAGTTCTCTTGTTGAAAAAAAGGGGTGTATTTGTGCTAGCCCCTAGGTTTATCAACAGTTGCAGTATTTGAATATCTCCCGATTCTATGGCTTGAACTAAGGGTGTCTTGTTCTCTTTATTTTCCGTTTCCAGGAGGTGAGGTCTAAAAACTACTTAGTCGGGGAATGTTAAAATGATAAATTGGTAAAAGGGAACAGAAAAAGACAACAGGTAAAAATCAAATGTTTGTAGCCCGTTGGTTACACTAACATTACAAATTAGGATTTCTATCCTCTAGTGTTGAAATTATTACACCAGTCTAGGAGTTCCGACTTTGTAGCATAGTTTTAGAATTTATTGTAAAAAATAAAAAATGATTTAAATAAAAATAACTATCAACGTTTACCGATTTTGACGTAACGAGAATGACATTGGAACTACTCGAGAGTTTTTGGGAACTACCGAAATCAATTTACCATATGAACTACCTACATCAGTTATAAATTTCTCAAAAAAATCATAGAGGACTCCACTTAACAAAATGCTAAATATTTTTATAAAATTTTCCACTTTTTAAAACTTACTTGTTATTAGCGATTTTCCTAATGAGCGGCATTTTCCCTAATTTTACTGCTCTGGACATGTGCAAAACTAAAGAATAAGGGCTTTCGTCATCTGTTGCAGTCTTAAAATACGTCCATTTTCCATCAGTTTCGACCTGAATGCGGAAAATGTAACATGTACAAGGCGCTAGACCATCAACTTTGAATTGCGTTCTTTGTCCCCTAATGTAAAAGTTAAGAAACAGGTTTTAAATTTGAATAGAAATATGTAAGATGTGTGAAAAGGTGGAAAGTAAGCAAGCACTATGTTAATGTCACACACCCTGTAGATACACAAATATATTGAGTAAAAGTTTTCAGATAAAATATTTACCAGTATACCATTTTCCATTCTTTAAACTCATTACAAATTTGTAATTTATAGTTTTTTGCACCCTCATTTGCATTTTTATTAGTGAGATGTTTCCAGTTTAATGTAACATCGTTCAAGTTTTGAATTAACACTTTTGGGCCATATTTATGATTAATAACAAAACGTTGCATTCTTTCAACAGTTTAACTAAGTATTGATCAAACATTGCGAACAAGACGTTATACAGGCTCTGATTCAAAATTCCGTATAAAGTATTTAGGGGCGCAAAATAAGCTTTTTGTTCCTATAAACATATGGGTTCACACGTCCACAAATGCTTAGTTTTCGATATACCTACATGATGATAGGTTTTTTATTTTTTTCGATTTTTTGGGAATAATTTCCAAATAGATTCGAATGTTGGCATACAAGGTACGGGAGTTTTTTAGGATGCTTAATATATGTATATATGTCATTGGTTTTGACGCTGCTTGTAGAGGGCGCCACCTATAAGACTACGCTTGAATTAAATTGGCCCTAACTTCTTTGCTACCCTATACATTGACTTTTTGTATCAGTGCGTTTATTCCCCTATCAATTTTAAGCAAAAATTGTATACTTGGTCGAAATCTCTCAGATCAACCGTTTCCGAGATATTGGCTGATGAAGAGTTAAATGCACATCATATTTTCAAATTTTAATAAGTATTTTACGGTGAAAAATTTTAAAATTTATTTTCACGATCTAATCAGTAATGCAATGATCTTGAAATTTAGCTCTTTACAGTTTTTTGATACAATTAACCGTTTTCGAGAAAATCAGTGCTGACTAAGCGGTAGTACTGTCATTATCAAAATACATAAAGAAAAAACATAGTAGGCTATATGATGATTGATGTTGTTGAAATCTAAGACTCTTAGGAACGATACAGGCGAAAAACAGAAGATTATTGCAAAAAAAACACAAAAAAATAGGTACCCAAATTTATTGAACCTTAAAAATAATTTGATAGAAAATATGGTGTACATTTAACTATTCATCAGTCAATATCTCGGATTAATTCAAGAGTACCCTTTATAGGTGGCGCCCTCTACAAGCAGCGTCGAAAGCTATGCCATATTTAAATTTATTATTCTAAAATACCCTCGTACCCCAAATTTTATGCCAACATTTAAATCTGTTTGGATTATTCTTAAAAAATCGAAAAAATAAAAAACTGTAACACTCTGTATATCGAAAACTAAGCATTGGTGGACCTACGTTTATACGAAAAAAGTCTTATCTTGATTTCAAAAAAATGCCCCTAAATTCTTTGTACTGAATTTTGAATCAACTTGTATGTAGACAATCTCGTCGCCTTATCTACCATTAATATCACACCTAGGATATTTTAAATGTCTACTGCATACTTTACATACTTGTATTATAGCACATATGTACTCGTAGATTAGTTTATGAGATATGTATATCTACACAGCCAAGCACAAAACATATAAGCCAAGGGTGTCTGTATTTGAAATTGTTGAAAAGAAATGAAGATAGGTACTTTCATAAGTTTCATTCATGCCGTTTACTTTTCTTGGAACTATGACAGAAACGTACATGCCCGTAAAATAAATACATATTTATTTTAAGGTTGTGGTTTAGATGATTCAATAGGAGAAAGGTCATTGTATCTCTATGATTAAGACCATTTAGCAATTTCTTCTGCACTCGTTTCATCTTTATACCTTGAATTTGAATATTACATGAGTCTTTTTTCTTTAAGTAAAGCCAAAAATAAAATTACGTGTTTTATGCATCCAAACATATTTAAAAATGACTGGCTGGATGTAGAAACGTCTATTTTATTTATGTAAACTCATAGAACGGTTTCCTTTCTGTTACCATTTACCGTTGCAATTTTGTAACTACGTACAGCTTTTAAAGGTAAAGAGTTTCCATATTTGTATCTCAGACTTAACTGCAACTTCCATGTATTAAAGCCTGTGCTGTCCTTCAATTGTGATGATATAGTACGGATGATTGTCCCATAAAAAAATATGCTAATGTTGAGTAGGTACTGAGAAAAAAAATATCAAAAAATCCAACTGAAAATTTAAAAGAAAGTTCTCTCAATAAGGTTTGTATATACTAAGACATATAAATGATAATTCTTCAAAATGTGTTTCATTATTTGGGACTGTTTCTAAATTTTGCTGTTGATTTCAATAGCTTATTTTGATCTCAGTGCAAGGAAATTGGTCCCTTTTGTAAGCATTATAACGGAATGCGCATGAGTCTGACTGTTTTGAATTGCTCTAGGAACAAAGCTAATAACGCAGGTTCATCAGCTTCCTTAAAAATTCTGATTGTGATCGGTTACGAATAGACATCGGAAACTTTGTGGAGACAATCTCTACAACTCTAGAAATAGGCTACATCTGTGGTCAAGTCGTGTGCCGCTCTGTGCTCAATATACACAATGCTACTGGCTGCCATAAAAACACGTGCCATACGTTCGACCACGCAAAACTTCAAACTCACTTACACACGTACAAACGACAATGAAATACTTGGCCTACGTCCCTCCTCAACAAACCGGCGCGACAGGCCGATAGGGCAGGCATTAGTAGAATGCCGCTAGATAGGTACGTACCTATGGAATAGATTGATCGATGCGAAGTTTCAGATCAGAGGCAGACATTTACATATTGTAGTACAATAAAGCGGATAGTGGTAAAATGTAAAGTAGTTGATGATTTGCCACCATTATAGTGAATATATTAAAAACCTCGACTATTTTAGATATGCGCCTGTGACCTTGATAAATGTTGAGCGGTCCTTTTCGTTTTTGAAATGGGTATTTACTGATGGCAGATATTATTATTTTGTTAACTTTAGTTGGTACTTATTATTAAGTACATAAAATATACCTTTATACCTATATATTTTATGGTAAGTTCAATGTGAAGCGTTTAGTGTAGAAAAATAGACACTTCATAAAAATAATTTAATTTTTTTGAGCACTGTTACCATTTTTTATAAATGTGCGTATGACTTGGGTCCGATGACAAAGACTTCTTTTGCGGTATTTTGCGCCCACCCACCGAACTACACGAGAGTTATTCAACCTTGGCTGTAAGTAGAAATCAGTCATGTCTTAGAAAGTTGAGGTTGATATCGAATTGTCCGCTGAACTGCATAACTGTTTGGGTGCGCGAGTAGTCATGTTCAATAGATTGAATATCCAAACAAAGACTTAAAACAAAACGCAGAAATAATGTAAAAGTGTAAGATGAATATTCCCTTATTCGTGTTTCTTCTCTCTTCACTCAGCTCAGGTGAGTTTTATTCTCTTATTCGTGAAACTGACTTTACCGTATGGTATATATGGTGCGGATTTGGTGGGACAGTGCAGCATTGACAAATTCTGGTTGCTAAAATCAGGTTGGCAAAGAGTTGGGTTGCCAATTCTTCCGCATTGGTAACTTTAAAAAAATAATTTTGAATAATATATATGTAGCAGTGAAGTATCACAAATCAATATAATAACGTTTTAACATCCAATCACTGAGGTGAACGAACCTAAATAATAGTAAATATATATAGTTTATTTCTTTCTTGTTTTTTTTCTTTCTTTCATAAATATATACAGGGTGTCCCAGAAATAAATGCCAAAATGTTTTTATATTCCTGATAGTACAAATTCCAGAAATCAAAGCAATTTATAACTTACTATTTAGATAACTCAATTTTAAAATTGTCATAGAGGCTGTGATAAACAAGTATTGCAAACCATAAAATAATTATTATGTAGTTTTTTGTATATAAAAAGTTGCGCGCTGCAGTGACATAACCAAGAAAATATCATACAGAGTATAACAAAATTGCTTGACCAAATTTTGATAGATTCGTATCTCTCAAATGTTTAATTTTAGAAATTAATTCAATGAATTTGTTTAAAATAACTAACCTATCGATATTTGTATCCTCAGTAATCAAATTTTGAAGCTAAAAATGTTTGAGTTTGTTCCTTTTATGTTAATTAATCTTATTTACTTATTTTCCATGCACTCCGCCCATTATTTTGTTCTCAAATGTCAATTCCGGATATATTGCCGAGCGTAACCATGAACTGAGATATCTTACTTTCTATATTAATGATAAAATGATATGGTGAGATTTATCATTGCAAAAATGATAAATATTTATCTCGTTTTAAGAAAGTTTGAATTGTGCCATTTACCCCGTTTTCTCTTGCGCCCGTAGCGTGACATGAAAGCTATAATTTTATTTTCAGAGATGTGGCTAGTGGATATCCTTGTAAGAATGTAAATATGCTGAGCTGAGTAAAAGTTTATTCTCTTGTTTATTATTTAGTATATTTAAAAAAATATATACCTACAGTGTTTTGAGGGAAGTTGCCATAAATTCAGGAGCTGATATATAGAACATAAAAAATTAAGATTGTTTCGTTTAGATTAGATCATAGGTCCATTGTCTTTTGATTCGTTTGTTTTTGAGATTCGGGACATCAAACATCAAAGATGATTTTTTAAAATCAAGTTGGTCAATTTTTAGGCAGCGCGCCGTCTTTGATATTTGACAGATGTACGTTCTGTATCTTATAGGTAATTTGTTTCCATGCGCTTTGGAGTAAATAATTCTTTAATTTTATTTATAGGCGGCACACTTTGATTACTCTGAATAAACTATCGAATTTAATAGTATCAGCTATCGATAATTATCGATAGTGCCATCAATAGTTTTCGCTCTAATAGTGAGTTAACTTAAATTTAATAAATAACACAGAAACACAACGAAAATAGTCAAAATACATGTCCGAATCTCTGTAAAATCAGGAAATGTACATAAAACTAATGGACAACAATGTCGATCATGTTAGATCACGTTTCTGCGTTGAAAAATAGCTGATCAGGGAAAAACGCACAAATTATAATTTGAATCGCAAATCGCTTTTTTCAAATGTGGCGCTAATTTGAAATTTTCGCTTAATAACGTCACAACGTATATTTTAATTTTATCTAATTGTAAGAGGAAGTGACGTCAAAATAAAAAAAATAAAATGTGTCTCAAATTTTTTAACTTATTTTCATTTAAATGGTGTGGTTAAAAAGTTGGAAAACATTGCGAATAACACATCTTTTTCGAGAAAAACGCAAAATTAGATAGTTAGTAGTTAGTTACAACGTTTCAAAAGCTACAAAATAATAAAAAGCTGTAACATCGACATATAATTTTATCGCAAATTTCAATATATCATTTAAAAAAAAAGATATGGCCATTAATTATAGTAGGGGAGCCCAAGAGGGGATTTTGGGAGTTACTCAAGCGCAGCAGATTAACATATGGGGGATACCTTGCACCCTGTTGAGTACCTCCACCATATCTAAGTCCTCTATATAAGGCCGCGCCTGTAGGGCAGCCAATCAGAATAGTAAAAAAAAATCGATAGTTGGAAATACTCGAGCGCGTCAGATTAAGATATGATGGGTTAATTACATGCTGAAAAGTGTGCATTTCAATAATCTGACGATTTGAGCGTGACGTAAGGCAGTCGGAAGGTCACAAAGTTGCAAAAAAAAACGTCACCTCGACATTCTCGAGCGATTTTTTTTTATTTTGAAGGAAATAATTCAAGGATAACGCGAAAAATATAATCTGCCGATTTCCACAAGCCGAAGTAACAAAAATCGTTAATAAAGTTTAGCGCGTGCAGCTGCAGGGAAATACATGTTGTTTTGAAACTCCNAAAAGACAAAAGAAACATTATCTTATTTATTGATGTTCATCAGTCCCTGAATTTAAGTCACCTTTATTCAAAACACATTGTATAAGCATTTGTTTAACTCCAAAAATACTTCTCTAATCTAGGAAATGATCTGGGTGAATCTAGGACAGCAATTAATGTAGCTAAAGTAGATACTTTAACTGCATTAATTGTTATCCATTAAAACATGCAACATTTTCAGTATTCACTCAGGACGATGATGGTCCGTACCGTGGAAAATATTTAGGAAAACTCAACTCATACCATCACCAGGTCTCAGGAGATGTGTACGCTGTAAACGACTCAACCCTTCTTTTGACTTCTTTTAGCTACGATGGAAATGGGGCTGATACGTTCTTTTGGGCCGGTGCAGCCAACAGACCTGGCCCCCAGGGATTTATCGTTCCTGATTTAAACGGAAAGTTAGTACAAATTAAAAGTGTTACTGCTGTTTGTTAACTTTTCTATTCTTTTAGAACAAATGTATTAGAACGATACTTCAACAAAGACTTCACCCTAATCCTCCCCGAAAGTAAGAAAATCACCGACATAAAGTGGTTTGCCATATACGATATATGGAGTCAGAACACCTTCGGAGATATCTACGTTCCGGAGGAATTTGAACCGCCAACCGTTCAAAAGATTTCTACTTTGACGGGCAAACATAACGGAATAACGACAGGGTCTGTGGACATATTAGACGCAAAAAGGATCAGGTTGAATCATTTTACTTATGACGGGAAAGCGAAAAAGGCTTATTTCTGGGTCGGAGTAGGAGCACAACCGGTCGTGAAGGGATACAAGGTTCCTGATGAATATGGATAGTGAGTAAAACTGCCAACCAGTTAAATCTTTCAAAATGTAACTTTAAATTTTTTGTCTTTAGTCTAGATCCATTGAGAGCATACAGAAACTTAACGATAGTATTAGAGCTACCAGGAGATCTTACGATATTTGACATCGATTGGTTTAGTGTCTTCGACCATGACGCTAAACTAAATTTAGCATCAATTATCATTCCAGAGGCTTTAAACGTACCACCATCATTAGTAAAAATCATTGTAAGTTCCAGTTATAAATGCAGAATTATAATTTTCTATAAAATATCATTTTAGCCTCATAAGAACGACTTACCGAACTGCCTTCAACTCCACAAAGACTTCCAAGTCTCATGGGAGATCTTCGGCCCGCAAATCACCATACAACTTGCCGGGCAGGTGGACGAAGATGAATACTTATCCTTCGGTATTTCCGGCTCTCAAGAACGCAGTCAAATGGTAGGGGCGGATGTAGCCGTAGCCTATATTGATGGTTATAGAGGTTTCGCCACTGACTATAATATTACAGCTCTCACGCCGGTAACTACTTAAAATAATTGTTGTAATATGTAATTTATATTTTTAATTTGCAGTGTGTCAAAGTGTTAGGTCAATATAAGGGTGTGTGCAAAGATGAAGTAGTAGGCGGCCAAGACAGCAATCAAATGAATACAGCCGTAAGAGAAAACGGAGTCAATATAATAACATACAGGCGACAGTTAATTTCACGTAAGTAAATAAAACTTTTGCTTATACAACTTACAATGTGTGCACTGTACAGTGGATTCATATATAAATATCATAGTGTGGACAAGAAATTAAAAAGGACACTTTGAAAATTATTTAAAAATATTTACATACCGTAATACCTCACCTGGTGCAATGCACGCACAGTCAAATGGCATGGACAAAAAGTTTATGACAAAAACTAGAAAGAATTTATTGAGATAATAAGTAAATAAAGTTTTATCACAGCTTTTTTATTTTAGTGAATTCAATTATTACTTTAATGTTTTGATGAACTAAAACAAATGTTCCTACTTCTTGTTTCTCTTACACTCGTAAATTGTTGGCAGCAGCAAGTAAATCATAAATAGTTCCCACTTCAGTACGATACACATAATTTTTTATATATCCCTATAAAAATATCCAGAGGGTTTAAGTCGGGAAACTGTGATGGCCATGCCACCAGTCGTCCTCATCCAATCCACACTATATTAAAATGATCTTGAAATATTTTCTTCACAATGACCATTGTGTAAGTACCACATTAATTGTCGAACATTTAAAAGCACAACTTCTAATAGTCCAGACATTTCATTTCGAAGATATGTTGAAAACCATCGATTCGTTTTTGTAATACAAATGGTCCAATTAGACAATCGTTGACGATCACTACCCAAACGTTCAGATGCGGTGGAATTAAAATATTAAACATAGCTTCATCTGTAGTTAACAGTTCGTGTATAAATTGCAGATGTTGAGTGTTTTATTCTAATAACTATTCCCAAAATCTTACTCATAACAGATAACTTCCTCGTACTGATGCTTGGATGCACAGTACATGATGGGGATAAGTTTGAGCCTCTTGTAGTACGCGCCACACAGTTGACTACTCTGAGCCTTGTCGAACCATTTGCCTGTGAATTTTCTTATACAGGGTATAGCAAAAGTATTGGAATGGCAGAATAATACGGCAGGAGAGCATTTTAAAGAAAAATGTTAAATATAAAAGTTTCAAGATTTCTCCCTGGCTATCCGATGGTGACCTTGACATTGACCTTGAAGATCATTTCAAGGTCAAATGTGATTTTTCAAATGGGACCCTATACTTTTGACTCCAGAAATGAAAAGAGTGGACAATTTTACGTTCAGATATGACCTTGAGTGACCCCTCCCTTTTGACCTTGGAGCCCCCCCCCCCCCAAGGTCAAACTAGCAAAAGTACAGGAACGGCAGAATAACTCGGCTGGAGAGCATTTTCGAGAAAAATGTTAAATACAAAAATTTTCTGATATCTCCCTGGCTATCGGATGGTGACCTTGACATTGACCTTGATGATCATTTCAAGGTCAAATGTGACTTTTCAGATGGGAAATGTGGGGGCCCCAATATCAAAATTACACAAAAAATGTGCCATCTTAAGATTAAAATAAGTGCTACATTTCAAATAAATATCTCTACAATCACCGGAGTTATCATTAAAAATCATTTTTTAAATTTTAATTTTGACGCACTATATTTTGAAAATGGGGCTCCAAAACGAAAAGTGGCATAAGAAACGTCCCATTATTTTAATTCAAAGAATATGTGATTAACTGCGTGACCTACTAATTTGTAACACCCTGTATAAACAAAGATAAAACATACTGAAGAACTTTTGCTGACAAGTTATTCGTCTTTCAGCCGATCCTGGCGATAAAGAATTTCCAGCTAGTGGCTTCCTGTACGTAGTTTGGGGAATAGGCAAGTTGGACGAGAACATGGAACCAGCGTTCCACGATTTATATTCCAAAACTGACATCAAGATCGAAATGACCCCAAAAGAACCGCAAAATAACTGCCTTTCCTTCACGAGATCCAAGCCGGAGCCACGTGAACCTTGGAAAAAGGGACAGATATTCGACAAAACGATCAGGATATTTAAGTCGTATATAGGACCTTCTGGGGCGAAAAAAGGATATCAAGCAATAACAGGTTATAATTCACTTCATTGCTGTTTAAAATTACTTTACAATTTAATTATTTGTAGGTCATGCGTCAACTGCCCTATCTTGGTACATCAACGGAATGCTTACACCAGAAATATGGCTGCGAAGAGGCTTGTCTTATGTATTTAAAGTGTACGGAGGCAACAATCCCCACAGTGCAGAGTATTACCACCCACTTATAATCACCGATGAACCACATGGAGGCTTCGACAAGCTTACCGATGAGGCTCAGTCGAAGATACGGGTTTTAGCGGGCGTGGAATATTCTAGGAGAGGCAGGCCAAGACCAACAGCGGGTAAGTAAAAAAATTGTTGAGTTACAGTTCTTGTCACCGTTTTTCTTTAAATGAAAACAATAGGATTATTTTCACAAGTTAAATCTGTAAAATAAAAACAAAAACCTTATGCGAAGGTCTTAAATTTGTAAATTTCAAAAATATTTAAAGTTTTTCTTTTTGATTTGGCAACAGCAAGTATATGGTTACTATTGGTTGCACATAAAGTTAGAAATAACCTATTTCTTCCAGCTGGCCCTCTCTGTCTTGCCCAACACCCCGAGAACAAAGACAGAAGGCTAGACGACGACTACGAGAGCTTCAAAAAGTTCAACCGTACACTGATGTACACCTGCGAGGAAGGTGAGCCGGGGGTACTAGAATTCACCCCTAACAGCACCTGGCCTGACACGGTTTATTACAACTCCTTTACACAGGCCAACATGGGCTGGAAAATTCATATCGTCGATAGTTTTAACCAAAGGATCTATTCCGGAGCGCACACTTTGAAGTTGCATAATATCGTTCTACTCGTTTCTGTATGTTTGTTTGTTAGACAATTGTTTTGATTGTTTATTTAAACGCAATGCCATGTTGTTTAATTGCAAGCAAGAAATCGAAATAAACGTGTACATTTCTATTTACTTTTGATTTTTTAGCTGATACCTTCATGAATATAATGGTAGTGTAGTAAAGGGCCATTTGTTTTTTATGAGTAAGTGTTAGTTTGTTTGCTATTAAACAATTCCTACTCAGGTTTTAATTATCGCAGAATAATTGATACGCCTGAAACAAAAGTAGTGTAAAATTCAATAAATGACGGTACTCAAATAAATTTTTTTATGTTACATTTAGTTTAATTTGAAATAACTAATAGCATGCATATTACTAACATTTAATCTGTATAAACATTTATTTAAATACTTCTATATACCAGAACGGTTGTGGGCAATAGAAAGTTTATGACCTAAACTGCTTATGAGACTTATAAGCTTAGTTTTATCAACTTCGTTGTTTTAACCCTTTTAAACTTTTATTTTAGGTTAGAAACATTTTTGTCCATAGCTGTATTATTAACAGTAGCCTCAAAACCATAGTAATGGGTTATCCATTTTCTCCTTGGGAAAGTAGAGTTTAAAAAAACACAGTGAATATTTAAATTTCGATGGAACTTTCATTTCATAATAAAGTCTGGACTATGCCATTATGCGTGAAAAACAATATCATTCAAATATCCTCCACGGAATCGTTTGCAGGACTCGATCTTTTTGAGGTAATTTTCATAGACTTTTTCACACAATTTGGGCAATAATTTGGCCATAACTTGACGTATCTCGTCCTTCAATTACTCCAAAATTGTGGGATTGTACGCAAACCATGGTCTTTCGCATAGCCCCACAAAAAGAAATCCAGAGGCGTTAAATCGTAGGATTTTGGTGGCCAAGCCACATCGCCGAATCTCGAAATTACGCGTCTCGGGAATTTCTTGCGCAATAGAGCCATAACTGGCCGCGTTGTGTAGCATGTAGCCCCATTTTGTTGCAACCACATATCGTCCAGATCAAAATCTTCAATTTCAGGTCAAAAAAAGTCGATGATCATGGCAGCATACCGCTGAGAATTGATGGTAACGGTGGCTCCTTCGTCGTTCTTGAAGAACTACGGCTCGATGAAGCCGCTGGCGCAAAATGCACACCAAAGAGTCACTTTCTGCGGGTCCAATGGTCTCTCAGCGGTCAGTCGCGGCTGCTCACTACCCGAGATTTGTCAATTTTGCTTATTAACGTAGCAGCCGAGAGTGAAAAAAATCCGGATTGGTGGCCTGTTGTTCCAGCACCCAATTGGTGTACTTACGGCGCAATCTATGGTCAGCTGGCTTGATTTCTTACGGGAGTTGGATTTTATACGGATGAAGATGCAAGTCCAAATGCAAAATGCTCCACAATGTATGACAGGCCCAAATGCTGAGCTCGACTTGGAGTTGAAAGATTCGGATCACCGTTAACACTTTCACTCACAGCAGCCATATTTTCGGTTGAACGAACAAAACGATGATGCACAGGTCTTACGATGTCTGTTACCGATCCAGTCTCTTGGAATTTTCTCACTGTATTGGTGGTTGTTTGCCGGGATGCATAATTTAATAATTGGGGTGATGCTTACCCTTGCTTGGGGGTGAAAGTGGCGGAGTCAAAAATACCAGCAAAGAATGTCCCTCTTTAATCTAAAATCGACAGGTCTGAGCGTTTTTCTACAATCTTGACGCAGTTCCTGAAAATGGCTCTGTTTCGTTTTCATTTGGTGTTCATTTGGCCAACAACATATTTTAATTATTTATGTCCTCAAACAATTTTATTATATTGATGGTAAATTTTGGTTATTACATATCAAAAAACATTTACATTTTCATTCAAATATTTTACTGCTCGCCAAGAACCAACGGGTAGGTATGAGCATATCCTTGCCAGGAAAGGATGAGGAAAGGTTGTTGGGTTACGTTAGAAAAGTTATTAAATAAAAATAATCGACAATAAAATAATTCCACATTGCTGCACTGCACTGCTAGGCAATTTGTCAACGACGGCAATTTATGGCCCAGTGCGGCTTTGTTTATGCGGCGTTTGCCCGCGCGCGCATTCTTCAACTGGTCGTATACATTTCTACCACCTGCACGTTTAGTGTGACCAGATCTGTATAGCTAAATAAATATGGGAACAAGTTTTTCAAATATTTGAATGCCGAGTTGCTGCATAGCGACCGAACCTGGTACATACTGCCAACCTCTTGGTTCTTCAATTGAGTTCGGAAAGACTATACTTAGGTATATCAGTTCATTTCAATCGGTTCATCCGTTTGAAAACAACGACAAAATAGGTTGATTTCTATTTTCGTTACAACTGAATTTTTGTCATAACAGCCATCTGCACGATGATTTTATAGAAGTGTCCACACAAAAATTGCTCTCCTGCTTTATATAAAATTTTCGGTGACGTAAAGAAAATAAAATGTGTACCATTAACATTGAATTTATTGTACTCATAACATACTCAAATGAAACAAAATAATTTTACAAGAGTGTCAGACTAAAAATCTACTCGTTAGTAACCACAATTAAAAGATTAAAAAATAAAATTCTCACTACAATTCAGTAAATACAAATGGCTAATATCTTTGGCGCAGTCTCGCTTAAAAATCTCAAATAATAAGTACGCACGTAAAATACTGATAATTTTATTTTTTAAGTTATGAACTATTCACAGAGTTGAGTACGACTCTAGCCCGACACTACCAGTAACACATTATTGTTAAAATTAATAGAAACATAGACCTAATCAGTTTTTAAATACATCTCATCGTTAACAATAAATACTAGAAAAAAAAAATACATAGAAAATATCACTTTACACGACTATTTTAAGAGCCTTAAACGTGTCAAAGCTGTGAATCCTTAAAACAGCAATAAATGACAGCAACCCGCGTAAATTTCACGGTTCGTGCAGCTTGAGGAAGTTTTCCAATGTCCTAGGTATCTGATTCTTGTAGGGGATTTTGTTTTTGCTAATGACGGTGGCGCACAAACATTTCAAGGTGATGTAATTTAAGATGTGTATTTCTGACGAGGATTGCCTGGATATCTCGAGGATGGCGTCGCGGGGAGTCTTACCTGTGGCGTTCGGTTGGTCGATGTGCGCGCCGTATTCCAGCAGGAGTTTGATCAGCTGCAAAATAAACGGTTGAAAACCGAAGCTACCCAGATGGATATTACAATGTGTCTTGTTGGAAAAGTTTATTTAGGGGTTAGGGGTGCTAATGTTTAAAAAACCATGATTTTTCGGGTTGTCATGCCATGGCCTATTTACCTGGTGTCCGCAAAATGCAGACCTACATTGCACTTCCTTAGCCTTAGCTAGGAATCTTTGACCTGCCCTTGTTCCCGGGCTAGGGATTGTGGGGAAGGACTCGCTTTCAGAACCCTTAGGTTTACCCTGATGTCTGCTCCTCAGACAATGAAAATGCTGACAGTGTAGAACGGCAAAATTTTTGGAAGCTTGGATATTTGGAAGCACTATGGAAAGTCTCAGAGGACCACCATTGTCTGAGGAATCTTTGACCTGCCCTTGTTCTCGGGCTAGGGTCTGTGGGGAAGTTCTAACTTTCAGAACCCTTAGGCTTACCCTAATGTCTGCTCCTCAGACAATGAAGATGCTGACAGTGTAGAACGGCAAAATTTTTGGAAGCTTGGATATTTGGAAGCACTATGGAAAGTCTCAGAGGACCACCATTGTCTGAGGAGCGGTTCCGTCTGTAGGAGTCTTAGAATCAACAAGAACTGAAGTTAACATCAGAGCGGGCTTAGGGGTAGGGGTAGGTCAAACGTTCCTAGCTATGTCCAAGGAAATGCAAAGTTACAGGGTTACATTGCACTTCCTATCGGTATTTTAAATTATTTATGGGTAGATTTTTGGAGCTTATAATAATATACAGAGTGTCCTAGAGCATGTAGCATCAAAAGGATTGTAAATTTTGGAAGCACGACAAATATTTTTAAAATCATTATTTCTTAAACAAAAAACATATTTTTTTTTTTTCAATAAAACGGATAAAATTGATCATTACTTTTTATACAGGGTGCAGCAATATTCTACTGATAGGTGTTCCTTTGATTAAAAACAAGAAACAAATTTCATTTTGTAAATATGTGTCTGCAAATGCTTTGTTCTTGAGATACAGAGTGATCGTTTTTTACAGTTACAATTTTACTCAAAGCTACCCAACAAGTCACACACAAACGTGACTATCTTTAGTCAAAATTTTGACAAATGTAACATTGACAATTTTTTTGTTAAGTTGTGAATCGTTTTGTATATGAAACTACTCACCCGATCTGAATAATTATATGCCAAAGTTGCCAGCAGCAACGGCGACCAACCGAGTTCGTTTCTTGCATTGACAGGAGCGCCGCATTCTAGCAGACACCTGACGACGTTCTCGTCAGGGAAAATCATCTAAAATATGCCGCGATCAGTAATTAAAGTCACCAGCGTTTCATTTTTGGACTTACGATTGGTTCTTCGTCCATAAAATAGCTGGACCTGATGGTGTTCAGCTTCGAGACACACAGGTGCAATATGCTGTCCTCTTGCGCTGCACACCTCACGTTTTTTCTGACTAAGTCCGTTATTAATTGCTTTACGATCGTTTTGTCTTCTTCAGTCGTGGACGTCGCCAACATTAGGTATATGAGGTGTGTGACGCATTTCAATATTTTGTCGAAGAAGTCTGCTTGACGCTTGTACACCGGCCTAATTTTCAGTAGTTGCCGCATCTCTGAAATATACAAGAACATTCTAGTATAAGGTGGATGAAAACCGATGCGTTTGGGGAGATTCATAAAAACAATTGAACGAACGTCAGATTGAAAACGCTTGGCCTAAACTAAATTTTTGAGGAAAAAACTGATTTCAAAATGATATAGGAACTCATTAGAAACATTTGCCTTTCATTGGTAAAGTTCTGATATCCGAACGTAAAAATTTCCATTTTTTCCATTTCCGGGGTCAAAAATATACAGGGTTCCATTTAAAATTTTTAGGTTGACCTCTAAATGACCTTGAAGGTCATAATCAAGGTCACATTGGACGTAAAATTTTCCGCTCTTACCATTTCTGGGGTCAAAAGTATACGGTTCCATTTAAAATTTTCAACGTGACCTCTAAATGGCCTTCAAGGTCATGGTCAAGGGCACCGTTGGATTGCTCATTCAAAACCCTGCAATTTTTGTCCTAATCATTATTTTGTTTGAGCAGTATTTTCTGAGATAGAGGGGGGGGGTTCCACACTTTTTGAAAAACCTGTATATTTTAAACAGCGGTTACAGTTTCTCTTGTAGAACATGTAATTAAGTTTTTTTTATTTGCGAAAAAATTAGGAATAATAGTCAAATGAAATCAAATATGAATCATTTTTAAAAAAAAAACTTGTTGAAAACTACTGACTTCACTATTGGGATTTAAGTATAAAATAATTTGTGGTCAATTGATTTTCAAGATAAGTGTTGTGGTTTGTGGTAAACATGTAATTCTTTAATTCTTTGGTGCACATGCATAAATGACTATCTTCCATGTGCACACAGCGACAGCATTTTTAATTACAAGTCTAGCATTATACAATTTGGAAAAAAATTTGAAATAAATTCATTCCTAGGCACATATTTTTTTCTTCAATTGTTTGTCTATGATGATATTACCACACAAATGCATTTTATTTTTCCCTATTTCAACGCTTTGTTTACTTACTTTTACTTTAAATAAGAAAACGATATCCTTGTTTCTCCGCCACTGGTTTTTCAATTTGGACTGTGTGCATAGAGAACTAGGAGAAATATTCGAAAAAGATTTGGAAAAATTTGTCCGGGTATTTAAAAAAGTTGTTTTATTTTTGTTAATTTCAACGCCCTGTATCTCATAAACAGTGGCTTTCTGCGCCTAAATTCATAGAGCAAAGTAATGTTAATTTTTGTTGTTTACTACTTTTCCGAAGTTTGTCTATTACAATCTGGACCACCCTGTATACTATATACAGTGAAAATTGGTTATAACGACATGGCTTTGTATGACATATTGAATATAACGACGGAATTTGGAAGTCACGATTTAACCCTATAGAAATACCATATTAAAAATATAATTTACTACAACACCGTCTACAAAAAAATGTTTAAAATTGGAAATAGATAGTGAATTATGAAAGTAAAAGAATTTTACAATTTTTGTTATTTAATTATAAGTAAAAAAATCAGTGACAGAAAGAAAATTAAATTTGAAGAAATAAAAGAAATTGTTGAAGACAAGAATTTAGATAAAGTATATTTCAAAGGTGAGAAGGCCATAGAAGAAATCATAATATTCATAAGGAGACAAAATTGGGTGACGTAAGTAAATACCATTTGTTTCGAAAATGATACGGGGGGTAGGGTAAACCATACAATTATTGGACAGTGATAGTTATTGGACATGAACACTTCGAAGGTGCCTATTTAGTGTTTCACTTAGTTTTATTTTAAGTAAACATTGACTGTAGCACCATCTATTATTATTCTTTGAAAATAATTGTAGTCACGGTGAACATTTCACAAGATGTCTCTGTAAATTACAGAAATTTGCAGTGATGGTCTGTCATGGCAGATTTCTTAAGAATTCGTTAAGACACGAATTTTACATCGTGCAATATTTTTCGAAGCTGTAGTGATTTAATCGAAATTTGAGTTATTAAATGTTTAACGGTAGGTTTATTTTACTGAAACGTGTATTTTTTATAAAAAACAGTCAATTATTTATAATAATTAGTCTATGTCCAATAACTATATCAATGGTGTTCTGAATTTTAGTTATTGGACAAGTGTCCAATAACTGTAATTTTGGCTTGGTGTGATTTATTTATCCTTTTTTAACACATACCTATGTTACTCTAATAAAGCTCTCTTTTTATCTCATTCATTTGACCTGTTTATACAGTTATTGGACAGGAGTGTCCAACGATTATCTTCTCCTGTCCAATTACTGTATAACCTAGAGGGGTATTTTCTAGCATGCCTCAGAAAAGGAACTACAATCTTGATTTAGTGGAAAAGGCTGTAAGTAGAGTTAATCAGGCCAAGGATCTTACAGATCTGTATCACAAAAATATGGAATACCAAAATCAACAATAGAATTCAGGTTAAAAAATCGTGGTCATCGGGACTCATCTGGACCTCCTACAGTTTTATCAGAAAAGGAGGAGGAAATTCTGTCCGGTTAATAACCACCATATTCACATTCCAGAAGAAGATGACGACTTATATCTATGTCACATATGCTGCAAAACAGAAAATGATGAAATTTTAGAGAATGAAGACAGCGACATTGAAAATGAACAAGGTGAATCTGACGAAGAAAAAATAGAAAATGAGGAAGAAGAGAAAGAAGAAATAGATAGGCTTTATGAGTTGTTTAAACAAACACGCAAGGAACATTTTTATTAAGCGGTCAGACACCTATTAAAGTGTCTTTTTTATAGAATTTCTGTTACCTAATGTGTCCAATAACTAATATTAAACCGTCCAATAACTAACAAATAGGTCCAATAACTGTATTTTTTGCATTAAAGTTATAAATACATTTCTACAAAACACATGTTAAAGTTTTATTATAATTAGTAACTATTATCTTAATGTACACGAATTAGGCTATGGCTGGATGTATTTATTTTCATTTGTTTCATTGCAACGTTCATATGTGATTTAGAGTATTCAGTATTTTTCTTAAGTGTCCAATAATTATGCAGTTTACCCTAAATGAAAATTTATTTTCCTACTTTAGGTACAATATGAAAATCAAAATATTTCCTAAACGGGTTGAGATATTGAGATGCGATTTTGACCAGTTTTATTTTAACTAAATGTTGGTTATAATGACTAAGAAAAAAGTATATCGTTCCACTTTCCAAGAAAAATTAAGAAATAGGTTTCAACATATCACCATTTTGTACCTTTATTAACCAAAATGATGCAAAACTACGAGAACTTATATCTGTTGCAAATAAAATATATGGGGTTGAACAAGTATGGGGTAATAAAGTGTTCCTATATCATTTTCCGCAAAAACAGACAAGATGCCACTTTTTTTGTAATAAAATAAAATTTTCAGACATTTCTTTTTAAATTGATATTCAACTACTTCTTGACTGCCTATTTTGATTCCACAGGACTTTTTATCAACCCTTGTACAATTGTTTAAAACTTACCCACAATATCTTCTGTTATCAGTCTAAAGGTAGATACCACGTCATGAAATCGTTGTTTTGTATTTTCCTCTTTATTTAACGTTGACGTTACGTTATAGTCAATCATAAGTCGAACGAGAGCTTGTGCAGTAAAACAGGTATCAGTGTAAAGGATAGAATCTTTTTCCACTCTAATTTCCAGAGCTCGTTTCCATAAATCTATGCACTGTTGATACCGTATCACATCTGCATAAGACGCGCCCCTGTACATAAGCCTAAAAAAATTACAATTTCACATTTCACCTTGTGGTTCTGGTTCCATATCCTACCTGAATATAGTGTCTTTGTGGTGTGGCCCTAATATCCGTTCCGCCATAATAAGGCTTTGCGTTCTAGCTAAGTCTAAGTCTGTGGCGAGATTCTCTAGTTCCTCCAAAGTCTCAAATTCTTTCTGATATCTATAACCCTCCCGCAGCGGCATAAATGGTTGTTTTGGCAATAACCCTGCACATGACTACAATCAGTAACCTCATCCTCCATCGACTGTAATATAGTTTACGCAAATAAAAAGTTTAAAGGTTGTGGCGCTAACCTCGGGATATCTCAAACCGTGAAATAACGTTTGGCGAATTAGATTTATTACTTCATGTGATTGTATGTTTAAAAATAACAATTTTTTTTAATGTAAGAAATATTGTGGGGAACAACTACTATGTTAGCTACATGCAGTAAATAGCTAAGACCATTCATCAGCAGCATCGCCAAACATAGACCAGATTCAAACTTATTAGTTCTTGTCAGTATGTCACAGTCGATGAACAATTTAGCTATTTGGGTGCCTATCTACAGTATCTACCTACATGTTTTGTGTTTGCGTGTGTGTGTGTGGGTAAGATATAATCTACAAGGTATATGCCATAATTGAAATGTCATTACTGGATGAGGTATATGCTATAAAAGCATGACTACTTTGCAGGTTAGATCTCACCCGTAAGAAGTTCATACCTATACGACAGTCCTAAAAGTGTATTATACAACCATTTTGGGTGAATCAAGCTTTAACTATTTTTTGAATTTTCTTAATAAATCATGTACCATTTCCTGTGTACAGGGCCATACTGATTTGTTTTAAAATTTATATTTGTTTACTATTTTTGCATAAGTTAACGTTGCTTTAGTAATTTTTTGTAATAAAGCTTCGCAGATAAGGAGAAAAAGTAACCCTTTTTCCACTCAACTTGTATACCATTGGGCAATCGTGGTTAAGGACTTAATTTTTTTTTGTGTGTAAAAATGCATAGCAGATCGAAGTCTAAAAAATCACGTTAGAACAATAAGATATAAAAAGTATTGATCGTATGGGAAACAATCATTAAATTTTAATTAATTTAATTTATTTTAATTTCACATAAGTCATCTCAATCATCTCCGAAATTCTAAAAAAATGCGAAACAGTAATGAGGTGACTTTTGAAACATCATTATTAATTTTATAAAATTCACCTCAAGACGAACGGCACTGTTACATCTTCTCTAACTATCCCTTTAATAACACAAGTTTTTCTCATTCGTACTTTTTGTCACTGAAAAAATCATACAACTTAATTTTTTAAGTGTTCTTCGGCCGTTTCACGAATTATTATCGTTAATTTTAGCTAATGATCAAATTACTTTTATAAAAGTAAAACATGGTATGGACTATTTGTTATATTTTTATCCATACATGGTACGGCTAAGGTTGACCGATTTTAAAAATGTGGCGTTATTAAAAGATTAATGGTAGTAGGGTCTTTCCATGTCAAATCGACCAATGGTTGGAATCAACCCCTTACAATTTGGGCGAAATTTGGTCAAAAGTTTTCCTTTATCATAAAGCAAAGATCTGCCAAAGGAAAAAATTTTCAAAAATTTGTTTCCAAAGTTATTCAAAATTCAAAATTTTACTATTTTTTCAATTTTTCAAGTTTATTTTTTAAATATCTCAAATTATTATAGTTACAGAAATGAGCTTGTGTTTGTTTTAAAGAGGATACTTGGGGCTATGAAAAAAAATATATATTCCGAAAAATAATTTTGAAAAATAAAATATTTGCAGAATTTTGAATTTTTAAAAATCGTCAAAATCGACTATCGACATTAAAATTTTGGCTCAATTTTTTTTATAAAATATCTTCAAATGATATTAAAAGGTCCTGAAATTTTCAGTTGCGTTTTTTTCAAAAAAATAAAAAAACTTTTTAATCGCTAAATCAAGTAAAGTTAAGAAAACAAAAACAAACACAAGCTCAATTTTGTAACTACAATAGTTTTCGAGATATTTCAAAAATAAACTTGAAAAATTGGAAAAATAGTGAAACTTTGAATTTTGAATACTTAACGGAATTTTTTTTTTTTAATTTTATTAATTATTAGTTAGTATTATTAAGTACTTATATATTATTATTAAGGGGTATTAGGTATTATTATTAAGTACATATTTATACAAACTTTAAAGGGTGAATCTTTGACTAATTTTAAGATAAAAAGTTCATATTGGGAAACTGAAAGTATTGATGATGTGAAACTCAAATACTTACTTTTTTTTTTGTTTAATGTTAGAAGACGCGACATACAGTGTTGTACCTGGATTTAAATAACCATAACTTTTTTGTGTCACACTGTATGTCATTTTTGACTAAATATAACCCGGAATCTGGAATTTAGGGAGGGTAGCTTAAAAGCTACATCACTTAGGCCCCATTGGGCCCCTCGTACTGCCTCCATAAACATACCTATTCTTCATTCAATTTTACGTACAAAAGAAAAAAAATGTGGCGTTATTAAAAGATTAATGGTAGTAGGGTCTTTCCATGTCAAATCGACCAATGGTTGTAATCGACCCCTTTCAATTTGGACAAAATTTGGTCAAAAGTTTTCCTACATCATAAAGTAAAGATCTGCAGAAGGAAAAAAATTTCAAAAATTTTTTTCCAGTTATTCTAAATTAAAAATTTCACTATTTTTCCAAATTTTCAAGTTTATTTTTTAAATATCTCGAAAACTATTATAGTTACAGAAATGAGCTTGTGTTTGTTTTAAAGAGGATACTTGGGGCTATGAAAAAATATATATATTCCGAAAAATTAATTTTGAAAAATAAAATATTTCCAGAATTTTGAATTTTTAAAAATAGTCAAAATCGACTATCGACATTAAAATTTTGGCTCATTTTTTTTTATAAAATATCTTAAATTTTTTTTTAATCGCTAAAACAAGTAAAGTTAAGAAAACAAAAACAAACACAAGCTCATTTCTGTAACTACAATAGTTTTCGAGATATTTCAAAAATAAACTTGAAAAATTGGAAACAGTGAAATTTTGAATTTTGAATAACATTGGAAACAAATTTTTAAAATTTTTTTCCTTTGGCAGATCTTTGCTTTATGATAAAGGAAAGCTTTTGACCAAATTTCGTCCAAATTGAAAGGGGTCGATTCCAACCAAAGGTCGATTTGACATGGAATGTCCCATTATTTAATTTATACTATATTTGTTTCAATCACATTTTTTAGAATTACTTTATTATTTAATATAAAATCAACCAATTTAGCTTTTCTTGATATTTTCATTTCTAATAGTAAAATTTCAATAAGAAATACAGTGTTTATTAAGTACATATTTATACAAACTTTAAAGGGTGAATCTTTGACTAATTTTAAGATAAAAAGTTCATATTGGGAAACTGAAAGTATTGATGATGTGAAACTCAAATACTTACTTAGTTTTTTTTTTAATATTAGAAGACGTGACGTACAGTGTTGTACCTGGATTTAAATAACCATAACTTTTTTGTGTCGCACTGTATGTCATTTTTGACTAAACATAACCCGGAATCTGGAATTTAGGGAGGGTAGCTTAAAAGCTACATCACTTAGGCCCCATTGGGCCCCTCGTACTGCCTCCATAAACATACCTATTCTTCATTCAATTTTACGTACAAAAGATACTCTCAGTATGTGTCATTGAAAGCAGCAGTTTTTGTAAAAAAAACGGGTTTAGTGTTAAACCTGAGTTAGAATTTTGTAAGTTGAATCATTAAGAGTTTTTGAAAAATAAGCGAAAAAGAGTCATGTGCTAAGCTACACTATCGCTTTACAAATTACAATCACCAAATTAGTGAAAATCAGAAAAAAATTGAAATTTGTAAAAAGCGTGCTGCATCTTTCCTCTTGGCGCCCTCTAACATTAAACAAAAAACTAAGTAAATATATGAGTTTCTCATCAATAGTCCCAGTTTCCCGAATTTCGTCAAATTGTCTTGTTATTGAACAAAAATATAATCAAAATACCAAACAAAAATTTTTTTTGGATGCTCTGTATCTCAAGAACCAAGCCGTTGCTGATCCATGTTCATATGAACTTTTAATCTTAAAATTAGTCAAAGTCAAAGTTTGTACAAGTACTTAATAAATATCCTGTATATTCACATATTTTTATTTAGTTAAAATGCGTACCAGCTGCTTTAATAAAGCCACAGATTATTGGTATCTAAATAAGATTGAAATGAAACTAAATTTGGAAAAAAATCTGTTTTTTTTCAAATGACATGAAAATTGTCTAGATTTAAATAAAGAAATGTTAAAAAAACTTTTATCCTTGAGCAAATATCTTCATTTTCTTTGAAAACAAAACTGCACCTTCGCAACTTAATTTTTTTTATCATAAAGATAAATAATTTTTTAAGATTTTTTTTAGCTTTGTAATTCTGTTTTGTTTTTATTGAATGTTTAATTTGAACTTCAGTAATTAATTTTAAATATAAATATGAGTTATCTGTAATTTAAAAATTAATTCACAATATAAAAATGAAATAAAGCGTTTTCGTTTTAAGAAACTTGTAATGGAACACTTTTTTAGTTAAATCATCTTATTTCTATACCGAGACACTTAGATCGAGGTAACATTAAGAATACAAATACGATTTTTATCGAATGAAATGGTACAAATGCGGAATTTCTATTTTCAAGATTCAAACTAATATTCTTTTTTTTTTCTGTACATATGTTGAGAAAAACAAGTTGTTTTCTGCCTTTAAGTCTTTCCTGCCATTAAAAAAAAAAATTAAAGTTGCTCAGTCTCCTATGATGAAATTAAATTTATCTTCTAACAAAGAGTTTAAAATATCGTTTGCGCAAGTGTTGAAAAATATAGAGTAGATACTAAAGAACATTTTCAAGAAAATTGTAAATATTCAACACAACCAGAAAATTTAACATGTTTGAATAAAGAAAATTTTCATAATTTTCAAAAAAATTCAAGAATTGAGCACTAATTGCGGTTAAAGTTTGATTCACCAAAACTGAAACACCCTGTACAACTATTATTCAAAGTATTTCCACTATTACCCTTTTACTAATAATTCCCAACAAAAATAATAATTTCAATGAATAAAACAATGACTTACCATGAGTTTGCCTCATTGCCAATGCCTCTTTCCAGTGAAACTTGGCTACAGCCAAGTCATTGTGTTCGTCCAAGTAAGTTGCCCCCATCAGTTCATGGGCATTCGCCAGTTGTTCGGGAGAGTAACAAATATTTTTTATCAGATAATCAAATATTCGAGTGGCTCCTTTCAAACAAGCCATTTGTAAAGCATCGTCGCCGTGCCTAGACTTCGCATTATAATCCGCCCCATTTCTCAACAGCAATTTTGTGGTTTCTAATCTAAAATTAGCAATAAGACAATTCAGTTTTATTAATTCTATGGAAATATTTACCTGTGTTCTTGAATGGCATAATGTAGAGCAGTTTTATTTTGTATATCTCTGGCGTTTACATCAGCCCCGTTTAGTAATAAGAATTCACACAACGAAGCACTTTGTACGGAGTTTATTAAGCATGTACCACCATTATAATTTGGTCTGTTGATGTCAGCTCCATGTTCGACTAAATACTTAACGATTTCAAAGTGTGTCATAAAACAAGCAGATCGTACAGGTGTGGAACCTGTGTCTGATACTGCGTTGATATCCGCACCGTGTTTGAGCAGAATTTCAACAACTGAGAGCTTTCCTGAGACAGCAGCACACCACAGTGGGGTGACAACATGTGTAGATCTAAAAGTAATTAGTATTATATTACGGCCTACCTTGAATTTTAGGTTAATTCCTTTACCTGTCTTCTTGAACCTCATATAGACCTTTCTGTTCAATATCAGCACGACATACTGATATTAAATAATCTACGATTTCCGTTTGCCCCTTTTTACATGCAATGAACAGGGGAGTACAACCCACTTTAATGCGATTTACAATATCCCTTCTAGTTTCCACCGGGTATTTTTCCAGTTTATTTCGAAGAGTATACGGTAACCTAGCACCAGGTACAGCATGTTTACATTCTTCTATCAAATCGTGAAATATACAATCTTTTTCATTTATAGGATCGATCTTTTTCCACATATTCAGAGAGCGTAGGAAAGCTATTTTTAAATAATTGTTTTTTATTATGACAGAAAAGAGAATCAACCATGACACACTTTCTACCAACTTCCTAATTTTCATAGATTTTCCCTAGCGTATCTCACAATTATGACGTTTACTTGCTTAAGTAAACAAAATATTTTAGCTTTTTAAATACTACAAAACACAACACGATATTATCTAGAAAAAAATGTAGGAGCAGCACATATTTTTTTCACTTTCTATGTACAAGGCTCACAGTACTGTACTGTACGTTTGGTTGCATAATACTTTAATGTAAATTTGGTTGCATAACCAATAGGTAATGGGGGAAAGTCCTATTACCATAAAATATATGTTTATTTTAAGTTAATATTCTAAATTAAAATCATATTGCCATAAATATTAAATAACTTTTAACTTGAACCTATTTCAAGACATAAATTATATTTAAAATAAATTTAAATGCATAATAAGTTTATTATTGCTATATATGCAATATAATATTCAGATATAGTTATAATTGGTTGCCTACCTAAATAGTTTTCTCGTTTTCTCGTTCAGGTATAAATGATAGTCTACAAACAAGATAATTTATTGAAATTAATTCATACAACTACCTTTTACATCCTGTCAATTCTGTCGGACGATAACCGTTTGAGATAATAAATAATCCAGCAAACTATTTTCCGACAGCACTAGAATATATCGGCGACATTTACTGCTTACACAAAATTAATAACATTGAAATTTATTGTCAATTCAATCATATATATTCGCTCGTATAATTTGAAATAGTTATTTGCTTTGTACACACATATATCTAGGAAAAGCTAACCGTTAGCTAGTTAATCCAAGTTTTGAACTTGTAATAAATGTTTGTAATTTGCTGTTATAAATGGCCAGAAATATTTTTCAAAAATTTCTTTTCGATTTAAATTTAAAAATTATGATCTGTTTGGTGTATGTTTGCGTATCGAATTTTCTTATTTACATCTCACTAATTGGTGTGACCATTTTAAACACGCTCAAGTGGGTACTTGATATGTTTGCGTATAGATTTTTTTATTTACATATTAATGAATGAGAGAGGTTCTTGATCCGTTTCGGTCCAGCTTTTATTTATTCATGTATTCAGTTTCCGGCAAATTTGAGCTTTTATGTGATGTGAAGTGTGAGAAATAATACGCGACGTAAATCAAATTTGTTTGAAATAATTAGAATTGAATATTCTTACTTATGTATTAAAAAGATATAGATTTGTTTCTCTGAATTCGTTTCCTTTTAATATTCATGTGGTTTTCAACTGTCAAATTAAAATTAGCTAGGAAAAAATATGGAAAGTACTATACAGGGTGTTCCACTTAAAACAGATTCTTCAGTAGCTCTGATAATATCCATAATTCTAAATATGTCTCGAATAAAAGTTACGTCACATCAATTTCTCCTTATTTTAAAAATATTTTCGATTTATTTAACTTAATTTTTTTAAATGCGATAGTAGGCTATTGATTATATCCAAAAAACAGGGTTAAAACGTTCAAGCAATTTTTTTTGCATGAATCGTTGAAAGGGTCATTTTAGATGAAAAAATCGCGGAGTGCTATTAAATTAGAGGGTGGAAATTGGAGATAGTGGTGAAAATGCACCCCTTTTAGTTTTTTAATTTGAAAAAAAGCAAAAACTCGATTTTCTGATTTTTTATTTACTTTTCTGCCTCTAGTTTTTTTTTGAGTAAAGATAGGAATAGGCATTGCTTCATAGAAAAAAAGTAGATACAATTTGCTTCAAACCAAGAGGTTGTAAAGTATTTTTGGATGAAAATTGACTGACATATGGCCACTCAAATTTAGGTAATTTTCGATTTTCGTCGCGTTTACCCTTTCTTTAATTCTTTTCTCATTTTTTGCAAAAAGGAAGGAAATAAGACATTCAAGGATTTTCATCACATGACTTGTTCGTAGGGTCATTAAAAATGAAAAAACCGCGGGGTGCTATTAAATTAGAGAGTTGAAATTGAAAATAGGGGTGAAAAAGCACTTTGCAGTTTTTTAAATATAGCATGAAAACGAAGCAAAATGTCGGTATAGTTCATAGGAAAAATTTCGTAGAGAATTGAATTTATCATCGAAATGGCTTATTTAAAAAATGTAAAAGGCAAATTTTATGCAAAAAATCTTTAATAAACAATTTTAAATAAAGCAAAAAATAAGATTTTTTTATTTTTTTACTTTTTTAATAAAACTATTTAGTACAGACTTGAGAATTTAAGTACAATAAAGTTTATTAATAATGTATATACAGTGTGTCCACGGATGGAGTTGACAAGAGGAGAAACTCTTTTGTTTTTGACTTTATCGAAAAATGTCACTCTTTATAAAAGGTTCTGTCCCTCGAAAAAATGAGACTGTCATACAAACATCTTAGATTAGATATACAGGGTGCTCATAAAATAGGAAACCACGAAAATACTCAAGAGAGAAGTACCATTATTTATTATTTTACACAACATTTTTATAAAACAAATCTGTTTATGACCTCAAATGATGTTCTAATACAAATTTTAAAATAAGATGCTTAGAAAAAATTTGTATTTTTACTTTTTTTTGTTTCAACTTTAAGAGGCTGTAACTCGTTAGGGGTGCATTTTGGTAAATTAGGTTCAAACAATCCGTTTTAACCTCTAGCTTCCATCGTATAAGTTCGGTTACATATTTTAGAACCACCCTGTATAGAGCAAAAAAGGTATTTAGACCGCTTTGAAATATTCCGTCCGTTTGAAACGAACCAAATAGCTGGGTCTAGTCGCTGTTGTTCATTTACCTGGGCAGTGGGCACCATGGGAGTGGTTATGGTTTTAAAAATGCCTAAATATTTCTGCCTGAAACTAGCAATTACCGAAAGCCAACCCGTGTTTAAGATAGATTGCGTGTACCACGGGCGCCAAATAAGCGTATGCTCCCATAGGTATACCTGAACTGTGCCGGAAGCCATGATGGCCAGCATTCCCCTCTAATATGTTTTAAATTGTTCTGCCCTTGGAAGGAAAGGATTGTGTACCCGCTAGTTATTGATGCATAACTTAACTCTTGAGAAAAATCGGCTTTGCTCCACGCAGGTCTTCTCGGGAGATTCACATGGATCGGACGAAATTTTGAGGAATTAACTTCGAAGTAGTTGATTATTCCGCATGCAAAGATCTTGGTAAATTATCACAGACGCCGAATATATGAATCTTAAGCATCGGTTCGGTTGTAGTCGGCGATCCACATAAAACGACAAAAACCAAACAATTCATGCAATCTTACAGATATATAGAGTGAAATTAAATGGAGGAACACAACGGGCCCAATTAATACACATTTTTTAAATCATATTCAGAAAGTAGACATTGGAGTTAGTTAATGCGCAAAAAATTAGAATTTGTTTTTAACAATTTCACTCTCAAAAAATTGATAAAATGGAGCGCGGGAAAATGTACGGAAGCCATGTTGTGACGTCACACCACTCGTTAGCGGCTAGCCCACAGGCTTGGTTGGGTCTCACCTACATCATATAGTCAATTTTCTCACAAAAAGTGTTTATTGTTTGAAACTTTATATCGGTAGGTTTCTGATTGCATGACCTTTTTTTTTAGAATCAAATGAAACAGTGTTTAGGTTTTGAAGTGCGTTTTTTTAGAGGCCTCCATAGAGCTTGCAGCTCTCCCAATCAATAGAGGTTTTGTTTGTGACAAAAATACTAGTAGCAAACGCACTGTGCCATCATATAAAAGGGAGTCTGCTTATACGTTTCCTACTACTATTTACCATTAATTTTTTAAAAACATTTTTATGCAACAAAATCGCATTTTTTCAGTTTTTTGCTTATAAAGCCTAAACTAACGAAATAATATGAACGCTATAAAGAGACAATTTGTAGAGAATCGAAATACGAATAAAATATGAGAGGTCGATAGATCCTATCGGATAATTAGAAACGAAGAAAACCCGGAAAAATCAGAAAATTTTGCGTTTTTTTAAAAATTCATACTCTGCCATTTTTTAAGTTGTAGAGATGACCCTGTGCTCAAAAGTAGTGAATTATATGTACTTTAAGTGTGCACAAAGCAGGCACTGTCGGACCATTAGTTTTGGCACAACTGCAATTTTTGGTGCACTATTTTGCAAAGTTTCTGGATGCGTTGGAGGAGGTCCGATTTTAATTTTTCAGCCGTATTTTAAAAGTAGAAGTATAATACTACAAAGCGGCGTATATTCTAATTTTCCGATAAAATGATGCGAAATATGTGAAAAAATGTGATGTGGAACCTGTGGACATTCCTTGTTTTGTTCCTGCGAAATCTTGACATCAAACGTGAATTTGAAAGTTTTCTTACAAAATGTATGTACTTTTCAGTTCCAAAGAATACATATTTAGGTGTCCTTGTTAAGGAAATTTTATTATATTTTGTATATATCATTACTTACAATAATATTAAATTATACTATAACTAACAATATTCAAAATCCCTCCCCCACCTATACCGGGTGATTCAGTTTGATATTCACGGCCTCGTATCCCTTTTATTTTAACAAATAGCTATAACAAACCCAATATATTTTTAAATTGGCGCTCAAACTCTATCAAATGACATTATTAGATCGTCTCCATGGTAACACATGTCAAAATTGCTATAGTCAGCTGGTTTTGTTCAAATGGCATACTATATATTTTTTTTATCAATTCTGGAAGATATTTTTTTCTGCATTCATCTATGTAAGGAAATCTATAGTTTCATTAGAAATATTGCTAGAAAAACGGCAAAAAAGATGAACCTTATTTTCAGTAGCTTTATTCTGAAAAACGATAGGCAGCTGCGAAAACAACTGAATTATGACGTTTCTAAATAACGGTTTGTCAAAATAATTGACATTTTGTACCTACCCATTCTATCTACAAAGAATTATAATATGAATACCTATAGTAACAAAGAAAAACTAGATATGATTTTAATTTATGGAAAGTGCCGAAAGAACGCTAAAGCTGCCAGGTATTTATAGTATTTTCCCAGAGAGACAACTTCCATCAGCTAAAATTTTGGAAAGTTAGCCAGGAATTTGGCGGCAGATGGAAGTTTTCAAAAGAAAAGAAGAGTTTGTAAACCCAGAAGGGCAAGAGATGAACATTCGATTAAGATGTTAAATGGTCTGCTAGATCTCCGGATATCACTCCT